GCTACCGGTACCCTCAAAAAAGTTCTGAAAGTTCACGCAAAATTTTGAAATAAATAAAAGTAATAGCCTTCTAGCGAAGAAATTAATCTTTAACCACTGAAAATTTCAAAGCAATTGGTCCAGTATTCGAAGAGAAAAGCGATTTTTTAAAAACGTATCAAAGAACAAGAACAACAACAACAACAACATAATATTGAAACGATCGTTATGGCCACTAAACGTGTCCAATAACATAAAATACCCAAGGTCTGGGCAAAATATGAACGATTGTAATTTATTTTATTGCATGCGACTAAAAGGTACAACGCATGAACAATTGACTGTGTTTCGATTTCGCAGTTACTATGATGAATAACCAAAGTAAACATAAAACTAAATTTTGTGATTCACAATGTCTATAAAAGTCTGCTGAAACAACACTTATAGTGTTATCTCCCATTTAAGTTTCAGTTTTAATATTTTAGGACGCCGCTTTCCAATCAAGAAATTCGAGTTGCGGATTTACCTCTTTATTAATTATTATTTTTAGTATTTCGTCGCCGATGACTATAATATGATAACATGTTTTTTTACATTGAACTCATAATTCCCCACGAGAACAAAAAAGCAATTATCGTTGTCATTGTGGAACAATACACGTATATGTCAAGGAAATTTTTGATTTAGGAAGAATAAACATCGGCGTAAAGATGTTTAAGGTTTAAAACACGCCATACTGACGAAAACAATCGGCGATTGTAACAAAATGCAATCGCGCGCGTTTTTAGCGCCTTTTAAGTCTTCCAAAAATGTCAAAAGGGAAAAGATTCGACCCCTAATTTATTAATATGTTTGTCAAGTGTCAAATTTATAGCTTTAGTATATATAATTTATCTTTGAAATTTAGATTCATTTATGACTTGTATTAACCCTATTAAAAAGGTGTTGCATTCAAATTAAGTAAAGTACTTTTAACTTACTCAGGAATATTAATTGGAAAGTAACAATTTTAACATTTATTTTGGGGCTCCGTGAATAATGGTCAACCTTTTCAAGGGCTCCGCAACATCAAAAGTTTGAGAACCCCTGAGTTAGACGATAGATAAAACATTAGATTAATAATTTTTGTGACGCCCCGTTTTCGAAAATACAAAGTTATATCGCAAAAAATGCGTTATGATACATTTGGAATGAAACATTATTTAGGGTTAATTCAGATCATATATTACTCTCCATGACACCCGGTATCCGAAAATACAGTTGCATCTCGAAAAATGTGTTTTGTTACATTTAAAATAAAACATTTTTGCGATTAATTTAGATCATATTTTACTTTTCAGGACACCCGTTTTCGAAAATACAAGGTTATATCGCAAAATGTGTTTTGTTACATTTAAAATAAAACATTTTTGCGATTAATTTAGATCAAATTTTACCTTTCACGGCAACCCGTTTCCGAAAATACAAAGTTATATCACAAAAAATGCGTTTTGTTACATTTATTTTGCATTCCCAATAAAATACATATTTTCCCTAATTAATGTCGTCGATGAATCTGTTCCTGTCGTTCAAGCTCGACACACGTTTGGACGAGTGTGGGGCGGTTTTTTGGTCGACGATAAATTAAAAAGTTGCCACATGTTATTTGTATAACGATAATAACTAAAAATTAAGATTTTATAATAGAAGTGAATTTGTCTCAAGATGGTATTTTACGATTCCTGCCCACAGAAAATAAACACGCTGACAGGCTTGGTTATAATTGATGTTCGTTTAATTTATTTTACACTATTAATAAACGCGCCACACCAATTGCGACCATATAAATTGCAGTCGCATCGGTATGGACTGTATGTTTTTGGTGCTCTCACATTAATAATAATTTTCAACAAAACAATACCCCGACGGTCATTAAAGCTGAATTCGTTACCGAATAATTCACAATTTTATTTACGGAATTTGCAATTTCAAGATCTCACTTGACGATTTTGATGATGTCATGCCCTAATTATTACTGCTTAAATGACTCAAAATACAACAAATGTAATCATTTTCGACGATAACAGGCGCAACAATTCGTAAACGAGCCGTTATAACGAAATTCGCGATTGATTTTACCTCTCTCTTGTTTACAATTTTAACATCCCGCCGGCCATGTATGGTCGAATGAAATGTTCACATATTCGAAACATGACTTGGCCAAGGATGGAAGGGATCACTAAAGAGATAATAGAAATACCCTCATACGCGAGGGTATGATATTAATATCGAGAATATTTGTGAGCATATCACAGGACGGACCCGGCTGTTTGTTGGCAAAACAACGATACGCTAAAGTTAATTGATCGAATACAGGTAAGTATTTGTTTATCATCTCACTTGCGAACATCGAGGTTTTGGCGGAATTGTACGATCATGTTGTCTTTCTTAAATAATAACTTTTTCAATAAATGTTCATTTTACTTTTGCGTCTTTATTATATGTCGGGTTTTCATTTATTTTAAATTCGAAATTGTCCGAAATACTCCAACAGGTGTATAGGTACAATAATAATAGTACTTACCAAAGTACTTACCAGGGAATTTTAATACACACGATGTGTAAAGGGCGTCGTAACTCCCGTTAATTAATTATAATTTTTTTACATTCTGCTTAAAAAACAACGGCAGTCATCTCACCTAACTCTCGCGACCAAATCTTTTTTGTTTTGTATGGCATCGTCTTGGCGACGAATTTATTGCCGACTGAATTTTAATTGTGTTTTAGGATAAGCTATTTTCTGTTTGTTGGTTTCTAAACTTTACAAACTTGGGTAGCAATTACTATTAATGTGAGATTTGTGCATATGAACGATTGAATATCGCGACTGGATGTCCGATATCTGAGAATGCGTAATTCTCTTTCAACATTAATTTTCAGGATATCAGCGTTCATGTGGTCGAATAAAAATTATTTATCAAATGGATAGGTATCAAAATTATTTGGGATCCACTATCATATCATTCGTTTATTTTTTATATTCATGTTTTCTCAAGAATCACCCTCGTTATATTTAGTGTACCTTCGCAAAAGAAAACTCTTTGGTGTCATGGTTCCTATTAGTGTAGTTGAAATATATGGAAACCTCGCAAGTGGCGTTGTGATGCGAATATTTGATACTAGGTCAGCAGCATTACAAAGAGTGCTATTTATGAATGCTGAAAGTACATGACATTACTAAACATTTTGCCAATATATGATGTTTTCTGCCCGATTTAAACTAACTCGCACGCAAACCAAGGCATGTCGACATTTAAAAATTACTTGTCTTTGGGTAAGCTCTGAAATAGTATAATATAAATGTAAATGAGAAATTAGGTCACGCTAGTTCACGAAAGGGGAGGATTTTCAAAGTGATCTTGTGTAATATTTCGGAGAAAAAAGTTTGAAAGGAAAGTAGGTCAACCTATCTCCTAAAACAGGGGAGTATCCTGCTAATATTTCGGAGGGTACGTAGGTTAACCTACCTTTTAAAACAGCGGGTGGCGACTTTCAAAGTGGTTCAAAATCACAAATTAATAATTATCAGACTAGGTTTAGGGATAAATCGAACAGTTGAATTTCCAGCGCACATAACCCTAATTAGTTGATTGCTATTTATATTTGGGGAGGGGGGAATTATTTTGCACGGGATTTGTACAAACGATCCACCCTGTAACTAATATGATTTCCAGCCTGCCTCGTGTCTGTTAGATGGAGGAAGTAACAAATGTGAAAGTCTTTGCTGCTTACGCGAGTAAGCAACTGACACCGTGATACATTGCATGAAAGTTTTGTCCGCGGCAGGTGTTAGCAGATGTCATTTCGTTGCCGATGAATTCGCTTGTTTTAATTAAACATGAATTCGCTTAAAGGGAACTCGGTTAACGAAAAGGCTTCTCTTTAATTCATAATATTAACCTCAGGAGCGCTTTTTCGAGTATCTATGTCGTTTCAAATGGGTTATTTGAAAGGCTAGGGCACCTAACTTGTTAAAATCGGCAAAAGCACTTTCGCACTTTTTTTTTCGACTGCGAAGCACTTTCGCACTCATAATTTGCTTAGAGTTAACACTGGTGGTGGTCATCTATTCTCTACTAATTTATTTCTAACTCCAAACACAACAATATGTTACACATAATAACAATATGGTTCACATAAATTTATATACAAATATACTGGTAGGTAGTAGAATACTCTAGGCTTAAATATTAGAATTTTTAAAGGCATAATAGATTTTCGATTGTTGTTGCCTGTATTGCCAATAAATTTTATTACTCTCAGAAAATATACACAATTATCTGAATACAAGTAGTATTTTTGTCAATAGACTCAACTATTATCGTAATATCATGGTACCAATGATAGAAAGCGTCAGACAACTCCTTGGCTATCTTTTCATATGGTCATTTGTACAAAATGAATAATTTTAATAAACTGACTGTGTCACAAGTTGCTATTATTTTTTATTGATAGCTATCAATTACTTTGTGTACATATACTGTTGGTCTGTGGCTTCATTCTGATATTTCTATTGAATCTTATTTCCTAATTTACTGGGTTTTAATCAACTAAAACAAAAATGTGTTATTTTTGATTTTAGAATGTATTCGGAATTCCAGATTCGAAAACATTATTTTAGAATGTATTCGGAATAGTTTAGTATCCGGAAATGGCCATCCCTGCTGGTGGGCCATGTAAGTGTGACATAAAAAATTACATTTTATAAACAATATTTACAGTGTTACAAAAGCAACAGTGGAAAACGAAAAGCCTCGTGCCAAAACTAAATTTAACTGCAATATCAACAAATTCCTTGAGTTATTTATAGCCAAAACATCAAAATTTGGTTTGGTTGTGGCAGCATCAGGCGGGCCAAATTGAATTACCGAATGGGCCGGATTTGGCCCGCAGGCCGTACTTTGCCCATGTCTGGTATAAAGTGTCATATTTTATTCCATTAACCATAGTTGAAAATGGAGAAAAATCAAAGTGGAACTTACATCTTCCAGGTAAAAGTGTTTCCTTTTAGCAGCATGGCCAAATTCAAATTCTTTCTCAGCATATTCTTCAAATCCTGGAGGCTTTACTGGTAGTGCAGGTGGAATGTAGTCACAGGACTGTAAAAAATAGACAGGAATAATAATATTTATCTGTGGAATTCCCTATCTGGTTCCCTATCCGCGGGCTATAATTGACCCGCAGTTTTGGAAACACTGTTATGGAGAGTTGCTGACAATGCTGTTGCGTTACTGGGCTGTACATGAACAAGTTTTATTGTTTTTGGCTGCTTTTTAAAGGTCTTTTTTGATTATATTTGACCTGTAACTGGACCTATCTAGTTTTTTTTGCCTAAATATGCTGGTTGTGCTACATGGGAGGACGGGGTTCAAACCCAGGGGCCAATCATGATAATTTTGGTCATTGCAAACATTTCAGTGGCTGCTTGTTTGGAGCCTTATTTAGAGCAAACTGTTAGTTACTCTGTAAAAATCATACAAAATAAACAAATTCAAATAAATTTATACAAATTTGCCGTTCATTGTATTAAGAACCAATAAATCCAAACACTCACCCCTGCATATTCAATCAGATCATCTATGTTCGATGACATGAACGACCCAAATCCTCTCTTGGCAATTCCTTTGCTCTCTCCAATGCTATTTGCTCCATTAGCCTCGGGTTCAGTCATTATTCTATCTTAAAATCACAAATGTAACATTCATTAATATGTTATATTATCATTTTAATATATAGCCTATTCTTCATGAGGCTTTGCAGACGCATAAACAGAAAAAATTCTTTATTTAGAGAGAAATTTCCTCCTAGCTTTCCAATTCCCATCTTAATACAACCAAACATCCTATTTCCATCTTAATACAACCAAATATCCAATTTCCATCTTAATACAACCAAATACGTTTTCCCATTAATATAACCAAATATCCAATTTCCATCTTAATGCAACAAAATACGCCTTTCCCATCTTAATACAACCAAATATCCAATTTCCATCTTAATGCAACAAAATACGCCTTTCCCATCTTAATACAACCAAACATCCATTTTCCATCTTAATACAACCAAATATCAAATTCCTATCTTAATACAACCAAATACCCATTTCCCATTTTAGTACAACCAATAACCCAATTCCCATCTTAATACAACCAAACATCCACCTTCCTTCTTTATACAACCAAATATCCACCTCCCATCTTAATACAACCAAATATCCATTTTCCATCTTAATACAACCAAATATCAAATTCCTATCTTAATACAACCAAATACCCATTTCCCATTTTAGTACAACCAATAACCCAATTCCCATCTTAATACAACCAAATATCCACCTCCCATCTTAATACAACCAAATATCCAATTTCCATCTTAATGCAACAAAATACGCCTTTCCCATCCTAATACAACCAAATATCCAATTTCCATCTTAATGCAACAAAATACGCCTTTCCCATCTTAATACAACCAAACATCCACCTTCCTTCTTTATACAACCAAATATCCACCTCCCATCTTAATACAACCAAATATCCAATTTCCATCTAATGCAACAAAATACGCCTTTCCCATCTTAATACAACCAAATATCCAATTTACATCTTAATGCAACAAAATACGCCTTTCCCATCTTAATACAACCAAACATCCAATTTCCATCTTAATACAACCAAATGTCAAATTCCTATCTTAATACAACCCTTTTCCCATTTTAATACAGCCAATAACCCAATTCTCATTTTAATACAACCGAATGCCCATTCACATCTTAATACAACCAAACATCCAATTCCATCTTAATACAACCAAATACATGATTCCCATTATAATACAACCAAACTTTTGGGTAAATTCCCATCTTAATACAACCAAACACCACATTCTCATTTTAATACAACCAAACATCCAATTCCATCTTAATACAACCAAATATCTCATTCCCATCATAATGCAAACAAACACCAAATTCCCATCATAATACATAAATAATAAAAAATAATAATGATAGATGTATCTCAATTAACCAATAGTCGTTAAAAATTGTGAGTAAAGGATAAAGGAGGCGCATTTTCAAACTTCGCCAAACTTGGCGCTGTTTTATGTAGATGCGCCACTGTATGAGAAATATGGGTAGATAGGTCTGGTAGACTCAAGTATTATTTCACCACTAGTAAAACGTTTTATTCATATGGATAAATTATATATCTACAATCTACACATTTATAGGCAGCTTCTTATTTCTAGCCTTGTTTTTCTCAAGCTAGGCTATAACATCATTACTAACTTTGTTTTGATGTGGCAAAAATATTTGTGGTTTATGAAGCAGTGGATTGCTACACATATCCCACTCATTTTATAAACCAAACTCTATCCTATCATATACCAACTCATACAGCTAGTTTAGATTTCATTGAAGTGAAGGGAAATAAATAATGGCAAAATTCAACTTAGCCAGTGGGCAACTCAATATGAAAAACCATGAATAAAAAAACAGTTCAATTACAACAGTTTATATAATATTAAGAAGCACAATCTAACATTATCATCTATAATTTTAATGGGTATTTATATACGGTTAAAATTCATTGAAGTGAAATAAATGATGGCAAGTGGGCAACTCAATATGAAAAACCACAAATAAAAAAAAAAATTTACAACAGGTAGGCTAACGTTTATATAATATTAAGAAGCACAATCTAACATTATCATCTATAATTTTAACGGAAATTTACATTCATAAAAACGAGCAGGCCGTAATTTGCCCACCCCAGCAACTAAGCAGTAATAGATAACTATTGTTCTTTATTTCCTATCAGAGTCATATGTTTTCTCAAACATCATAAACAAGTATAATAAATTTCCTTTCTGTCAAGCGAATTTTCCAGCAACGAAATCTGTATTGGTGAAATCATATGAAGTTGGAATTGACAATTATTGATCCCAATTTCCTATCAACTGTTATTTCAAATTGAAACAGTTTCCTCCTATATTCATTAACAATCTTGTTTTGCCAAGGATGGGCCATGAATACACATGACCTACCTAGTGTAATAGCAGCGACCATACTTTAAATATACATAATTAAGCAGAACCTTGGTATAATCTTAGCTGAGCAGGTAGAAGAGGTTTGTTTATATTGGGTTTTTGACACATTTTCTCTTAACAAGGATCTGTGGAAGCAGCCATTAGTATGTAAGCGACTACTATCATTTATAAAGAACAGAAGCAGTTTGATAATGTTAATCCAATTTATCAGGAATGCGGTGTTGGTCAAATAGAGATTTCGCACTGTTTTTTTTTTACTCTGCATTTTTCCACCTCTTAGGTATTGAGTGTTGCTAGCACTGTTGTTGTGTTACTAAGCTGTACGTTAACCGGTTCTATTGATTTTTGCTTTTTTTTAAATGTTTTTTTCTTCTTATTTTTAACTTTAAAAACCCCGATATGATGGCATGACCAATTGGGTCCCCCTACCTCTCATTCAAGAACAATTATATTTGATCATTGAACCATTGATTGCTTAAAGTGAATTTTAAATCCAATTCTACCAGTAACTATGTTGATTATTCAGACCAGTGCTTCTCAACGGCAGGGCCGCGACCCACAAGGGGGACGTAGGCAGTTTTTGAGGGGGGGCCGTGTAGTTAATTAAAAGAAAAATATTTTTTAGATTTGATTTTAAATATATAGATTTCAAAACTTTTTATTCATTCCATTATTTATGTTCCATCCACATATTTTTAACATGTTTTTGAACGAAATATACTTTCATCTTACTATTTGTTATTAGTAGCTTATCGTTAGCTAGATATTTTCGAGGTGGGGTGCGAGACTTGGACAAATTCTAAAAAATGTGTGCGACTTAAAACGTTTGAGAACATCTGATTTAGACCATCCATACCACAAAATTGAAGTCCATTTGGTTTTTCAAACAATTTAAAAAGCGATAAGATATAGCAAATAGAATATAAAGTGAATGATTATTACCAGACCTACTCATGTCAGCACATAACTACTGGTAAAAAGAAACAATTCAATTTTGGAGCATTGCTAATGTCTACCCAGACATACTTTATCAGCAGTTTATAAAAAGCCTTGTAAACTCACACAAGCCCAACTGGATATTATCTATTCAATGCCACTTTGGTATGTAATCTTAGCAGTTGTGTGATCTCATTGAGTTTAGTAATAACCCAAGTATATTTATATTAACAATGACATGGTTAGGTTAGGAACGGAATTCTATGCTTTTATGCCAGTTGTTCGCAGGCCGTGTAACGATTTAATATAGCCCGCCCGCCCGCCGAACTTGAGTGTGATAGTTTACCACTTTGTGTTTTTACCCTTTTGCGTTCTAGATATGCCAATTGTTACGTCATTATCACAGTTTAAGCATGTGTATATTCGTAACAATTCAATATTACCAGTATTTTAATTACACGTACCGATATTGATATCATCCCCTCTCTCGGAGTGCAAATATCCTTCCGTTTTTAATTTTGACCCTCGGTCAAACAACTTTGGGAACCACTGCTTTATGCGATTGAAATCTAATAAGCAAGTGAGATCATGCCCCGAAGACATTGTATGATGCTGAGATCCAATACCAAAGTGACACTGTCTGTCTGTTCTTATCAAAGGTATCTGTCTGACAGCATGACGAAAGGACTATATATAACAGACAAACATTACAGGGATACTTAAAAGCTAATAAGATAACGGATATATTAATAAACTGTTATGTACAAATATACACTCTTTAATCTCTATTCATTGACGCGAAGAAATGCTTTGAAATATTGCGAAAACTACTGCTTGTACATGTATGAACTGAACATAGTAGTTCATCTATAAGAATTGCCGTTATCAAGGTCACATTATTTATATTTATGAGACACCATACAAACCGTGCAACCACGAGTTGACTGGCTAGGTAAGGTTAAATATAAGAATTCTAAAATAAGTGTGATATGAAGATATGACTTAATTCTGAGATGGCTTATATATGCTTAAGAGATGAATAGTGTTCATGAGGTACTCAAAAGAGATAAAAAAGACAAGTACAATTTGGAATATTATATCATAGGCACTTTGTAAAACGTAATAAAATGTATAGGCTACCTGGCTATTCAATTGTGAAAATATCTTGTCCACAAGCCTAGCTAACAATTATCAACCAATTATTCAAATGCAACAATGTATATTCGAAATGGAATTATTATTTCTGACAATTTTCTTGTACATTTCCTATCCTCACTATTAATAAGGCCATAGACACACTGCCACTGGTATATTTGAAGAGCAGTTATTATGAGATCTTCTTGGTCTAGCATTGCCTACCAATTTATTATACCCTTTGTTGTGTTGGGCATGAAACCATCCAAGATAAAACATTGCCACATTCCCCTTATGGTCAATAAGCTATACCAATGTGATATATAGGGTGTCCATGAAGTCTTAAAATATTTTTAAGAATTTATCGATGCCATATATTGTTCTGGCCCTCACAGATGTATTAAATGAGGTAAAAATACTTGAACAATTACTGATTAAAAAACAACAAACCTGGCTAAGATATATAAAGAAACTTACTTCATAACAAAAGTGTTATTGTAAAGTTATGGACATTCTGTATTCGAAAAAAATTCCCAAAAAAAAAAAAAATTTATTCTCCCGAAATGAAGAAAATTTATTTAATTTAACACTTGAACTTCTGTTTAAGATCAGTAACCCAGGTTGCTTTGCACACATTTATGTTCCAAATGAACTGAGTTCTATGTTTTTTGGGTCACTCAGAATAATAATGGATCTCGATCAATCATTAGTGACAATAGGAAATGGTTTGTCCACATGGTATTCAATTGAACTATTCAAACATAAGCATATGTCAATTAAGATATCTTTCATGCCATGTTTACACAGCAAAGTGGCAGTTTGACAAGTCAAGTAGTTGTCTTTAAGGCCACGTTTACACAGCAAGCTAGTATCTGACTTTAAACTTACACAAGTTTCTTCCCCATCAAATACAGTGAAAAACACCGACTGTACATAACACTGTAATTTAAGAAAGACCTACTAGGGGCAAGTAAAGCCTAGTGTCTAAGCCTAATAACCCCCAGGTTTCCCAACAGTTACACTCTAAATGGCATAAATAATGTGTAACATACAAGATATCTTAAAATATCTGAATATTCAGAATATGTAAATGCCTCATAGTGAAATTAAAACAGAGGATATTACTCCCTCTAAATAGTATCTCCATACAGCATGGCATTAGCTGTAGATGAGCGCAATGTTATCATAAAAAGAATCCCCATGTTTGACAAAACTATCTATATGCAAACTTCAGAACTCCCGTAGTATGTATACCAGGTTAGGGCTAGGCCATAATTTGATTACTATTTTTCTTATTTTTCTATTATTAGTTCGGGGACTGTCTGTATCAGCCAAGTGAATATACCCCTGCGCATAGGTTTCAGTCCCTTTACACAACTTGATGTAAAGTAGGCGAAAAAAATTAGTTACCTCCATATTGGCACACATACTTCTGGAACGCCAAAACTTCACGCCCAGTAAGCCCTGATGTATCACTGACTATCGCTACCTATACCTTACAATGTAGAATCTAAATTATAATAAACACCATTTTAATATCTTTTATACAGTATTTATTTTCAAATACAATGTTATAATTAAAATGGAGCGAAATAAAACAAACAGGCTGCAAATATTATTTTAATCAAGCACTGTTCACAAACGTACAATGTGGGCACCTTGTTTCAGAGTGAAATAGCACACCAAATAAAAATAACATCGAGTCTATATTTGTGAGTCAAGAGAGTCACACTGCCCTCATAACTTGCTCATAAAATTGTATAATATCGAATGGCTAGTAAAGTATATTTCACATAATAGCAAACTGTTCTGAGGATTGGGGGGGGGGGGGTGTTTTAAGGAAACTCTAATCCAAGACAGGGGTATGCAACAGGAGAGCCAGATACAAATAACTGGGTGAAACCGCAGGCCACACATTTATTTAACATAGGCTTACTAGTAGTTACAGGCACAAAAAAGGCATTGTAACGTCATAGACATACATAATAAATTGGACTCTGGTATAGGCTTTGCAGCGCAATGGGATTGAAATTATTCACATGTACCAGATTAAAATAAATTAAAACTAGTTTGACGGGCACCACACCATTTTTTCCTTGTGGGTGGCCTTTGCAATAAGATGATTATGCAAAAACATTAATACAGAGAAAAAATAGGTTTCAATACACTTGTGAAAATCGAAAAACCAACCAAACCATACAGCCTAATTTTTCTGCACAATAAAATCCTACCACATGATATACAGGGTGTCCATAAAATCCCTTACAATTTCAATTTTGATATAAAGTCTGTTTTTTAATTGTTTAATTCATTTATCATATTTGTATTAGGTCCAAAACAATACATGGTATCGATAAATTCCCTTCACAATTTTAAAATTATTTGGGACTTTATGGACACCCCTGTATAACAGTTCCTAACTGAACAAGGCCATATTCAGGATAGGTTATATTACAAAATTGAAAATAATTTTCAAAATGTACGGTATATTAATTATCTAGTTTCGGCCATCCCTGAAGTATACCTTAAAATACTAGCTGTACCATTTAATACAAATACGGAAATGTAATAGGAAACACATATCATAACCTATGTGACTCATTGTTTCTGTTTTTAATATCCAGTGAGAATTCAATTTAACACAAAATACACGATAACTAGAAATGTTTGCATAAGAACTTGGATATTAAGCAGGAACGGCAACAACTGAATACTCTATTAGGCAAGCATTCTGATATACCGTAGTATTTTCAAATATCACTCCAAATCCAGTCACAATCTTGTAAAATCCTAGAACATGAATCTTGTAATACATTACTGCTTGATATTGCAGTCATGACCACCAATAAGTAGTTTGTATTTTCATAAATTTTTTTCAAATTGTGGAAACTATGGCAAACAGCACCAAGACATATTACATGAAGCAAATTAATACATTCTGGGGTAAAAAAAAACTCAGTCATGATCTGGCCAGAAATACCAAAATACATAGGTAGTGAAAAATGGATTATATCAGTGCTTTCCGTCCAGCTATTCAAGGTGGGTCACGAAGTATTTCCAAATGCAACGTACAGTTTTCGATTAGAAATTGTAGCATTATCATTACGTAGCAATTATGAAACAATGTTACAATTAGGATTATGTGTTGATCTGATAATATCCAACATGCAATCCAATATCAAGTTTCGCATTAATAGTAAATTGCATGGTGAGACATTGTTTCTTTTCTTATCTATTATTAACATCTGATTGTGGGTCACACAGAAAAAAAAATGGCAATAAAAGTGGGTTGCAAACTGAAAAAGGTTGGGAAGCACTGGATTATATAATATAAATGAAAAAATTCTCGCAACGATGTGACATTGTATAGTGAGCTACTCTGCAATGCAAACAATTATATAATTCAGTCAATTTCCAATAAACTTTTGAAAAGCAAATGATTATAAAAAATTAACTAGTAGTGACAATTAATTAATTATTCAAAGTTTAGATAATTTAAACTGTTATATTTAACACAATGACACTCAAAAAATGTCGATTTTAATGTCATTTTATAAAACAAATAATGTTCAGAATTCCATAAATGCATAAAACCGTCCACCCTACAAGATATCCTAATTTTAGGGTCCTGGTAATAGGGAAAAGAGATAAAGAGCCTGGGTTATAATGGATAGTTTAGGATACTTGTTTCAATTCATGAATATTTTGAAAGAGAATCTAAAACATACTGATGTCTACATGGATAGTCTGAAGTGAAGCATTATTAAGAGATATTTTCTGAGTGTTGAGTGACAACGGCCACACTAAATGGCTTGGCAGACTGGGTTCTCTAGGGCTATGTCTCATTACTCTTTCCAGTTATCACAAAGACCCCCTGATATAACTTAATTTAAAACACCAGCAAAAATTGAATTGAAGGAGATAGGCAAGCATACATAAAAACAAAACTTGGATGTATTATACACAAATAGTATTACAATAACATACATAAATACTTTTTCAAAAATTAATGTTAAGAATTTCAACATTTTAACTATGAAATCTCTAGTCATTGTACGGGTCATACACTAGAGCAGTCTTCCCCAAACTATGGGTCGCCTGGAAATACTCTTGGGTGCTTGTTACTGATTTTAACAAAGTGACTGATTTCAATTTCTAGTACCGGTAATTTTTATTATTTCATTTGGTATTGAAGAGTTCCTCATTATATATGTGTAAAGCACCACAGCATAAAAACCTGGCGACATCAGTTTTGCTAATGCCACGATTTGAAAAACTATAATAAAATAGTTTGGGTAATTAACAGGGATTGATTGAATATTGGGCGCTCCAGAAGTATGTGTACCAATATGGAGGTAACTAATTTTGTTCACCTATTTTACATCAAGTTGTGTAAAGGGAATGTAACCTATGGGCAAGGAAAAGGACTGTAACCTATGGGCAGGGGGATATTCACTTGGCTAACACAGACAGCCTCCGAACTTGTGCTAGAACTAAAATAGGGGGATTGGAATAAAATTATGGCCTAACATGGTACACATACTACGATAGTACCAAATATTCGGCGCGTATTACTACAGCCCATTTCTTTCAGCATTTGTGCCAGCAAAGATACTTAAGCAATAAATAGTTCAGTAGTTTAAAGGGCCTGCTTTCACTTTTGTAAATTTATTCTTAGACACTTTGTCTGACTAAAGACTCCTTCATTGTTGCAAATTGCTTGTCTGAGAAAGTCTTGACTTTGGTCAGGCTATTAATAAATGAATTAAAAGTGTGATGGATAACCTTTGACCCCTCAATAAGGTATAGGAGTTGATTTTGGCAACCAATCAGATTCACTTGAGTCAAAATATTGGACTAGTGGCAAAATTTGCTGACAAGAAAAATATTAAAGAGTGAAAGTTTCTTTGGACTGAAACGGTTGATAAGGCAGGATGTGGCTAAATTTTCAAATGACTTCAAATCTAACTCCACCTCCACCTAAGTGTGCCACAACCCAACTAGAAACAAAATTGAAACGTTTGTGCATTTGAAAATTAGGAAAAAGTACTAACTGAAACCCTCAGCTAAATCTAGCTTGCATGTATACAAATTTTACTGCACTATGCATATATTTTTACAATGGGCTATCATTATCATCTAGGGGTGCCATACAATTTCAATCAGCGGAATTGTAAAGCAAAAAACTATAAAAATATACTATTTTTTCAAGATATAATTTACATGCGCCAACTATCAGCTTCAACATGACAAAATATAAGAAAGAAAATTTCCACCAATCCCATTATAAATTTTCACAAACTCCGGTAATATTCAAAAATACACCACAAAAATTCAAATTGTATACATGTTCAACCATAGAGTATTTGTTATGAATATTCCGAATAGCTCTACCTTGCAGCTCATTCAATACATATACACACAAATCATTCCTTCAATGCAAACAGTCAATTTTACAAAAAAAATTTTAATTTGGATTACCGGTATATAGAATTCTTTAAATACACATTTTAGAATTCCATAAATTTTTAATTCTGCTTAAACTAAATTCTATACACTCTTATATGTCATGCTACTAAAATGTGGCATCATAAAATCACCTAATGGCAGGGCATGAAGCCATGTCACCAAGTCTATTCCACCCTAAATACACAAATTAAAATAAACTATAATAAAACTAAAAAAAGAATCAAATTTCAGACGGTCAAAGTTGAAAGGTTAAGGATCATTAAAAAAGGTTTCCTCTTAAATCATAAACCCTGTCTAATCGTCTTAGAAGCAATACGGCAAGAACTACGCTTAAAACAATTATTAACATGAATGGTGTTGAGTCCTCTTGGTGGCGCTGTGCGTTTTGTTGTGGTGGAGGTTGCTGTATTTGCGTTTGCGGTGCTGGTTGTTGGGGGGTAGTAGGGGGAGGAATCGATGAAATTTCTGGGGGGGATGTTTGTCGCTGCCGTAAGCCGTCTGTGTTCGGAGGAGTAGATGACGAATCTTCTTCAGTTGTTGAAGTGCTTGGCCCTTTCTCACTTTCCGATTTCGTTTGCGTTTTTGGTTTCGAAAAATTAATTTGTTTCGCAAGCTCCTCGTCGCGGATTTCACTTTCCGTTTTCTGGTGAGAATCCTGACCTGGTTCTTTCAACAACTGCTTTATAGAACCACAGCATTGGCAACTCCATGTCGAAGATTTTTTCGCAAGATTCTTCCTCTCCTGTGGGCTGTAATCCAGAGCGCCTATAGCTCCTTCCCCTTTGGTAGGCATGAAGCCTATAATGGCAAGAATCGCAGTACGGATACTCCAACTTGGCTGCCAACTTTCAGGATGGTAGCCAGAAATACTTAGACAAATTTTTTTATGTAATTCAAATCGACCATTCGGCGTTAAAAGCATAATACTTGGTGGCTTCATGGGGTATTCAGGGGGCAGAATAATTCTACCATGGTACATTCCGCCATCAAAATCAGAATCAGACGGTCCACGAAACGTAAAATGCCATTCGAAAAGATTATCGTCCAATGGTTGCGCTGAATATTGTTCAGTTGCATCTTTTAATTCTTGCGCTTCTCTCATTAACCGCTTAACAGCGGGATTTTTGAAGTTATACTGAGACTGTGCCATCTTAAAATGACCTAATTTAAACTAATTAATAATTAATTAATATCTGAAAATGATGAAAACATTACATTCAAGATAATCACAATTTTTATCAGATAACTGTACGAAATAATCAGATAGCAGAGTGACCGAGAAAAACAGAACTCAAGTAATTTGGAACATATTCTAGAGAAAACATAACTTTTGTGCGAAGCATCCTAGATTACTGGTACAATCATGCACAAACAGTAGTTCAACTGTTAAATAAATTTTCTTATAATTAAAAATTTATATCTGTTTTTTTAGATCACCCTGTAGGAACTGTTTTAATGTTTTTCTAATATTCTAAAAATAAGGTAAAGAAGGACAAGACTCTTGTGGTAGCATAGAGTGAGGGCCAAAAAAACTTCGGGAGGGGGAATTTTGAAACTGGGAGTGGTTGACACACAAAATTAATAAAGAATTAACTATTGCTTGGACAGTACAGGATTCACATATTTATTCTGCTGCGAGGAAAGCCGATAAAACAGCTTAATCATATGGTGAACCACAGCCTCTCTTCCGGTTACCAGTCCATGTCGGGTATGGGATTAGTTAGCCAGTTAGTTTTCACAAGCATAGACTTGATATTTTTTTATTGAGGTAAATTCCAAATAAAAACTAAACCAGGTATTTCGATCAGTTACTAATAAGGTATTAATTGGAATTATTGCGCTTGCTAATGAAACTCAAAATAACGCCAATCAGTGTAACATCTTGGCTTGTTGTTTTTAATTTAACTATATCGAAATTACAGGCAGCACACAAGTATGGAACAAATAAAACAGCAATGCCTTACGAAACTGAGTATAAGCTCAATTTTAGATGAAGTTAAGCCACCATTAGAGATACTATCTAGTTATTCAAAGTTAAACACAAAAAAATGGATGGATAGAATAGAAATGATCTACATCTACTTATTTAAAAAGGTGATTCACCCAGGGATGCCAGAAATGAATTGATTTTTCAATGATTTGGAAATAGTTACATTCAATACAGCGTATCCAAGGTCTAAAAAAATTTTCCATCTGAATTTGATGTAAAATTTGTATCAATTCTCCAATTGTGATAGAAATAATTTGTTTGTTTCAACAATAACAAATCAGCCATTAGTGACATTTTGAAGCTACAAGACAGGAAATATCAATACGCAGCGAACATTCAAATTTGGACTATGAAAAAATATTTGAATTAAACAATTTAAAGACAAATCATTTCACTGCGAATTTTATATTCCGTATTTGAAAAGTTTTTTTAAATATATTTGATTTCGGCCATCCCTGGATCAAGCACAAATAAATAACGCCATTGTAAATTTACTAAAAATCTTGAATCAACATTATTTTTACTAATCACAGCAAATCATGCAATTGACGTGAAGTATTAAAAAATTATTTTTACACTAATACAATACAGCAAGATCAGGAATGTAAAAAATGAATCGAATATTCCAATACATAGGTGTGCAACCTTTTATACAGGCAGGCTAGAACATTGGCTTTTTATTGGCGGGATAATTGGCAGGTGCACACCATCTAAGATTGGCACTTCACCACGAGTCGCTCAATTTTTTCTTGTGGGCCGCATTTGGCCCACGGGCCGCAGGTTACACACCCATGCTCTAATACATTGGTCATTCATATAATTGGCCGAGGGTTTCAAGACTAAGAGGCAAATGTTAAACTGATAAAGGTTAAAGCAATATTCCTCAAAGTATCCCAATAAAAAGATAGAGTTTGAAAATCAAATTTCTTCGTTTTCCCAGAACAGTTTTATTTGCAAGTTTTGTCCTTCAGATACAGTCAAGGGCATAGCTAAGGGTGGGGGGATGGAGTTTCATGGCAATATTTCATAGCTCGCACACTTTTTATACCCTTGAAACTTCTACAAACCCATGTTTTTAGCCTCTGGCCATACCTGATAGCTGTTACAATCTAAGTCTAACTTGGTAAACTACCATTTTTTCAATTGGAAACTTTTGAAAAATTATGAGCATTGAATGAGAATACAAAGGTTTCACTCAATTGCCGAAAAAAATTAGAAAATATAATAAATTTTTAATATCCATCGGAAAAGACCATGGATCGTGAAAGTTTTAGAACCACCTTCCAGATTTAAAATTAGAATTATTCAATTTTGTTAACTCTAACTGTTTCACATTCAATAATACTATAATCACAATAAATCTTACAATTTCAATTTGAGATGAAAAAAAAAAATTTATACTTACAATACAAAACAACATAAAGTTAACATCGACAACATATTTTTGTGAGGTGATTAAAATAATCACAAATCAGCAGCAACTTGTGCAAAAAGTGTGATAGGCATGCATAAATTATATTTTCAAAATACCCCGTTGAAACGTGACGGCTCGAAAAAGCTAAATAGAAATAATTCAAAACTGTTTAGAGCCATTTATGCATAAATATTATATTATTCCCAAAATACATTTATCCCAACTGTTCAGTATTGCAACAGGCACGTATAAATAATATTTTCAAAATAAGCAGCCGTTAAGAAAAGACTAGAACAGCGTTTCTGAAACTGCTTTCCACGGGACACTACTGGTACACGAGCTTCTTCAAATTGTTCCGCGGAAGAGGGAACGAAATGGCAACTAAATTGGCCGCTAAAGAAATCCCAGCTGTACTTTGATGGATCCAGATCGTAAATCCGAGGCGGATAGGCCTCGTGCCATGCTGGAAAGCATGGAGTTCGCGGTAACAGTCAGCCTAATTTTTTTAATTATCAACTTCACAGCAAAATTTTTCATTTTACCATAGGATAAATATTTTTGAAACTGCCCAACGACTTTACCGCCATTTTTTTGATGTTTTCGTGATATAAAAAGCGTAAGTGTTTCGGGGGCAAAGAAGTTTGAGAAACGCTGGACTAAACAATGGAAACCAAAGAAAATTAATTCAAATGATGTCCTATTTTGAACAAAGTATTGAAAACCTGGCCAACCAATAAAGAATCCACTTACTGTTCAGTATTATAACAGGCACTCATAAATAATATTTTCAAAAAACACAGCTGTTAGGTAACAGCTCTAACATAACAAATCCATAAAAAATGATACAAAATAATTCCAATTTTGAGTTGACTTTTGATAAATAACAGTAATTCAGAATTGACAGACATGCCTAAAAAGTTCAAAACACTCAGTTATAAAGCAACATCTATACCGAACCAACAAAAAATATTTCAAAATGAAATCCAAATTTGGGCAAATTCAAACGAAACAATCAATGAAGAACTTCTAATTCCTAAATATTCAGTATTGTGCCTGGGATGCATAAATAATAACTTCAAAACATGCAGCTGCAACATCACAGCTATGACAAATCAAACAAAAATAATTTAAAATGAAGTCCTATTTTTAATTGATTTTGGCCTAATACAAACTGGGCAATCAATAAATATTTCCTATTACCCAGCTGTTCCGTATTTTGCAAGGCACGAATAAATTATATTTTCAAAAAAAGCAGCTGTTAGGAGAAGACTAGACTATGAAAAACCAAGAAGAAATAATTAAAATTGAACTCCAGAATTTTTATATCCCAAATTTGTGCCAGGTATCGAATTGATTTTCGACTCGATAATATATGATTCGCCAACCATAAAGTATGACACCCAACCTGTCCCAGGCACGCCTGAAAATATGATATTGAGCTGTTGGTAATGGAGCGACTCTCATAGGTATGTCTAATTTCGAATGACATCAACATATAAAATAAAAGAAATTTTAAATCGAATCCGAATTTCAATTGACCTAATAAAATCTGGCCAATATAACTGTTCAGTATTGATTTAATAAAAAAAATTTCAAATTAGGTAATCCAATTTCGCCGAGCCATAATTGACTTGACCATACCGAATTGACTGTCGGTATATCAATAGAGAATGTCTAGTTTTTAACAGTTCAGTATTGTGCCACACTGGGCCTTAAATATATTAATTTTAAAACACTCAGTTCTAAAGTGAACACTGAAGGAGACCAAATAATGAGATTTATAACAAAGGAAGAATTCAAAATGAATTCCAATTTGTCTTTTTGTTGACTAAATAAGTACAAACTGGATTTTTCACAAATTTTATGATTATATCTCACAGTTCAATACAAATTACCAAATAAGATTTATAGCCTAGGGAGCAAAATTTTGATTATTATTATCTAATTTGAAAAAGAAATGAAACTCAACTCAATATTTTAAAACTGATTTTTCCGCAGCTAATAGGAGAATTTTTCACATTCTAAAATTTGAAAAAAAAAATGTAATTCTGTTTGAATTGTCTGACTTCTTCTAATAAAGTAGCAGCACCTGCGGAAACAATGAAATTTGACAAATAACAGAACAGCAAAAACGTAACAACAAAGAGGTGAATTTCCTATATAAAGTTGTCTTGAAGTTTGTACAAGAACATAGATTATTGCTTCGGAACTAGGATGATGGAAAAGCAACTGCCAGGAAAAGAACAGAATGTTCAAAATATTCAGTGAATTGAAAAGTAAAGTCGTTTTTTTAACTGCACATGATACTTCATTGCGCCACATCTTTGTCTGAAAGTTAATCGGTTTTCTTTGAGGTGTTTTCATCTGTACTTTCCACGTACTGTCTCGCTAAATACTTCAATGCTTCGTCGATTAATATAACAGGCAGGGATAGGTAGAGGACCATACTCCACTCAGTCCAATTCAGCGGGCAAATTTGGAAAACCATCGGTAGCGGATCAACGTAGAGAATTATGAAATGGAGTACCATGGACAATATAATCGCTCCTATCAGCCACATATTTTGCCATGGTGGCATTTTCAGCAAGGACTGGTTTTCAGATACACTGTTTAGGGCGTTCAGGAGTTCGATGGTAACGAGAACGGATAATGCCATTGTCATAGGGTGTGGATCTTCAAATATCTTACAATCAATTCCTTCGTAGTTTTCAGGATCGGAAGAACAAGTCATGTAATGAGTAAGCTGCCACCATGACACAGTGGGACCGTTATCTGCATACATAAACCACCAAGACGCCGCAGCGACAGTAGCAAATCCAACGTAGACACCAATTACACAATATCTAAACAACAACCATCCGCTAATGAGAGTATCTTTAGTAGAACGAGGTTTTTTGGTCATTATGTCTAAATCTGGGGGATTGAAACTTAGTGCAGTAGCAGGCAGACCATCGGTAACAAGGTTGACCCATAGAAGTTGGACGGGTATAAGAGCTTCCGGTACTCCAAGCGCAGCTGCAAGGAAAATACAAACAACCTCTCCAATATTAGATGAAATGAGGTATCTGATAAACTGTTTCATGTTATTGTAAATTGCTCGACCTTCCTCGACAGCTGCCACAATAGAAGAAAAATTGTCATCTGCTAGAACCATATCTGAAGCTGTCTTCGCTACAGCGGTCCCACTACCCATGGCGATTCCAATTTCAGCTTTTTTCAAAGCCGGGGCGTCGTTCACTCCGTCCCCTGTCATAGCTGTAACATCCCCATTGGCTTGAAGATATTCCACAATTTTACTTTTGTGTGCTGGCTCGACCCGAGCAAATAGTTTTCCATCAAGGCAAGCTTGTCGCTGTTGTTCTGTAGTCAGTTTATCAAATTCTCGTCCAGTGAATGAAAGTCCTTCAGTATTCTCATGTTCTTCGAATACTCCGATACGGCGACAAATCGCTTCGGCAGTAGCTTTGTTGTCCCCAGTAATTACGATAACTCTGATTCCTGCACTCTTGCATTGCTGAATTGCGTCGTAAACTTCAACACGAGGGGGGTCGAGCATGCCAACAATACCGACAAAAGTAATTCCAGATTCATACTCAATAAATTTTGTTGAGTCTGCAAGATCCATATCCTTGGGATTAACCGGGTTATCAATAGTTCCGAGAGCAAGGCAACGAAGTGAGTCTCGTCCTGTACCATATTCAGCCACTAGTTGGAGTATGTGGTCCTTCAATTTCGGAGTCATAGGTTGACGATCCTTGCCGATTCGAACATATGAGCAACGCTCTAACATGCCCTCTGGAGCTCCTTTTACGTACATTTTTGGCCCTGTGCTTTCACGAGGTAGACAATACACACTCATAGACTTGCGGTCACGAGAAAACTCTAGAGTAAATTGTTTTTCAGTAAGTTTCTTGATTTCCTCGTTACAAGCATTAGCTCTATCATGTTTAGAAAGTTGCGAAACATCAGTGTTGAAAACATTGAGTTTTTCACATAAAACGGTCAGAGCTGTTTCAGTAGCTTCCCCTACTTTTTCATAAACTCCTTTTGCTTCGTTATAATCAAGAGATGAATCATTGCATAAAGCACAAATGGTCGCCATTTCCACACAAGCCTCACTTTTTCCAGCATTTACAGGTTTGCCATTTTCAGTAACTTCCCCTCGTGGTTCGTATGTTGAGCCACTGATTGAGAATTGTCGAAATTTGATATTGTCATCCCCGGTAACATTATCGACGACAAACATACGACATGCTGACATTTGATTGGTTGTTAGAGTGCCTGTTTTATCTGAACAAATCACTGATGTGCATCCAAGCGTTTCAACGGAAGGTAAACTTCGCACGATCGAATTTTTCTTCGCCATCCTGCGAGTTCCGAGAGCTAGACATGTGGTAATTACAGCAGGAAGACCCTCAGGAATTGCAGCTACAGCCAAAGCGACCGCGATCTTGAAATAATAAATCGCTCCTTTGATCCAAGATCCTCCGTGAATAGGGTCGTTGAAATGACCGATGTTAATCGCCCATACAGCGATACAAATGATGGTGATTATTTTTGATAGTTGTTCGCCGAATTCGTCAATTTTTTGTGCCAATGGTGTCTTTTCCGTTTCAGTTTCTGCCATTTCGTCACGAATTTTTCCAATTTCCGTATTACTTCCTGTACCCACTACGATGCCGACTGCTTTTCCAGAAGCAATATTGGTTCCAGAAAAAAGCATGTTTTTCTTGTCTTGATTAACTGCTCTTGGGTCTGGTACTGGGTCAGTATGCTTGATGACGCTAACACTTTCACCGGTAAGTATAGCTTGATCCACACGGAGTGTCGTAGATCGAATTTGAGTTAGTCTAATATCAGCCGGGACTTTGTCGCCAACAGCAACCTCGACAATATCCCCAGGGACGATATCTTTAGCGAGAATTCTTTGCACAGTTGCTTTATCGTTTCGTATAACTTTTCCTATTTCTGGTTCGTATTCTTTTAAAGCCTCAATCGCACTTTCAGCGTTCCGTTCTTGCCATATTCCGACGATAGCATTCGCGATGAGAATTAGTAGAATAACAAAAGGTTCCACAAACGCAGTAACAGTGTCATCACCTTCTTCAAACAACGCAAGGATGAATGAAATAACAGCAGCCAAAAGTAGAATTCTAACTAGAAGATCTTCAAATTGTTCAACGACAAGTTGCCATAGTGGTTTCCCTTCTTCCGCCGGTAATTCATTCGGTCCGTACTTTTTCCGATTTTTTTTAACCTGTTCTAAAGTCAGTCCAAGACTTTCAGAGACCCCGAAATGCTTCACAACTTCTTCCTTTGGCTTCATATAAGCATCTTCCATGATGGATAATAGTCAGACACTCCGACTGGAGTAGAAATTATTTGTTATGAAGACGGTGGACAGAGATTTATTTTGAACTACCTATTATTATTAATTACTATTGTGTATATTTTCTGAAATATAAAGTTTTAAATTCTGTGAATGAGATTTTCATATCAATCTGTTTCCTCGAGTCCTCGAGCACGAAAAGAGGGGCTAGTGAAGTAAATGCTGGAACTGCTCAAATAACGCCAAACGAAAATGTGATGTGGAATTATTGTCGTAACTGCTCAAATAACGCTAAAGTAAACTGTGATATGAAATTTTAATGTATTTTCAAAAAAGTATGTATGACACAGAAAGAAATTCTTGAAACGCAGGTTTAGTTCAAATCAAACCTACCCAATTTTCAACTGAGCAGGAAAAAATGAAAATTAGAGTTGTATTTTCACATCACATTTGTGTTTGCCGCTATTCAGGCAGTTACAGCGTTCACTTCATGAGACACAAATAAATATCAGCACTAAACCTATTTCACCACAATTTAAACCCCCAAACCACCAAGAATTCAAAAATTTGTTTCAGGCGCATTTCACGATCTCAAGTAACTTAGCGCTATTCAAGTTTGCCTAATTTTGTACAAATAAAGCTCTGCCAATACTCATATCTAAAAAGATCCCATACCAATCAGACGCTTCACAAATTAGGTCTTCTACTGTTCTAAGCACAAAAAATTTAGAAATTGAAAATTGATTTCAAAAAGACCCGCATTTTCACACACTAAAGTCAGGACTTTTTCTTTTCAATTTCTTTAATTAATTCATTAATCACATATGCGGAAAACATCTACAACCCGACCATACTGCTATATTAAAAAGAAACTTCAGTAGGGCACAGTTATCCGATTCCAAGATGCCCCGACATTTTGTTTAATAAAACAAACGCTCTATTAGTTTTTGGAACAGGGGCATCTGGCACGACGGCAGATGCTTGAGATCGCAACAAGCTCGTCTCGGTACTAAGTCTTGGCCTAAAGCCTAACAACGGTAGAGATCAACATTCTGACCTTCAACACTGTCAGACTGTACGGTAACATCATGCGCTAACAGTCAAACGCCTGACAGTTAGTACCGGTACCGGACAAGTCAGACTGTCAGACAAAAGATTGGAATAGTTCACCATACGGCGGATTTTTAGGCCCTTCAAAGCACTCTACTGAGACTATTCAAGGTGCTAAATGTATCCTGACAACTGTATTATAGTAATATATACATATGCATAAATAAATAACGGCACACGCTGTTTGAAAGAAAACGATGAGCTGGCCTAAACGCCTGGCTTTCACAAGTGAATGACGTATATTCGGAAGTCAGCTGATCAACGTGTCCCTCCAGCGACATATACGCAATGACGGTGCAGTTGCGAAATGGCGCAACGGAAAACTACTAAGAAAAAGAGAGAGAATATTTATTTTTTCCCCCTCAAAACAGAAACATGATGATGATACAAATAATAATAATATAACAACACATATTACAGTTTTTGTTAGATGACTGGGTGGTAACGATACGATCATTTACGAGTCAGTTACAACGAACACGTCGAATGATTGGCACCTGCGTTTTCAATTTCCTTTGTGGTGTACCAAAAAACAGTCAATAAAAGACCCAAATTGACTGAAATAAATTACAAAGCTATACATGCTACTTTTTTACTTTACACACACTTCAATCGTCGAACAACTATATACATACATTCTATTTAACATTGTGGAAATAAAAAATTTCTCTCTCTCCACAGACTGCAAGACCGGAGTTCACCCGGCTCAGGATTTCCTCCAAATTTATTACCCTTGGTGAGGTCGTGGAATGGAATTCCAATACAATATTCTTAAACTGCGATACCAGGATAATTAATCCCAATGCCTTTAGTTTGTTTGTTTCTATCGGAGTTCTGGTTTTATTAGATTTTTCACCACATCTTGACTCGGCGGGTGTGGCGCATCTTGCTAAGCGTTAGGAAAACGCTCGCCACCACACCACTAATTGCCCTGCGTGTGTTCGCGGATTCGAATCCCGTGGGCGATAATTATGTGCAAGAGGATTGCTGGACTCCTTGCCGCTGCAGGGTGGTTCACGTAACAGCTCATTACGGCTTCCTCCGCCATCAAGTCTATGCTTCCGAAAACAATTATTTTTCCTCTATTGCAATTATGATTCCTGCTTTAGAGTGTCCTGTACGGTGACCGTACATTTGAACCCATGTACATTTGAACCCATGCGTATATCCACGGGTTCAATCTATATGCGGGTGCTAAAACCCATGGGTTAGGGTTAGTATGGGTTTAACTATCCGTGAAACAAAAAAAATTCCATAGGTGCAATAGCATACAGGTGCAATTGTCATGGGTTCAAATGTACGTGGGTTCAAATGTAATGGAACCTCCTGTACTGGTAGAATCTCTCCTTAGGGGTCGGTTGACCTCGATGTATTTTTATGCCTGTTGTTGTTTGCTCATGCTTACTGTATTATGTACTTGTATCGGAAATAAATCATTATCTATCTATCTATCTATCTATCTATCTATCACATACTCGACATGGACTGGTACCCGGACGAGAGGTCGTGGTTCGCCATATGATTAAGCCGTCTCGCCTGAATCATCTCCCCAGCAAGAATAAATATGTAGATCTTATCCTACGATCGCTTGTGTCGAGAATAAAAGAGCGTGATTGGTGAGAATCGCAATAATGCGAACCGATCACAGGTAGCCTACTCAGTCGATCAAATGAACACGCCTATTATCGCATTTCTGATTAGCCTTCGCTGGTTCGAAGATTCGATTCCCGCGGGAATAATTATATGCGAGAAAATTGTTAGACTCTTCGCCGTCGTAGTGTGGTTTAGGTGACCACTGGTCGGTTACAGCTTCCTTCAACTTTAAGTTCATTTATCTAGAATAACAACTAGTCAAGTATTCGACCCTATTGAAATAGTACCCTAGATTTCGAGGTCTGGCTTCAATATCATCCATTTTTAGTCGCCCATGATTATGAGACCCCGGATGGTACAGATGGCCTCTGGTCCCCTGAGGGCGCCACAGAACAGTTGGAAAGGCCACAGCCCACAATGCTAGACGAAAAACTGATTTTACTTTTCTTGTTACAAGAAAACCTAGTTTCATTCTGGATTATTTCACAGGGTGTTTTACTTTGTTGAGCCTGAATTGTTTGAACATAATGGGATTTGGGATCTCCCAATTAATATAACAAATTATCACTAGAATGATAAGCAGGAGGCCATGAGTGCTAAAAGCCTCCGGAAGAGGCCACAATTGAAAATTTGAATTTTCAGCGCAATCTGCATTCCAAATAGGATAGGATTTACATATTTATCCCCGGGGAAAGGAAAGCCGATAAGACGGCTTATCCATATGGCGAACCACGGCCTCTCGTCCGGTTACCATTCCAAGTCGGGTATGGGATTAGTTATATTGTTTGTTTTCGGAAGCATGGACTTGGTGGGGGAGGAAGCCGTAACCGACCGGCGATTACGTAAACCACCTAACGATGGCGAGGAGTCCAGCAATCCTCTCGCACATAACCATCCCTGCATGGGATTCGAACCTGCAAACCCACGCAGAGTAATTAGAGGTGCGGTGGCGAGCGTATTCCTAACGCTTAGCCTGTTGAGCCACACCGCCGCGCCCTAACTCAATCGCCCTAATCAAACCCTAAATCAAACCCTAATTGGAAAATTACTGATTCTTTCATTTCGAGCGTTGGCGGAGTGTTTGTTTGGGCGGGGGCTTTGTACAATCCGAGTAATAGCCTTCTAACGAATTTTAAATATCTCATATTTTAAATGGATTGGTACATTAGTTGTAGAGGAAAGCGATTTTTCACAACATCAATAACAGGAATAATATCAAAAAGATTTTAGCAAATATTTCTTAGTGCACGTCGTTTGAAACGAGTGTAGAAGACATTTGTGAAATCATTATTCTATGGATTAAAGAGATTTCATCTGTGGGCATTCTGTTTGGATCATTCGTGTGACTCATTTTGAGCAGTATACAAACCACGTTTGATACTACTAATATTTGAGCTGATTTATATCTACAATTATTAATTGCGTTTTAATGAGCAAACCCAACAACAAAGAGAATAATTTAGCAAATCATCCGTAGGTCTAATTCCTAAAAAAATTTTCCTATGCGCTGTACGTTGAAAAGTATGTTTATATTTATTTTCCCGATAAAACGCACACAAACAACTAACATTACATTACAAGGGATCTTTTGTACGAAGAACACGCCAGTTAATTATCCAGTTAGCGTTAGGTATGCAGATTGCGCTTGGAATTTAAATTTTAAACCATTTCCAACCCAACCCTCGATAAATACTAATTTTTTAGTGTGAAACGTGGCGGGGGTGTTATTCTCAAATCTCACATTTTTGCATTAGTGGGGGGGGGGGGGGGGGGTGCTTTATACAAATGATCTTGATATAGGCCTACTCATCCAAAAAATTATGAAAATAATTAAATTCAATTAAATAGGTAACAATGTTAAAGGTTAAATAATGAATCTAAATTAGATTCCTCGAGGTAACGTGGGCTATTGTTTTCACAATGACGCTAACGTAGAAGTGACGCACTGTTGCAGACTGTTCATACGGCCTAAGTATTTATCGACATTTCAACATCATCTCAAAGATAGACTGAGTTCGTATATGGACAGATGTAATTTGACACAAACTGCGCGTCCCACGCTTGTCACAAGAACGATAGTTTATCACAATGAGTGGGTTAAGATTGATTGAAGACGTACGTAAATATTAATATACATTATTACTAACTTTATCGCATAGGACTCCAGATTATTATTAATTAGGCAGCGATACGCTTTGTCTTCCTTGTTAAGACTGGTCTGTGCGGTGTGAAGATTGTCGGTGTAACACCAAGGGGAATTTTAGAGATTTTTGTTATATTAAGGAGATTTATGGAATTTTTGCGAGTATCCCGGGCGGTGAATTAGAGTAATCCTGATAGGGGAATTTTTTGAGCTATACGACGAATCCGCTCAGAACTAGGCTCCGGATAAGTAATTAATAATAATAATGAGACTAGTATACGTTTTGCGTAGGAAAGGGCACTACACCCAGTGCTAGGTTGACCATTGAGCAAAATGAGTACGTGCCTAGGGCATAAGAGGAAAGGGGAAAAAAGAGGAAATTTCAATAATCAAATTTTAAATGGCCTCAGTGTATTAAGGAAACAGTTCGAGTTGATCAGACCGCGATACTGGCAAGTCTAAAAATAAAGTGAATGTAGGTATGAAAACATAACAGCTTTCATAATAATCACGCAAATTTATTATTCTTAAGCCCTCAATTATCAATGATACGAAAACTCCTTTATATAATTTAACACATAACACCAGTTTTCATCATTATTATTTTTTAAACACGGGGCACCAAAATCTTAAGGCCTCTAAGAGGCATGATTCGGCCCTGTCTTTACCGTGAGTCCATTTCGTGTTCGGAATTTGGATATCTCTATACATAGAAGGGGTCATGAACAAAATTCGAAAAATTGTTTAGCGATATGAAAATGTTTCATGTTTCCTGAACTTATTTTCAGTGACCCTTTTTTCCAGCCATCGCAAAATACCAGATATGTCAACGAAGATTTACTGCAATCTCTCTATTCCAGAAGTTTTTTAATTTGTGAAATTTAGCGTAAAAATGGCCGAAGCGCCAGAACTTGTTATGATCATCAGACTTGATATACCAGCTGACCGAATTTATGACGTCATAAAGGAAATACAGCATATAAGATGGGACGAATTTGCTCGTCGTGCTTTGTGTTTGAAAGACAATTCTATCGACGAAATTAAGAGTAATTTTCCAAATAATAGCCGAGAACAAAAATACCAAATGTGCAGAAAATGGGAACAAGAATACCGAGGACAAAACCCGGTCGCGGCTTTCGAGGAAATAATCGACAAATTTCTTTACCCTGACCCACCTGTGCCGGCAAATGCGATAACCAGAGAGAAACCTAGAGAAATCAATAAACGGTTTTCATCTCCATCAATGTTGACTCCAAGCACCACCAATGAATCTTTTCGTCAGCATCAAAGTATCGGGAGAAAAATTTGGAACAGCGTGAAGAAAAAACGAAGAAAATTAGTTAAATCCTTAAGTTCCTTGTCGCTCTCAAATTTTCGTCTCAGTGGGAATTACGATCCACTACTCATAAATCTCGATAATGATGAAGCAAGTTGCCGTCCAAGATCGTCAACAAGTGTTGAGAGCCGTCCTCGGGTAATTGAAACGAACAGAGATAAGTTTCGAAATCGTAAGAATACTTGTCCTTCAAGGAGAAGAGAAGATGTCAAATTTTATTAGAACAGCGGACACTGTATATTGCGTATCCAATTGCAGGTCTGTTTTCCCCAGAGGTGGGCAAATCAAGGCCCACGTGCCGGATCCGCCTCACCGAATGGTTTCATCCGGCCCACTTATTTCTGCTGAAATTACGACTATAGTTTTCATATAAGACTATATTACGTTGAAAATGTCGATGAAAGTCACGGCATAATGACCTTGATTGTTACGTTTTGCTTCTTCTTTTTTTATATAAACTGTTTTTATACATAGTTTTTTATATTGAAATTGGAGCCTCCCGCTCAATAACCAAGTCAAATATGTGTAGATGGCCCACTCAGTGGTGCAGATGGCCCATCTTGTTTACTTCCCACTTCGGATTTGTATGTGACCGTATGATATTTGAGCGGGATAGGATTAATCATACGGCGAACCACGGCCTCTCGTCCGGTTACCAGCTACAGGGGTGGTAGCTTCAAAGTCATATTGGGGGTGTCAAAATAGGGCTGACGAAATGCGGTCGTTGCGTGTCAAATTGGGGAAGTTGAAAACCAAGATTGTGGAGCTTTCGAACTATTCAAATATCTGACTGCGTATCCACAAAAACTTCATTGACAATTTGTATTTTATCTAGCCCCGGGAGTATAGTACAAAATTGGGCGCCCCAGAAGTGTGTGTAACAAGTATATATATTCACTTGGCTGACACAAACAGTCCTCGAACTCATAATGTAACTAAAATAAGGGAAAATTATGGCCTAATCTGGTACAAATACTACGGGAGTACCCAAAATTGGGATATCATTGCCACGACAAATATTGGTATTTTGGCACACCGGTTACCGGTATCACTTCTACTTTTATCATAATATCATCTGGATATGCGGTCTCTGTATTTTCTCTTTGATTGAACAAAGACTTGTTAGAAAAGGCGAATATAATTCTTGTCACTGATCTGTTACTTATTTTTAAACTGTTTTTTTTGTTTTGTTTATTTATATCTCTGTCCGTATATTTTGTAATGAAACCTACCGTAAAATCATTACTTTCGTTTTCCTATTCATACAGTATTAGATTAGATCATTGCTCCATCTTTAGAATTGGGTGACAATTCAATTGATGAAATCTAGAGTAGTCGCCCAAATAATATAAAAATGAAAGCACACTGTACATACAAATTACAATAAATTAAGAATAAACATCTCAGGTTGAGTGGCAGCCGCGGAAGCCAAATTTGGTTATCGATCAGCGGCACCCATAAGAAAGTCGGCGCTGCGGAAATATGTGTATCAAGATGACGAACAAACTGAACCCTAACCTGGTACACATACTATGTTCAGGTTGTGCGCCATCTTGGTACGGGTGCACCAGAAAGTCTAACAAGAAAATAATATTAAAAAGTTGAACTGTGTATGTTATTTGAAAAAAATAAAAAATAAATACGTCAAGGCATGCTAACCTGGTATGCCCATCAATCACGCGTTTCAACAACAAAGAAGTTTCCCATGTACTTGAATAAAACCGCAGAATTTTGGTCGCTCCGGAAGTAATTGTACCAAGATGACGCACAACCTGAACAACCCTAACCTGGACTTACCTGGTAGACTATTTTCAGGTTGTGCGCCATCTTAGTACGAATATTTTGGGAGCACCGAATTTTGAGCAAATTAATCGGTGTAATCGATATAGTTATGAAACACCGGGGGGATTTAAAATATATCGTGCACTTTCTTTTCAGCATTTTCACTGAACTAGTGAAGGTGAAATTCCTGAGTGCCATATTGCATGACCGGGAAATTCAAGTCTACCGGTCGGGACAGCTTGTCAAAACCGGGACTATCCTGACTACACCGTGGCAATAATTAATGAAATAAAGTTATCGACCTCAATCATGATCAATTATGGAAAATTTCAGGTTGATCAAACCGTGAGTTGTGGAGAAAAGCGATTTTCACAAGAACGCCAATCACCCAGCAAGATTAACAACAACAACAATAATTTAGCAACGATCAAAACGGATAGGTATAAGTTTATTTCGACTCCATAATCAACATAACTGGCAATAAAATGATTGATAAAAACAAATGAATAAAAAACTGATTATGTAATCAGGAGCGAAAACAAAACCTTTACAGCGTACAGAATATAAGTTGGAAGGTTTTGCCAAGAAGAAGTGGTACGTGTTCACTCACCTAAATGGATTCAATTATACATCATGGAAACTAACAGGGACGGGGAACAATCCTTTTATAGTGTTAAATTGGTCAAAATAAACTTGTGTGTTTCGATCATAAAGTAACACATACTTTATAAAGCTTCTATGTTGGCCATTTACAGATAATACTTGGTTACTGGGCCGAAAAACTTGAAAACTATTTATTTAATAAAGGCTAACGTTTGTATAAATAAGCACAATATAACAATTGGGGTCATTATGACGTGATTTTCATAGATTTTTTTAACGAAATTTATATCCATAAAAAGCATAGTCGTAATTTTAGCAGACACAAGTGGGCTGAATAAATACTTCGGTGGGCCGAATCCGTCTCGCGGGCCGTAATTTGCCCACCTCTGACTTAGTGGAAATTTGAAAAGTAATAAAAAAAATAGGGTTTTATTAGGGTCTCCAATCATTTTTAATAGGAACTGAAAACTCAAAAAAAATTCGTTTATTATCTGCGTCAAAAAATTACTTTTTCACAGCAAAGACAATGACAAAAACTTAGCAAAATGAATATTACAAGAACAATCAATTTTATTTTGGTCGCTCTGGTATAAAACAAAATCGGGAAATAACTTTGAAATCAATAAAGAAATGAAAGCAGTGTTTAAAAGTAGAATCGAGCAACTTTTTTACAAGCTACAAATATTTTGTGGTCGCGGTTGTCATAAGTGCAATATTTTCAATGGAGAAACATAATGTTACATAAAAATTTGTTGTATTCATATAGAGAACGATTTATGTACTAACGAAAACACAATTATATATAATTGGAAATTTAAGGTTTAGGAAAACTGTATGTATAGCCTGCACGTGAGTAGCTTCTAGCACAAAACAATAGTTCATAGATTTTAATGCGATATTATTCAACTGAGCCATATCCTTCTGGTACTTCCCTCTTAGGCTTAGCGTAGATGACGGTGTCCTCAGTAGCATTGGCAGGCAGGCCTTGATCCAGTGGAATATTACTGGGAACCTGGTAAATACTTTCCTCTACGGGTTTTAGAGTTGGCTCGTATCCACCTAGTGGTCTGTTGCTGGGTACCTGTGTATGAAAGTTAAAACTTAAGAAAATTGGCAAACTTAGATAACAGAAAGCTTCAGCACAAAAAAATATAAGGAACAGTGGAACTAAACATTTATATTTTGCCGAAGCCTGTGAACACTGCGCAAATAACGCTCCGGCGGGACAAAGGTAATTCTTCTAGCGAAAAATACTATCTTTAACCACTAAAAGTTTCAAATATATTATTAGTGAATGAGTAAAGCTATTTTTCATGAGTACTTGTCCAGTTGGAGTTAGAAATGATTTGAATTACCAGCGCAATATGCATTCCTAACCCTGACTGGATAATTACTAAGTTTCTGATTTTGAGCGTTGGCGGTTTTGTTGCGCAGATTTGAACACCCGGTCAGGAATCTTAAGTCTTCCTAGCTAAGTGTCTAAGTCAGGGGTCGGCAACCAATGGCTCGCGGGCCGGATCCGGCCCGCGGAGCAGTAGAAACCGGCCCGCGACGCTTCACTTGATTATAGTACCAAAACAGCTGTTTTGACGACTATATTCTTTACGTAGAAGAATTTATTTTGAGACACGTGTAGACTAAATTATACTATAACCTGACAAGTATCTAATTCATAATTACGCGTTTAATTAAATTAAATATAATTAGACAAATGGCAGCAAAACGCAGAAAAGTTGATGCTGAGTGCAAATGGTTTAATGGCGGAAAAAATATAGTCAAATAGTCAAATAGTCAGTCTCCGCGCGCTGCTTAAAATTTAACTTCTGATCTGTGTAAAAATTGATTCATCGCTCATCCGTTCGGGTTTCAACTTTCTAAAAATATGTGCGGCCCGCCAATGACTTGCATCCTTTTATTTTGGCCCGCGAGTGACAAAAGGTTGCGGACCCCTGGTTTAAGTCTATCCTACCAATGTGGAATATCCACTCCATGGCGGTATTCATGGATTTCAATTCACCTGGTAATGTTGGTAAGGGTCTTCGTCATATTCTCCATCAAAAGTCTCAAAGCCTTGAAATTCGGATTTCTTTTTGGCGACAGCTTGAATCGCAGTCTGCTTATATTGCCTGAAAACATAATTGAAAATTGAGACTGAGGTTTGAGGATTGGATTGCAGATTCCAATCCTATGAGGATAGTTATGTGTAGAAAAAATTTTGGATTCCTCGTTTCCTGGTATTTTGTTGGCTAAATAACAATAGTAGCCTCTAATTTTAGTAGTAATAAAAATATGTTGAACTCGACCGCGATAGTTAGTAGGGTAATCTCAATTGCCTTCTTTGCAGCGAGCATAATGGCCTGCCACATAGAAAATTAGCAATAGGGTAAAATATGAGGTTTCATTCGAATGATCTCTTCTGTAGAAGTCTATGGTATACCGTAAATACAGCAAGAAAAATGGGCAGCTACAAAACACGTGTATTGCTAATCCAGTGCAGTGTATTTTTTGGCCCTGATTAAAATTCTGAAAAGAATCTACGTTACAGTACTGCCATCTTTCGATCATATTTTATGATCATTGCTTATTCTTTTTACTGCAATGCGTACTGTGGATATGTATTCAAAAATAAATCATTATCTCTCTCTGCGCACAACCTTGTTTTGACTAAATTTAATTTTCTCGAAAAAAATAAACATACCTTATGATCATAATCAGGAGCAAGAGAATAACGATCGCTAACAAAACTCCCAAGATAATCGTTCCAATCGGTTGAACAGAAGTTTCTGTTAAAAATATAATTAATAAGTCTTTATTAAAAACGCTGTTTATGTGAGAATTTGTGAGGTACGGCGCATTCTCGCAAAAGTAAAGAATTCATAAAACCAGAAGTCGGGGGAAAAATGATAATTTTCATCGCCCTTCTTCAGCTTCTGAATTAATGTAACCGGTGGATGTCGCACGAGAGCAATCTTCCCAGATCATACGGGCATAGATGGTGGTGTGTAGGACCAAAACGGTTCGATTTTATGGCAAACCACGATAGAATTTACCTATTTATCCCGGAGGAGAGGAAAGTCGATAAGACGGCTCGATCATATGGCAAACCTCGGCGGGTTACCAGTCCATGTCTGGTTTGGGATTAGTTAACCAGTTATTTGTTTCAGATGCATGGCCTTGAATGTGGAGAAAGCCGTAACCTACCAGTGGTTACGTAAACCACCCTACTCTATGTTCGTAGTTTCGAACGTTCTTAAAATTTTGAAACCCACAACTGCTTATGATTCAAATTCATGAATTCAATAAAACAAAAATCGAAAATATCTTAAAACAGGATTCTCACCTTTACTTGTTATCCCAGGATCAGAGTCGCACGCTACCACTGTGTAGTTCAAGTCGATTAGAATCGGGTCAACGAGAACTCTGCGCAAGTGTATTTCAATTGTTTCTTTTTCTCCGTAGACCCAAGTGAATTTCTTGCATCTTTCCTGGTGCTTGTTCACAACGTTTTTGCACAAGGAATACTTTTGTTGGAACACGTAGCATGTTCCGATTGCCATTTCATTAATACAATGGTCTGAAAATTTAAAAGTTGGGTTAAAACGAGTAGAAGCCAAATTGCGCGTTGCGGTGACCTGCTTTCGGTTAATTAAGATGATGTTGAGATTTTCTAGCAATGCAAAAATGGCGTTTTCATGTTCGCTTCAGGAGAGAGGATTGCCGATAAAATGTCATAATCACATGACGGATCAAGGAATCTCGTTCAGTTAACGGCCCATGTCTCGTATGGCAATTGTTATAAAAACTTTGTGTGGCGGAGGAATGTAAGTTTTGAATATACCAACTCAAAAACTTAAAAAAAGCTGTAATATCAAGAAAAATAAACGAAAAGACGCCTTGATCGATGTTGCAACAACGCCAGGGTCAGACTCAACGAGTCCTGTGTGCACATAATAAACACTTTTATCATGGTGATATAGCCATATATATATATGTTTATATTCCATAATTAAATTCGATAATCAATTGGAATTAGCGCGGGAAATATGAAGCGGCCGCATGGTTGCGATAGTTTGGCCCTGGGTAAAGAACTCTTTCTTGGAAAAATAAAAAATTGAAAGCTTTGAAACGGCGGTTCTTAAACGGCGGAACGCGCCCACATGAGTTGCGTAGACATTTTCTTAGGGGCGTGGTGCTAATTAAAAATGAGAGTATATGTTAGATTTGACCCCACCCCCTTTTTTGGATATTTACATTTCTTCATTTGGGGTTTTATGTCCCCTCCACGTATTTTCATCGTTGAATAAACATACTTTTGCCCTACTATCTGTTATTTATAGCTAATAGTTAGCTTGTTATTTTTGAAGGGGGGAGCGCGAAACTTGACGAATTCTAAAAATGGGGCGCACGCAAAAAGTTTGAGAACCACTGCTTTTAAAACCATCTATTTTGATTTTTATTCGCATTGCAAGTTGCATTTTTATATTTCTGACGAAATATTTACTTTGTATATCCAGAACGCCAGCAGCGGCCTCAAACGCTTGAAGATGAATCCGCTCAATGTAAAGCATAACAGCCGTATTGTGACCAGAGCAATTCCGTTGCTCTAGTTTCCAAGTTGATATAATATCACTGACGTCATACGGCTCATTGAATCGAACGATTCCCGATTCATTTTGGCATAAATTCCTGGTAGATATCACCGCTGAGGAACTTCGGAACAAGACAACTGTAAAAATAAATAGATTTAGCAAATGATGACGTCATGCTTATGACGCATTAGCTGCGATAATAAAAACAAATAACAAATTGTCGTCATGCGAAGGTTTATCGCAACTTTGTGATTCACCACGTCGTGATTCATATAAGCGCTTATTAAGGCATTTCTTTTCAAACTGGGCACTGTACAAGCCTTCACATAATGTATTAAAGAGCAACTTTTGGAGCCCCCGCCACTAATGCAAAATGTTAGGTTGTTGCATCTCTATTTATAGATGTTGTTTTGCCTTACAAACTACTTTGTACAAACAGTTTGTTATACTCCACCCTCTGTTACCACACCCACCCACCCGCATTGCACAACTGTCTGTATAAAGGATCCTATTATACGTATTTGAATTACCATATTATAATTTATACATATCAAAAAGGGTGTATGCAATAGTGGGATTCAGCCGGTTCGCACCGGTTCTATAAAACCGTCTCACGGAATTTCGTGAGATCAGCGAACCGGTTACCATTACATGACTTTTTTGTGACAGAACCGCCTGAAAATATTACATTTGTATGAAGGAACCGGCTGACAACAAAATTTGAATCCCACCACTGGGTGTATGCCGCACATTCGTGTTTCATGCCAGTATGGTCTTGTGCATACATCCAGTCTTCAGTATTTATAATTACTAACTTTTTTATATTGGTTTCACGAGACGAATAAACATACATACATATATTTATGGTTACGACAGTATGCGGTTTTCATGCTGAGAGCGTGTTGTCAACATTTAACATAATAGGCCCGATTACATGCCTAAAATCGTCAAAACGGTCTGCTTCAGATTTGTCAGGCAGGTTTGAAGCAGAAAGTAACAATCCGAAATGAATTTTATTTCGTTTTCTCGTGGGTAACGCATAACAAGACGGTAATTAATGAACCAAATAACATACAGTTGCTACGGTACAGAGTGCGGATATATTGTACAAATCCCGTGGTGATGCAGAAACGTGAGAATTGAGAACAACACACCCGCCACGCTTCAAAATAACAAATTAGTAATTATCCACTCAGAGTTGGGAATGATTTGAAAACTTGAATTCCAGAGCAATCTGCATTCTTCACTTCGACTGTATAATTACTAATTTTGTTTTATTTTAAGCAGTGACGGGAATGTGTTTTTTTATGGCGGAGGCTTTGTGCAAAAGATTCCTACTATTTTTTAGAAAGACCGTGGCTCGGCACTGTCCATCTAATTTAGTACATCTTGGATGAGGTGGTGGATAGTCCACTGCGCCTCCAATATACCTGGGACGAGTTGCTTTATACATTTGCGGTCACGTGACGTTAATCAGTATTTGAATATTCGAAAAATGGCTGCTGGCGCAGACGATCAATTTAAATACATAACATATTTCCATAAGTTCTAAATAGCTGTAACACTAATACCAAAATATTTACCCTATTAACACCATATCAAGTATGAAATCTAGACGTCTCGGCAAGTTAGGAAATACGACTATCGAAAGTACCAAGCTCAATTAATTAATGACTTACCGAGTGCTGATAATGTGGAAAATGCTGAAAAGAAACCCATAACCAAGTAAAGAAAAGTCGACAGCTACCCTAAGTTATAACTCTGAATGCAAAATAACAAATACAAAAAATAACAACAAAGCTTGCTGTATGCTTTTTGAGCATGAATATTAAATGAAAAAATTTAAATATTTTATCATTGGATTTTGAATTTGCGATCGTTCACCATTTATTGTGGCAATAGCCCTATATGAAAATTCAGAGAGTTTCATGAAGGGGGAAGTCCGATTAGGGGGTTCAATAATTGTGCGATCCTCGAATAGTGTTCGGTCGGGTGCGAAACAGCTTCAAGTTTATCCTTCCCGATTCGTCGCAGCAATAAAAAGAATCCTATATATATATGCGTGTAGAAATGTTTTTTAAAAACTTTTCTGGATGATTACTCTTCCTCATTTTCTTGCCTAGATGCGTCGGATATTTTGTACAAAGCCTCACCACCGTTCAAAATCGATAAAAATGAGTATATAATTATCCAATTAAAGTGATGACTAGGAATACAAATTGCGCTGTAAATTCAAATCATTCCTGACCCGAACCCTAACTGGATAATTACTGATTTGTTATTTTAAAACGTGTTTTTCTCAATTCTCACATTTTTGCATCAGTGGCGTCACTTTGTACAAAAGATCCGATACGCGTAACCTGTATCGCCCATCTCATTGTGAAATGAATAACAAATCCACGGCGTGAAATAACAATCTCTACGCTCATATAATCAAAATCCTCAAACTCGCTGTTTCGCTCATAAAAATTACATCTCAAATGGGGAGTTATTATGTAAGAGAGGAATGCGGGACTATTTGCCATTGAAGGATGATTTGCGTAACCAATCGCCGGATATATGGCGGTAGACCCTACGCAAGAGTAGTGCTAAATGTTTTTATAGGCAGCATTTGCGAATGCCCTACCCACTAGTATACATTCATGCTGAATAATCATCTCGCACAATGAATAACAGGTGTCCGTTTCATGAATCAGCACGTGTGCTTTCTTAGTGAAACTCTGTTGTTGTCTTCGATTAGGAATAAAATCATAACGTAATATTTAATAAATAAACATCGTGCTGCGTAGTGGTATATTGAGTATCATACGCACACTGCCTGCGATGCCGACATATCTTTCTCGTCGCTTTGTAATCTGTGTCGGCATACACCCCAGCTTTTCATTTTGAAGAGCGAGTGCTTTTTAGGTACTTCCATAGTATGTGTACCAGGTTGAGACATGATTTTATTCCGATTTTCCTCATTTTTGTTCTATTACAAATTCGGGGAGTGTCTGTGTTAGCCAAGTGAATAAACCCCCTGCACATAGGCTTTACCCTATGGGTCAAATCATTAGACTCAACTACGACGATAAACGCCCTGGTTCTAACCACACCTAAGGCGTATTGGTAAAGATTTCCGTCCTTCCAAACTGTTGTGCGGAGCGAATGGCATATGAATACGTCAAATGAAAAAATGAATAGCTCGGCGGCGTGGCGCAACGCGTTGGAAATACGCCAACTAATAACTGGCTAACTAATCCCATCTCCGACCTAGACTGGTAACCTGACGAAGCCGTGGTTCGCCATATGTTTGAGCCGTCTTATCGCCTTTCTTCTCCCCTGGGATAAATATGTAAATCCTATTCTTTTTTAATGTTTTGCTTACATTAGATTAATTTTTTTATGAAACACATGCCTGAAATTTAATTTGAAATAGCAATAGAGCCAAGTTAATTGGCTCCTGTAAATAAAAAAACAATCCTAAGAATTTTGTAAACTTTGCACACTGGGCTCATATATCAGTGAAAATAATCCTAGCACAAATTCATCATAATAAAATGAATAAATTCAATATTGTTCTTCTATCTATAGCAGTGGTTCTCCAGTAGATTAATCTGCGCCCCCTTTTTTTTAAATTTGTCAAGTCTCGTGCCCCACCTCAAATATAACTAGCTAACAATGGGGTACAAATAGTAAGGCGAAAGTATGTCAAATATGCGTACATAATAACAAAAAGAAATGTAACTATCCAAAGTAAGGCGGTCAAGATCAATATTTTTATTTTAATTAGCTTCATGCCCCTTCAAAAAGTTTACCACGCCCCTTTGCGGGCCACGCCCCACCATATGAAAACCACTGATCTATAGTATAGAATAGAAACTTTCAATCATTCGTATAGCGCAGTGATTCCCAGCTCTTCCATTAAATTTCTTTACCCTTTTTTGGAACCCTTCATTCCTCCACACTATACATAAAAACTATATCAATGTACTCCCACTTTTGGTACAGTTTAAGTAGGTTATAAGGCACTCTGGAAGTATTCGTACCAAGATGACGCACAGCCTGAACAACCCCAACCTGGTACTCATAATATGTTCAGGTTGTGCGTCATCTTTGTACAAATACTTCAGGAGCACCGTATATAACGTGTGCATAACTAAGTATTATAGAAACAAAGAATATTAGTAATATTAAAGAAAACAAAATTCCTCCTTGGGGAAAAATTTGAAACTTTTTTAGATGTAGTGTCACCTCACATCTTAAACTATTATGGGCGAGAGGTCTCCTGGCCATCGTAGGTTGGTTCATGAAACAGCTGGTCAGTTACAGCACCCTCCACCATTAAGCCTATGCATATGAAACAACTAACTGGCTAAGTAACGCCATACCTGACATTGGCTGGTAACCGGACGAGAGGCTGTGGTTCGCCATATGAATAAGCCGTGTTATCAGCTTTCCTGGGATAAATATGTAAATCCTATCCCTTCCTAATGAACTTTGCACACTGGGGCAAAATATGCTCAGATATCGCAAAAAGGACAGAGCATTCACATCAGTATGAATTCGATAATAATAAAACAAGAATATCGGTCAGAGACCGAAGACTTATCGATCGAACGTTAGGGGATCCCCCACAACAGCGCTCTTACTCCGTAGTGACACCTTGTGGCCCATCACTAATTAATTAATAACTCGCTAAATATACGACATAATTCATCCAAAATCGATAGGCTTCTGGTCCAACATATGATGAATGCACATGCAAAATCTGGAGCAGATTCAATCTCGCTTTCGTGAGATATCGCGTGCATCTAACAGACAGACAGACAGATACCTACCAACATACTTACCGATTAAAATCGATAAGTAATAAAACAGTTTAGTATTGTTGTATATAGTCAGGGTTACCATCTAAGCACCTTGTCAAAAGGTTTTTTTGGGGCGGTACTCAACAATGGCTTCTATATGATATACTGTACTACTATATGATATAGTATATCCATAACAGGAAAACTTAACAATCATTTATATGGCAGTAAATTGCATAAATGCTATCCATAATCAGGCGAATATTGTGGGCTTGTGGCAACAGTTAGCAATATAATTGAAGGGTGGTCCGGTCAGCTTTATTCTAAAATTATTATGTGCGTGAGAATTGCTCGACTCCTTGCTGTTGTATGGCAAGCCTCGTACTTTCTCTCTCCATCATCCAGTTCATGCATCTGAAACTAATACTGGCTAACTAACCCCATACCCGACACACCAGTAAAACGTAGGACAGATTTGGCGTTGGCGAAATAAAAACAGTATTCCCATGAATAAAAATAAGGCAGCAACTTTTTGAATAAAATATCAGACCTCATAGGAAATTTAGAAATAAATAAAAGTATAATTAAAAGTATTATCCTAGAGACAATATTATTTAACCTTCAAAAATTCCAAAGCAAATGATCCAGAGAAAAGCGATTTTGCACAACAACAAGAAGAAGAATACTAATAGCAACAAAAGAATATAATAACAAAATGATCCATCCATCCCTATTATAATTTATATATATCAAAAGGGGTGTATGCCGCACATTTGTGTTTTAGGCCAATATGGTCTTGTGCATACATCTCGTCTTCAGTATTTATAATTACTTACTCTTTTATATTGCTTTTACGAGACGAATAAACATACATACATACTTTGTTTCCAAAAAGGGCACTCCTGTAGTATGCAAACCCAGATGGTGGGTACTGGAACGTAGTATGTGTACCAGGTTAGGGTTAGGCCATAATTTTATTCCAATTTTCCTTATTTTAGTTCTATTACGAGATCAGGAACTAGCTGAGTAACTCCCGTAGTATTTGTACCTGAAATTATGGCCTAACCCTAACCTGGTACACATACTATGTTCCGGTGTCCGCCATTTTGGTTCGCATACTACAAGAGTAACCCAAGCGAAGTGCTGCTCGATTAAATTCAAGTGACTGCGCGGGCACAAGTTTAAAATATCAATATCCATTTTTCATAAAGAGTACAATTCATTGACCACTATTTGTCGTTCGCTGCTCATAGGAAGATCATGATCTCTACTAGGCCGTTGCATTGCACTGTAAACTGTGATCGCATCAGGTTGGTCATCTTTCACTTCTTCGACTTGAACTAAATCTTGACCCCTCTCTCCGAAAAGTATTGTTTTTATCAGTCCTTTTCGATGCATTCTGAGAAATAATTTATATATTATGTAGATGTTCTAGTACAGTATTCCTATACTGTGACCGGGCCGCCTGAAAATTTTCTTGGGTGGTTGTTTTTTTAACACCCCAACGAACCCCTCCCCCCCCCATTTGAAATTTAAAAAAAAATTTGATATCATACATAGCAATTTTTCGTGTTGCCCAGACCCGCTAGCTCAGGGGTGGACAAGATTTTTGGACAAGGGGCCTTGTAAGTGTGACGTAAATAGTTATGAACGATATACTGTATTACACATATTGTCACAAAAGCAAAAGCGGAAAACAATAAGTTTAGTTTCAACACGAGATTAATTGTTTTCCGCTTTTGCTTTTGTGACAATATGTGTAATACAGTATATCGTTCATAACTATTTACGTCACACTTACTTAATCACAATCTCAATTAATTCCTCCAGTCTTTTCAGCTAAAACATCAAAATTTGATTTTAGTTTGGTTGTGGCAGCATCAGGCGGGCCAAGTTTGATCACCCAACGTGTCGGATTTGACCCGCGGGCCATAGTTTGCTCATGTCAGTGCCAGCTGATACTGTCTAACTTGGCAGTTACAAATTTCAGAATCCAATTTTAATGCATTTCACTATGAAGCCCTGTACAAGCATAGATAAAAGCTTATTATAGGCTTAAACCTGACATATATGCATTTTCATATTTACCCAGGGGGGAGACGAGACAAAATACTTGTATGGTGTAATGGAGCCTCTCATATCAGTAAAGGTATGGGAATAGTTAATCATTTGATTGTTCTATTTGTATGGACTAGCAGTTACAATCAATCCAGCCTGACCCTGACAGTTATGCACTTTCATATTTACCCAGGGGGAGGGAAGATAGTAAAATGACGGGGCTCCCGAAGTATGCGAACCAAGATGGCGGACATCTGAATGTAATATGTGTACTAGGTTAGGGTTAGGCCATAATTTTAGGTATAAATACTACGGGAGGCTCTTGGCTAGTCTTCGAACTGATAATAGGATTAAAATAAGGAAAATTGGAAAGAAATTATCGCCTAACCCTAACCTGTTACCCATGTTACGTTCCGATGTCCGCCATCTTGGTTCGCATACTTCGGGAGCACCAAAATGACTTACTTATACAGTCGTTCATAGTTTTTTTTGGTGCTCCCGAAGTATGCGAACCAAAATGGCGGACATCGGAACGTAACATGGGTAACAGGTTAGGGTTAGACAATAAGTTTTTTCCAATTTTCCTTATTTTAGTCCTATTATCAGTTCGAAGACTAGCCAAGAGCCTCCCGTAGTATTTGTACCTAAAATTATAGCCTAACCCTAACCTAGTACACATATTACATTCCGATGTCCGCCATCTTGGTTCGCATACTTCGGGAGCCCCTTTTTTTTCTGGAGATACTGGTCCAGGTCTGGTTATAGAAATAGGTAACTATTTGATCGCACCGTTTGTTTGGACTGGCAGTAATAATCATAAAACAGTGGACCATGGTCTCTCATTTAGATACCAGTGCAGTATAGGTATATAATAGGCTAATAGCTAATCAGTTAATTGTCCCATTTGTATGGACTTGCAGTAATAACCAATTAGCAAGGAATTTACTTTAGACCAGGGGTCGGCGAACTACGGCCCGCGGAACAATATAATCCGGCCCGCGACGCTTCACTGAATTATAATAACAAAACTGTATTGACGATTATATTCTTCACATAACAGAATTTGCTTTGGAACACTAAATTATATTATAACCTAACAAGTATATAATTCACAATCACTCGTTTAATGAGCCTATAAATTGATTATAAATAGACAAATGGCAACAGAACGTAAAAAAGTTGATGCTGAGTGAAAATGGTTTAATGGCGCAGAAAATATTCAAATGATCAGTTTTCGCGCGCTGCTTGAAATTTAACTGAAATCTGTGTGGAAAAATGTGATTCATTTTCCCATCCCCTCGGTTTTTAACTTTCTAAAAATATGCGCGACCCGCCAATGACTTGCAAGTTGCAACCTTTAATTTTGACCCGCGAATGACAAAAGTTTGCCGACCCGTGACACACAGAGTCGAAACAAACCAACATATAAGATATAAGAGGCATATGGCAACTAAATCAATAATTAACTTTCGTTACGGCGCTTATTCAGTCTTCCAATTAAAACAAACCCTTATACAAACAAGCATTTATGATATGTCAGTGGGAGACACTATTATTTCAAATAAGCAATATTCCAGGTTCGGCATTGCCCAATCTATTATACCCCTGGTGAGGTGGAAGGGAATGAGATTCAAACCAGAGATTTGTAATCAGTAATGCTACCTAACCTTTCCGTTTCATTATACTTCCGTACGTTGCCTGACAGAGACAATAAAACAAGGTTATTTATCTGATGTTTGTCTTGCCATGTTTTAAATGAGTTCACACTTCTAATAGACACCCTAGTCCAGGGGTCGGGAACCCATGGCTCGCGAGCCATATATGGCTCTTTTGGTGACGGCATATGGCTCCCAGAAAAATCTATTATTCTAAGATTAAGCTTACTATTGTTACTAGACTTCAAACTATTTTATGGCCAAATTTGGCAAAAAATTCCCAATACCTTTGACAACGCGGGCCCAGCGCATGTCTATGTTATGTAAGAGAATTACCAGACAGGCATTGTGACAAAACATGGGATTCTGGAACATATATTGTGACATCACAAAGGGATAGAATTTTAAAATACTACGGAGATGCCTAAACGAAAAAGGGTGATCAGTATCGTAGATTTCAACTTGGGCTGCATGTGAGCAACCGTTCAAGGCCCGCAGCGACAACATGCAGCATCAGAAGTCACATTAAATGTATATTGACATGGAATGTGTTGACTTTTGAGTAAACGTTTCAGGCCTGATTAAGTGAAGAAATGTTATATGGCTCGCACGGAAATGCAATTGAAAATATGTATATATTAGGGCTCTCTTGACCAAAAAGGTTCCCGACCCCTGCCCTAGTCCCTAACGCATTTTGTACGGCCCTATGATCGTTGAGAAAATTGTGAAATTTCTTACAACTACTGGTACCTACAAAATTTCGCCATATTAAATTTTAACCAACATATAATAATATGATCTTCTGAGAAAAACATAAGTCCTTTTATCAATGCAACCCTCGGCAAAAAAATTTTCCGGGCCCTTTTCTAATAATTTTATTCTCTCACCTGAAAAGCAAGAAGCCCAGTATGATAAATGAGATCAGAAGTAAGACTCCGAGCACAACAACAACCTCAACCTCAACACCAGGTCCAGTTTGTTTTTCTTTATATGGAGTATTTTCTGGTGTCGATACTGTAGATATATCTAAAATAAATCAAATTTGGGGGTTAAATTTCAATAAATGGTAGGGTTTCATATACTGGTAGAAGTATCGAAGCAGACAACGAATGACTTACGAGGATATGTTGGCACCGCAGTTAATCTCGGTTTAGAGCCCCATGACCCCACCTTCACAGGCTGGGACTCTTGTAATGGTTTTGTTTGAAGAAAATGAAATGAATGAGTGCCACTCGGTATAAAAAATAAAAATGTATGTAGTCAATTATACCTATATCCTGGGGAGTAGCCAGGAATTACCGAGTTAGCTAGAAACAGGTAGGCCGGAGGTTATAAAAAGTTGTGACGGTCAAAGAAGCGAGAATTGCTATCTATGATACAGAAAACTGCTTTTATTCATATTTAAAAGGTCGGGGGTCCGAACTGCGTATGGCCGCAATCCCCCTCCCCTGGGTACGCTCATGCCTATATAACAATCGTCTCGGGCACCCCTGTATTCTCCATTTATTTAAAAAAAATGAATATACCTGGTAACATTGTAGTAACGGTGCTCCTGGTCGTCGCAGCATTTGTAACAGTGATATTAAACTGTAATTTAAATCTTGGATCTCCATTCTTAAGTCTTCTTTTAAACTTTATTGATATGTTTGACGATTTCATCCAAACGATACTGGTACAATTGTGAGTGCTGTCGATTTGTAAATAGTCGTTAAGCTCTCGAACTCCAGAGACAAGGCAAGTGCCAGGTTCAAAATAGCAATAGTTGTTTCCTGAAAAAACATTTTATTTTTTATACAGCACATCAATACCCTTTTGTTCTAAATAAGGCTCTAAGCCAGCAGCCACAGCTATATGGAAGAAAATATAGTTTGTGAGAGCAAAAATTTTCAGGTTCAGCATTGCCCACACAGTTCATTACACCCGTGTGAGATGGGCATTAGCTTGGGACCAATTATATTAGCAATTATATTTACGAAAGCCTCATCAGCTTTCGTAGAGCATAATCTACCGTAACTTCAAGATATAACTGAAAAGATAAAAAACAAATTAAAAAAATGTAGGAAATGAACAATGTGGTCTGTCTCCCCTTGTAAGTTAGACTCATATTATTAGATATCAGTGGCCTCTTATACGGAGTCATATTTAGGGTGTGACGTTCAAGACGGGAATAAGCGTAATAGAAAAAAATGATGATGAATATTACCTGCAATGATCACATCAGCATTGCAGTAAGTATTTACTCTTTCAGTAGCGGTATATTGCAGGTCCATTTCCTCCAGTCTCAGAAAAAGAGTCTGTTCTTTGTGTAAACTTTCGAACTCCCATATCCCGCACTGCTCATCAGGGACAGTTATAAGCCCATCTGTGTTGTTAACTGACCAAACCACACAATCGCCTGTGGCATTCAAGGTCGGAGCTGCAAGAATATGGTAAAATGTTAGATTAATGAAAAAAATGGCTCAGATCATGCTAAGCAATAGGGATGCGGTGAGTGGGACTGATGGCTCGAATCTAGTGGGGAATAATTATGTGTCCTCGAGGGGGGTCAGTATTTGGTTTGCTTTATATATTATATTTATAGTCCAAATAAATTATTGCAAACGGGCTCTATAAGTTGGAGCCTGCCAATATTTTATTAGGATTCAGCTCCACCAAACAGGTTAAAAAGCTGAACTAGGCTTTTTCGATTCCATGTAAATGAGTCCTTTGGGTTTCTTAAACCGAGGGGGACTTTGCTTTTGCTTTGTATTTTCTGTAGTATTAATTTTTAGTTCTTTACTATTACTAGGCCTATAATACTTATACACACATTATTAACTACTCTCAAACTGTACAAAAGCGAGAGTGCAACTTGTGCATATCACTAGCTAAGGATCAATTAAAGAATGAATTAAAAAATAAAGTAGTTTTATGCAGAGTCAGGGAGGAATAAAGTATTTCAAAATAAGCCCAAGGAAAAATTTAACGACTAAGGTTGGGAAACACTGCTTTAGCATGAACTAGCGGATCAACCTGGGGCCCTTGGCCTCTAAGGGGGCCCACAATGCTAGGTAGAAAACTGATTTACTTTCCCTTTGACAGAACCAGTTATTCCTAGTTTCATTGCTTGATTTGGTAATTTTTCTGGATGTTTTCACTTTGTCAAGCATGGATTGTTTGAACATAAAGAGATTTGGAATCTACCAATCAAAATACCACCATAAATACCACTGGAATGATAAACAGGGGGGCAGCCATGAGCCAGCCATTAAAATCCTGCAGGACATGGAAACTAGTCATAAAAGGTTAGCAACCACAGGCATAAACAAAAACAAAACTGCTTTCAAAACAGTTATCCTAAATATAGACATCATGCACGTATAATAAATCATTCACCTCGAGCAAACAATATAAGAAAAACTGCAAATATAGCAAACTGCTCATTACAATACATTTTTCCACTTCACACTGAGTCACAACTACGTATTTACTTCCTTTAAACTTTGACGTAAACGAGTCAAAGTCTTTCTAATACACTCTACAGAGTATAACCAGCACCCTAGTCCTAATACCAGTCACTATATAGATGCATGCTGAGCAAAATTTCCTGGTAGTGTTCCCCATGTTATGACTCAAATTATACTACGCAGTAAAAGCATTGAAAAATACAATGCTCAATAATGGAAGCAGAAACCAGGAAATTCCGTAATAAGGTGATTAAAAATCGCATGTAATGTGCAATGATCAGGAGATCAGAAAGTCCCACATTGATGTAAATGACACTTTAGATAACCATATGTACTCACCATATATCCTTGCATATAAACAGAGTTTAGAACTCAAATACAAAAAAAAATTGCCAAACTAAGGAGTCAGCTCATATGCGCATAACTTTGATCACACTAAAAATTCAACTCATACACGCATAACTTCCATAGCACTAAAGCAACTATTTGCTGTGATAGTAGCTTACACATGTTAAGATTTGTATCGGCGGCTTATACACAAACTCCTGAAGTATGCGCACCAAGATGGCGCACAACCTAAACCAAGTTGTGTACCAGGTTAGGGTTCATTGTGCGACATCTTGGAGCGCATACTTCAGGAGTACCCAAACTTTTATAATTTCACCGTTTTAGGGCCTCGGCTCATATGCAAAGATATACAGATATTATAGTTCCCTCCTAACCTTTCTTGACACATTCTTCCATTGGCCTATTTTCAAGCTCCTGATCTTTACAAACAAATCTATGGGTATCACAAATACTAGGCTTTGATTAACTTAAACGTTAGCAGCACCTCAAAGCAGTTCACAATGAAATGGTAAAGCACCATCAAAACATGACTCAGACAAAAGCATGCGCAGTATGACGCAGCGGATAAATTAGTAGATTAGCGCAGGGCTACTTTAATATTTTTACCGAAGATCCGCATACAAAACTTCAGAAATATTTGGGTTCGATCTTTCCAGAAATTATATTCTGGCATCCTTAAACACGCACTTCCCTCTACTCATAAAAACTTCATTTGCATTTGCTATATTTTTGCGATACGTGCAACTGGTCAACTAGTACTCTGGTTTTTGTATTTTCGAATACAAATAATTATAATGTATGCATTACGCTAATCAGTGGTGTATCTACGTAAAATGGCGCCCATGGCAAAATTCAAAAATACGCCCCCTTGATCAATGATCATTATTTAACAATTTTTATTAAGTTTTTGTTGAAATAGATCTTTGTACACTATTATTTAAGTAGAAAATATGCGGCTCCCGTAGTATGTAAACCAAGATGGCGGACACCGGAATATAGTATGTATACCAGGTTAGGGTTAGTCCATAATTTTATTCCAATTTTCCTTATTTTAGTTCTATTACAAGTTCGGGGACTAAGTGACTCCTGTAGTATTTGGACCTGAAATTATGGCCTAACCCTAACCTGGTACACATACTACATTCCGGTGTCGGCCAAATTGGTTCCCGTTCACATACTATGGGAGTATCAGAAAAAAAATACGAGTTTCACTCATTTCCAATTTTTTTTTAGTTCATTGAAACTTTTTACAAGAAAAACTTTTTGCTTTTTTTTGCACCTATATCCAAACATCACCCATGGCTCCCAATCCTGCCATACCCTATATACGCCACTGACACCAATACTAAATAAGTAAAAAATATTGGTAATACTTTACACAAATACAAAATTAAAATTTCCCTTCACCAAATTCCTCCCACATTGGGAAATGTTGCATTGCATTGATATGTAAAAGCTGCTATTTTATATCGGGCATCTCAAAAATTGCATGTAGAGATCTGAAGACCAGAAAATACAACTTTTGTGGCAATGACAGTCCATAGCAAACCATGTTAGGTTATGTTACATTTTAATGATAATTCAATTGAAGAAGGGCTCTCGGTATTCCTACAATGAATTCTCACACTACATATAGTAAATGACTTTTTAAATTTTCAACTTTGAATAGTTTAATAAAAGTAATTTACAGAAACTTAATACCTGATAACTGCTCAAATTTCAAAAATAAGAACTTTTTGTCATCTATGAAATGTTCATGTTTTTCATTCAGGAATCGCAAATATGGGCTATATCCTATATAGAACACAAAAAAGTAAAAACAAAGTGTTGAACTGTTTCACTGAAGTTCAGAAGGTGGCCATATTGAATTGTTACATAGGCGGTAATTACCATTGTTTTAAGATAATCACATTTTGCTAATAGCTTGGCTCTAACAGCCAAACCAAAGAATAAGCCCATTTTAAAAAAATCTTTTGAATAAAGAATTTCAAAACAGGCAGAGAGAGGGTTGTATAAGGTGGGTGTCCATGAAGTCTTGAAATGTTTTAAAATCGATATCAAATATTGTTTTGGCCCTCACATATAAATGAAGAAAAATTGCTTCAACAATTACTGATAAAAAACAACGAACCTGGTTAATTTAGATTGAGAACTGACTTCAAAACAAATTGAAACTGTAAAGGGACTCTATGGACAACCTGTATTACAAAAGTTGTGGACCACTGTCCTACGACATATAGTAACTTTAAAATTTACCTGCATTGCTGCATTTTCTTCCTTAGACCGGCGTATTATGGTGACCGTACATTTGAACCCACGTACATTTGAACCCATGTGTATATCCACGGGTTCAATCTATATGCGGGTGCTAAAACCCATGGGTTAGGGTTAGTATGAGTTCAACTATCCGAAAAACAAAAAAAATTCCATAGGTGCAATAGCATACAGGTGCAATTGTCATGGGTTCAAATGTGCGTGGGTTCAAATGTAATGGAACCGCGTATTATACCATTGATATATCCAATCATCCTATATGTGATCTTCGTTACCTCACATCAATAACTAAGTTTACATCCAAGTAGATAAATTTAAAGTAGAAATCTAAAGTATATATATAATAAATGCATAAAAGATTCATGAAAAATTATTTATAACAAACACTATAAATTAGGGTCTGGTGTAACATTATGCTTTGACTATAGACGTGTATTCAATTTCTCTAGTCAGGTGTTGAAATTTAAGACTTTAATGGTGGTGATTGGCGATCAAAATTTTTTATGGCAGTTGGAAAAGGAATAGGAATTTCATATCTATATCTGAGGAGTGGGAAGCACACAACCCACAATATAAGGGTAGGATAGCATTTACATATTTATCCTAGGGGACAGAAAAGCAGATAAGAAAGCTTTGTCATATATTGTACCACAATCTCTCCTCCAGTTATCAGTCCGTGTGTGGTAAGGATATTGTTAACCAGTTATTTGTTTCAGATGTATGGCCATAGACAATAACGTTAGGAATAGAGATAGGTGTGTTTTCCAATAGCCATTTGTGGACCTCCTCCATAGAGGGCTATATTGAGCTGCCATAAAATAGCCTATTAAGTCAGAATAGGGATGAATATTGTCCCAATTACCATTTAGATGGCTTACTCCGTATAGGACTATTAGGAGACTATGGATAACAGGTTAGGAATAAAGATGAATATGTGGCCCCAATTGTATTTTGAATGGGCTTCATGGAGGATTATAACAGGCTACAATATAAAGCTAAATATAGGGATGAATACAAGGTCTTCAATCAACTGGCCTTCTTAAAAAGGGATATTGTATTGCCATACAAATGGCATGTTTCAAATGGGGACAAATATGTGATTATGATTATATATATATATTGAATTCAGATTGTATTTTGTTTGGGATAACCAATCATGGGCAAAAAAAGGTTACCATATCGAAAATTAGGTATACAAATGAACATATAGTCGCTATTTTATTTTCAATGACCTCATCTGTCGAGGGCTATTAGGCTTCTATATGGTCATATTTTGAAGAACACAATTATGGACTGTTACACCAGACCCTAAGTTATTATTGAAGATGTAAATACAACGATTATTAATTAAAGAAACTTCAAAAATTAAAATAAACAGCATTAAATTTGCATGCTTTAAAATTTCAGTGATAAAAACCAATCATCCTAAATAATCATAAAATTGCTACATGGAGAAATCCTACAAAAACGATTCACATTGGATAACAGACTAAGAAACGCTAAATTATGCCTTCTTGACATAGCATTTTTCTTTGCTAATTCAGGTTTTTAGATAGGCAGGGCCGTAGCTAGAAATTTTCAAAGGGGGGGGGGGGGGTCGGGAATTTCTCTTTACCACGTTAAACTATTAAAAAAATTGGGTCTGTGGGTTTTTATTAAGAGTCGTAGAGTCGTGAGGGTCTATAAAGCATTTCAAGCTATGAATAATTGCAAAAATGATTTTTTTTACAATTCAAAAGGGGGGTGGGGGGGGGGGGGCTACTCCCCTGTATACAGTATAAAAATATTCATTAGAAAGATAATTTGCTAACTAGTATGAACTATTCCTAATTGCAGAAACTTACTAAAACATTATTCAAACAAAATTAAAAATATACTATATACATACAAGTAGGCCAGCTTATATTATATAGCAGTGGTTCCCAACCATGAGGCCCATTGTCCCCCAAGGCACAGTTGGTAGGATTTTACTTTTCCCTTGACAAAACAACTCTTTGTTCTTCCTAGTTTGCTATTGCTTGATAAGGTCAGTTCACCAAGTGTTTTTTTTTTTGTTGAGCATGAATTGTTCAAACATAATGGGATTTGGAATCTACCAATCATGATAACACTGTGATAAACAGGGTGGGGCACGAGTGCTTAAAGTCTCCAGATAGGGGGCCACGGGCCTCAAAGATAGGAATCCACTGTTATATATCATAAGCTAAAAAACATGTCTACGAAAAGTTCAAATAATACAAACAATCAGTAACAGGATTTAAAGTCCTAATGACAGTTTCTCTTATGTACAAAACCCCCCCTTTTTGGAAAAGCACGTCAATCTCATAACTCTATAACAGTGGTTCCCAAAGCTGGGGAACCTGGGGCAAAAATTAGAATCAGAAAGATATTCGCAGGCTGGGAGAGGGGAGCACCCGGAAAAACTCACCAATATGTAATCCTAATACCGATATAAGAATTTTTTACGAATATAAACAAGCTTAAACTGTGATAATGACATAACAATTGATGGCATCTAGAATGCAAAATCTTAATATATAAAGTGTTGAATTATTTTAAGTTCGGCGGCCCAGAATAAATCGATACGCAGGCCGTAATTGACCAACTGGCCGCGGTTTGGGAACCACTGTTTTATAACAATACTAAAACTCTAAAACAAAAAAACAAGTATCACGATATAATAGATTTTGACAATAAGAACAATATTGGAAAATTTCATTCAAAAATTTTAACTTTGTTATAAGCATAAATGATAATCAGACAAAAGAGCAAATTAAAAATAGGGTCGATTTAGATCTCATTATTCTATCCATACTTGTGAAAAAAAAATTTCATTTTGACGTTAAATTTTGTAAATGACCACTCAATATTTTTAGTTACGATGTCCAGGGTAGAGATAGAGCTTCTTTGTCAAAGTTGAATCGTTGTGCGACATGGCCTTCACGTCGAGATCGTCTGAGCTTGACTTCTTCTTGACAGCGTTATTGACTTTCGTCATAAGATCAACCATATGCTCGTCCTTGGCATGGCGCATGAACACATTCGCTATAGCATTGATAAACCAACTTCCGTTCTCCGTGTGACGATATGCCTGCTTCCCGTGTTGCGTTGCATACGATATCAGCATGTCTGATGTTGTTGGCAATTTTTTCTTAGTTGGATTCGCATCTGTAGCGAGTCTTCCTCTTAGTGGTGGGCTCTCTTTTCGAGGCTGTGGCACATTGCTTCTCACTGGTACTCCTTGATCTGGTTCATCGCCTCGACAGCACTGGAAAAAAAAAGCTTTTGGGATTTCCTGTAAATTTGGAGCATTTTCATTGTTAAACATTGCAATGATATCTGCAAATCGAATTTCTCTAGAATCGTTACCGAAAACAGCATCTTCCTTTCCATGGGACATTATAATAATAACACAATAATCTGGCTTGTCATCGTCACGAGCATCTGAAAATTTTCGCAACTCCTCAATCATATCATTGGCATGCAAATCTTTTTGGACGTCCACAATACAGCCCAACTTTAGCCATAAATCCTCCATATTTTTCACATCGACATCAGAGCCGTGACGAGACCCATCACCATGGTGTATAAAGGAGTTATTCATTATCAAAACCCGGCCAAATCCTTCTCGACAAGCGTAATTTGACTCTCTTCTTTTATTCCGTTCCCAAAACTCCCTTGCACAGCATTTAACATCGATATAGTCAACCTTCGAACAATACTCTTCTACGGGAATATCCCTTATCCTGGTATTTCCTATTCCAGTGGCAATGTCTTGACCTGGGTCTTCATCATTGAAGCTGTGAGCGTCAGCGGATTCCTTTCCTGGAGATAGTAACTTCTTCACATAGACATTTGGATCAGGACACTCATCCGGAAAAAGAAAATAGTTTACTGTAGCATAAAGAAGACTAGGAGTTGCATTGTTACCCTTGCTTTGTTTCCAATGCTCCAACATTTTATGTTTTTGCTCCATTGAATCATTCCTGTTATCTGCTTTGATTTCATCAATAACATTGGAATCAATACGCAAGGCCCTCCTCGCGAAACGGGTCCAACTTCTGTGTGTTATCATTTTTCCCATGACATTATCATAGGCCTCTTCAAGGGTGATTCCCTCAGGCGGCTCCCAAGCCATTCTAGACAATTTGAAGAGCCCGAGATATTAAAAATGTCACAACAATAAAAAGAAACCACCTTTTCTAAAGAACCAATCTTTTTTATACAATATTAACATAGAGCTGAAAATATATGAAAAAATGCATAAAACTCTTAATAAAACAGCATTGATCAACTGGGAAAGAATCCCATACAAGGAAGAAATTTTATTGATTTGGTCAGGAGATGTGTGTGTGTAACCAGGTGGGCTATTCCAAGTGACACTACAGGACAATTCCAGAAATTTTACATGTTGTTAAATTCAGTATATTTTCACATTTTCAGCTACATGTTTTGTTTCATTGTCCAATCAGTTGCTTTATTGAATATGTAAAAAATTGCACAAAAGTTACATCCAACCTTACTTAGTAGATAAAAAATTTTTTAGTAAAATATAGCGTGACACTACAGGACGGCAAATCCACCATGCACTAACAGTACGTTGTGTTGTGCTGTAAATTTTTGCGATGGTACAGTAGGAGCCCATAATATTTTCTGGTGCAGTAGCTGAACTACCCCTCTATGTGTTACTCAAGTTACTTAATGTAACACTGTAAATCCATGCCAATAATGTGCACATTGTATGTGACACTACAGGACGTGACACTACAGGACATTTTTCCACTTCAGAATAGCGGCATCTATCATCTCTTAAAATTCTGGTAATAAATCGTTACATGGGTGAAGAAATGTTCTACAGCACTGCAAACATTCAAACTTTATTAACTTAAATCCAGTGCGTCAATTCCATATGAAATAACTGTACTACACAATCAAACACTTTGTGTCAGGAATCATCACAAAATATGTCAATTATACCAAAATTTCTACATTTCAGGCCATTTTTTATAAACCATCAAAAACCTGGGTGAAATTTTAAGAGGGTTCGATGAAATGAATGCAGTCCAATAAAATTCCAATGTTTTTTGATATCAAAAATTAAAAAAAATTACTTTCACTACACTTTTTAAAAAATTGATGGAATTCAACCTTTGCTTGGAATGGCCCAGGTTAGGATTAGGCCATAATTAGGCCTCCCGCTGCTTGTTAGCAGGGAACCTATTGTATTCCTGTGTTTTATTATTATTTATTATTATTATTTTTTTTTCAAATTGGTCCTACAAACTTGAAAGTCACCTCAAATGTGCAGGAGTTCTCAGCTAGCAATAAAATGCAAATTTTTTGCATGACTGACCACGCTTTCACGCTCCAGTGAGCAAAACGCGAATTCAGTTTTTTTGCGATTTCTCAAAATTGATACATGGTATTGGGTTGAAATTCATAACAATGATTAATGGACATGTTCCGGATACAACATGTCAAGGATACGCATGAGTGACCTCGGCGATACCCTCCAGTGAGCAATATAGGATTTTACATTTTCATCTTCTTCTCGAGAACGACACTAATTAAAGACTTGAAAATTACATCACATGCAGACAATAAGTCCCCCATCATAATTTGCAAATTTTATGAATGACTGACCATGCTTTCACGCTCCAGTGAGCAAAACGCGTCTTCAGTTTTTCTGCGATTTCTCAAAATTGATACATGCTATTGGGTTGAAATTCATAACAATGATTAATGGACATGTTCCGGATACAATATGTCAAGGATACGCATGAGTGACCTCGGCGATACGCTCCAGTGAGCAATATAGGATTTTACACTTTCATCTTCTTCTCGAGAACGACACTACTTAGAGACTTGAAATTTACATCACATGCAGACAATAAGTCCCCCATCATAATTTACAAATTTTATGCATGACTGACCACGCTTTCACGCTCCAGTGAGCAAAAGGCGTCTTCAGTTTTTTTTGCGGGAAGCCTGTTAAAGCTGCACGCAGCTCTAGTTTTATTCCTATTTTCCTTATTTTAAATCTATTACGAGTTCGGGGACTGTCTGTGTTAGCCAAGTGAATATACCCTGCCCATAGGTTTCAGTCTCTTTACACAACTTGAAGTAAAATAGGCAAACAACATTCGTTACCTCCATATTGGTACACATACTTCTGAAGCGCCCACATTTAGGCATACATTATAAAGTATTCAAAATGTACAAAAGTCAGATTGCATATGGCACGTAACACCAGCTAAAGATCCTTGAAAAATTGAACAAAGAAAGGCAACAGACTTTTTATGCTAAGTGGGAGAGGAATAATGAGATTCAAATCAGGCAAAGGGACCTCGCTTTGAGCAAACTTGCAACTCCTTTATCAGTACTCTTTTCACTTTTAGTCTAGGGCTCAAAATCTTGATTTGAGCAATAATGAAACTCTACTAACAATACTCTTTCCACATTTAGTTGATGGCTAGGGACCTCACTTCAAGTATACTTTCATCTCTTCCATCAGTACTATTTTTCATTTTCATTTGATGGGGTGAATGTTGGGCAAAATTGCATCTTTTTTACAATACAATGTCATTAATTTTATGAATAACATGCTGCAAATCACAATTATTCAAAGCATTAATCAAATTTCTAAAATTTGTTTCTTCAGGTTTTCGCCTTGTCCATAAGACTAGCATACCATGTGCTTGCATTATAATATTATTTGAGCGATGTTTACATAAATCAATTTCATTTGAAGATAACCCAAGTTCTAAACCAAGAATTTCCCAGTCATTCACAGAAAGGGACTTACAAATTTGCAGTAACTGTTTTTCTGACGGGTGTTTAGATAAAAATTGGTCATCAAAATTCAGACTACTTTTGACGGAATTCGAGCGTGTAGATGTAATAGTATTTTCTATTAATCCCTCATCATTCGCTGCTGTCAAAAGTCGTTTTTCAATCCAAGGATAATCTTCTCGTAAACAGTCACAAAATGAGAAAAATCCTACTTCACCCAAATTCTCTATACAATCAAGCAAATACGCCACTGCGTCTATGTGTATAGTTTTAGACTTTATTTCTTGATATTGCCTTTTTCCTAGTAATTCCTTTTGATACAAAGTTTCCAAAATAATTGCACAGTCTTCTATTTCCTCGAGAATGTATTTTCGATTTCTTCGCAGTGTTTCTTTCAAACTGCCCATTGTATCACTACCAACAAATGTATTTAATTAACTATTGCAGAACTGTACTTAACCTTATATAGGAAAAATAAACTATATTCATATTTATTTAAGGGAAAGGAGTGATGATAAGGTGGAAGAGGAATGCTGAATAGATATGGTGCACCACAAAACCGCAAATTACCAGTCCAGATTGAGTTTGGGAACACCAGATAAGCCATTAGTTTTTCGATCGATGTTTGGAGCATCATGAGCAGAGTGAAGCTACAGGGGTGGTGACTCCTCTACGGCCCGTGGCCATGTCCCATCTAATCGGGCCACGAGCCGTAGCTTGATGGGCCACCAAAAAAAATTCCATTATCCTACCTAAATTTTCAGTTTTTACAAAATTGTTAGTATTCGAACAAGAAAAAAATCGAAGAATAAACGGTATTTTTGTCCCCATGACTGATAAATATCGAAATAAATATATTTTATCTTATTACAATTATCTTGTAAATAAATGCAATTTTACCAAAATGTGAAATATTTGAATATTCGATAGCTTCGTTAGGGTTAGGGGTATGACATCCGGTACAATTCTTAAAACATTTGGCTGGAATCTTTCTGGCATTACGATGGCCACCAAACACGTCTTATATAACTAATGGGCCGCAACCCTTAACTTGATGGGCCGTAGCCCAATTCGTTGGGCCATGGCCGTAGAGGAGTCACCACTTCCACTCGAGTGAAGGAACCCAATCCTCATTGCAACGGTGAAGCTTAGGCAGTTAGGGTTGATTTTAGGTTCTGATGTTAAATACTTAGCTCAGAGTTTCCAAACTTCTTGAACACTCAGTGTGTCCCACTTCCAGTGGGAACCATGACGCATTGGAAAAAAAATTGACTTACAGTGATAACATTGAATTACGCCGCCCGTTTTAACATATGTGAACCTTGTTTTAGATCACAATAATAATGCAAATGCGACTAAATGTCTCTCTCCACAGTAATATAATAAGGTGAAAAACAATACAGTAATACAAATATGTACACATTATCTTTATACAAAATAATGCAAGTACCACAATTCAAATTGTGACAGGGGCTCTTTTATCAAATATGAACATGAGCTCTGTTTTTAGAAAGCATAGAACTTTATTGAATTAGTACCATTTGGAATTTAAATTAAAACAATTTTGTAAGAAAACATGTCACAGAAACAAGACTTAAAACTAAAAAGTGAAGCTACACTCAGACACTGTTGACTGTTGGGGGAGGCCAGGATTCCCCCAAATAATGTGCTATCATAAACATCCTATCTGAACCAAAAAACATTTCCCTTTTCCCATTTTTATGAAGAAAAAAGGTTGGCATTCCAAATGCCCCATTATCTAGTGCTTCTCTAGTTGATTCCTTCAGCTTTAACTTAACTTTATCAGTAGTGATCATGTTCAACAGATCTTCACCTCTATTGGATGAAAATCCAGCATCTGTACAAGCTTGAAATAAATTTTGATCTTGTGTGATATCAGAATTTGTTACAAATACAGCTCTATAGACTTGCCTGGACACTCCTTCCAAATGACTATTAAAATTCATTTCAACAGCTGTAAGTAGTCTCTGTGCTTTAAGAGATCCTTGTAATTGAAATTCCCCAAAGTTTTTCGGCAATTTAAATGGAACATTGTAATAGTTTGAAAAGCGCTTCAGTTCTGTAGACATATATTTTGATCGGGCTACTGATTTCGGCGGCGGTTGACTTCCTAGGGCTTTAAAAATGCCTCCCAAAAGTGCGGGCCTCAAACTCAATTCCATTTGCTTCCAATGACTTTTACTGCGACAAATAACTTCAAATGAAAAATAACTATAGGGAGATAAAACATCGTAGAACAATTCCACCAAAACTTTACCGTTGGCCATCGATAATAATTCGAATGTACCTTAGTTCAGTGGTTTAGAAATTGCTGGCATATATGAGGACTTGCGGCATCAAGAATGCGGCATCAGTTCCCTGTTTGTAGGCGGTGGTCGGAGTCGGACAGTTCCAGACTCTAATAATTCGGATTCGATATTTCAAATTCCAATCAAAATACATCTTACACCAACCAAGCTTGCTAATTGAATTCATTTATTAGTTATTACTCCGTAAGGTGCATAACAGAAAAACAAACGAAGGATATGATTTGCATATTTATCCCAGGGAGTGAAAAGCCGATAAGACGGCTGGATCATATGGAGAACCACATCCTCTCCACACAACTAATTGCCTTTGTATTTACTTCTTTACATTTATGCATTCCAAACCTGCTATTTATTATGACTACTTATATTGTTGTGTATATTTATGCGTGCCAAACCAGCTAGTAATAAATCTTACTTCTTTGCCTGAAGCTCTTATTAAAGCTTGCGTTGTTGTTATTAAGATTGAATCTGCAATGTTCTAAATATTGTTTTGATAATTTCCTTTTTTAATTGATGCTCAATCAGTATAGCTTAATCGCATTCAGTGGTTAAATACTATTCTATCAATTAATACCTATCTAAATTTTGTCTTATGAAAATTATTGGAATACTCATTTTTTCCTTTATCCTTATAGAAAATACATGTGACTGTTTCCAACTAAATTAATAAGGGACTATTCATTCCCAATGCATATGTATTTCATACCTGTGCTTAGCTAATTCATGTGCTTGATAGTTTTTTTGAATTTATTACTTATGATATATTAGTTTAATTTAGTTATATTGGGCAACTCAACGAGGAGTTGTTGTATTATGGTGTATTTAAAGCTCATTTGTAAGGGGATTATAAAATAGTCAACCAAGCTCCTAAATTTTCTTGGAGGAGATTGACTTTATTTCCGCCTCGCTTTTTCATATTTCAGTCTATGACTCAATGTTCTCAAATCTGTATATTTGTGATAATCGTTCAAGTGTCACAATTGTTCATATTGGAATGAATTTCTTATTTTTGTCTATACAACTCAAATCATCATTCATAACAGTCATTCTCATAATCACTGTTTTATAGTCACTTGACTATGCAAACTATAGTCCAAATGTGGCATTGAAGGATGCCCATAAAATCTTATATTTCCACATTATAGTACATGGGAATTGGTCAATAGGATTAAATGTAATGTCCTGATAGGGCCAAGTATTTCCTATTCATAGCTTGCCACTTCCTTATCTGTATTAGATGGAATATAAATGTTTTTATTAACACCCGAATCTATAAAATTTGGGCAAATATTACTCGAACTCCAAATAACTATTTGTCATTTAAGAACAGACAAAACCCTTGGTCGAGTTTCCTTTTTTTCCCCAAAGATACAAAATTTATAACCGCTTTATAATAATAAGCATTTTTACTGTGAACTTATTTCAATTGGTGCGAACATGGTGGGAGATGACTCTGATGACCGCATGGTCGTATCGCTCCCGCCAGTCCATACCGAAGAAACGTTATTTCTATTGCTTTATATTTATTATTATTATCATTGTATTCATGTTTTTTCTGGTTGACAAATAATAAATCTTTCTCTCTTTCTCTCTCTCTCTCTCTCTCTCGTCAATGTCAATGTCAATGTCAATGTTACCAGTCAATGTTGGGTATGAGATTATTTAGCCAGTTACTAATGGTGTTATAATTATGATGTTATAATATTAAAAGGCTATAAAGCAGGGGTCGGCAACCTTTTGTCGCTCGTGGGCCAAAATTAAGGTTGCAAGTCATTGGCGGGCCGCACATATTTTTAGAAAGTCGAAAAACCGAACGGATGGTACTTTTTATAATAAAAATCAAGCAGTGATACATTTCTCGAATAGAATATAGATCAATTTCCTCATTGCATCTCATTAAATTCCATTTGAGTATTTTCAGCGCCAATGAACCCCCTTGCACTTAGTCTCAACTTTTCTGCGTTTTTTTTCCATTTGCCTAATTATGATTAAATTATATGCTCATTAAACGAGTAATTGTGAAATATATAATTGTTAGGTTATAATATAATTTAGTCTGAAGAATATATTCGTCAAAATGGATGTTTCGTTACTATAATTTAGTGAAGCGACGCGGGCCGGATCCAGCCCGCGGGCCGTAGGTTGCCGACCCCTGGCCTGCATCTTATTATTCAAAATTTTTAGTTTTTATCACCAATTTTATGATTTTATTACTTGGGTGAACTGCAAATGCAATGCAAAAATTTTCTGCCTACTAGAAGAAATTATGATGTGTACTGTATTTTGTTAGAATCATAAACTGTATTTCAATTTTCAAGTTATATGCAATCAAACTCCTTATACATGAAGCTAATTATATTGAGTTGGAGTGTAATCACAAATGTGATGCTCGGCTTAGCGGTCTGCCGCGACTAGCAAATATGTGCGAGGAGATTGCTGGACTCTTTTTCGTAGGGTGGGTCATGTAACCACTGGTCGGTTACAGCTTTTTCTATCATCAAGTTCATGCATCCGGGAATAATAAATGGCAACCAATCCAGTACCCAATATGGACTGGTAACTGCATGAGAAGTTATGCTTCGGTATGGGATTAGGTCAGCTTATCGGCTTAAATATATAAATCCTATCCTGAGTGCAAGGGGTCATAATCAGCGCTGGATTAACCAATAAGCAATATAAGCATGTGCTTAAGGGAACCAAGCAACGCGGGCACCACAGAGATTTTTATAGCAAAATTAGTGCATCAGTGCATTTTTTATTTCAACTATTGAACCAAGTAATTTTTGGTTGAAGATTGTTGGTGGCTCTAATACTAGGCTATTTTCTGAGGACTCGGGGTTGTCCAAAACGAATCGAATATTCGAATATCAAGGTATTCGAATACCTTTTCGGCTGATTTTCGAATAATTCCGAATGGTAGCCACTTTTCGCCGTAAACACGGTGTTTCGTTTTACCGGAATCTTCAAACGACTTTTTAGGCTTTCTCACGTATTGTAATGACGATGAAATAGAATCGGCACTTTGATTGTTTATATTCTGTGCGACCGTGCGTCACATAGTGTTGCGACACATTTGCGTGAGAGGACATTTACACATTACGCTTTTAATTTACACATTCATTTCCATTACGTCGAAAATTGACAATTATTTATAGCCGTAATTGTTACGATATCCAATGAATAGTTGCAAGTCGAAAAAACTAGTCGATTTATTAGGAAAAATACTTTTACCCGCTTTCTGGCAAATAATTTTGATAGCAATAGTTAAATGTATCGATCTTTTACCAGGATGATTTTTTTTTGCCAATAATCCAATCCATGACCGATACCAGCATTTAAAATATTATGCCGTATTAATTTAATTCTGTTCAACGTAACTCATGGTTGTATCGACAATCTGTAGACATAAAATGTGTGGTAAACTGCCCAAATATAATTAATTTCGGATTCGTATTTACAAAATAATAAAACTATTATATATAACTCTAAAATACAACGGCGATCTGTGGACTTGAAATGTGTGGTAAACTGCCCGATATTATAAATTTTTGATTCGTATTTACTAAATAATAAAAGTAATAATACTCCAACACACTACGAGAATGTGTGGACATAAAATGTGTGGTAAACTGCCCGATTTACCAACATTTGAGTTATGTTAACAGAATTAAATTAACACGGTAAGACATTTTAAATAGTGCTATCGGTCATGAATTCGAATATTTTGCGCAGCACAAAATCATCCTAGTCAAAAGTCCATACTTTTAAATACAAACCAATGGCAACCATAATCCAAATTATGTCCCAAAAAGCGGGATAAAGTATAAATTAATTTCCCGACTTTTTTCACATTTTTCACATTTTTTCCGTGAGTTCAAAATTAAGAATCAAAAATTAATTTTATTCGGGCGCACTATCACGGCAATCTGTGGACATGAATAGTGTGGCAAACTCGCGATTAATATTAATTTTTGATTCATATTCTCGTATTTACAAAATACAACGGCGATCTGTAGACTTAGAATGTGTGATAAACTACCCGATTATAATTAGTTTTTGATTCCTATTTTCGTATCTATAAAATAATAAAAGTATTATTACTCGAACATACAACGGCGATTTGCGGACTTAAAATGTGTGGTAAAATTCCTGAATATAATCAATTTTTGATTCGTATTTTTGTACGCACGAAAAAATTGTCGAAGTCGGAAATATACCTCATACTTTATCTCGCTTTTTGGCAAATAATTTGGATAATGGTTGGTATTTTAAAAGTATGGGCGTTTTACCAGAATGATTGTGATGCCACCATTCGAAATGCCTTGCCGTATTAATTTAAATCAGTTAATGTAACACATGGTATATAAAAGATATATCACAATAATCTGCAGACATGAAATGCCTGGTAATATAGCCAGGTTGTAGATAGCAGTTATTCCATTGTTTATTGTATGGAAATTCCCGAATCCGAAGTTTCATGTGACGAAATCAACAAAATTAGAAATGACGCACGATGTGGCCGTTTCGCGATCTAGTGGTCGGCAAAGTCTGGAGATTTGGGATATGGAAGACTACTGGGCACCGGTAACATTTTAAGCTACAGTTGTGCATGAATAATTTGGTATTTCGATTCACGTTGAGACTGCACACATGAATCTTTATCGTCACACTCGACCAGGATATATCAAAACCATATCCGGTTACATCAGTTGATAAAAATCTAGGCAGCTTGGACTATTTCTGTACTATAGTATAAACATATAAAATATTCTAGTTCGATACCGGTACTGTATACAGTGCCGAGCACGTCAAAGGTCTAATAGTGAATTGACCTATTTACCGATAACTGCAGTAAAATTTACGTATTCTTTTGCATTTAAATATAATTAAGATTTTTGTTTCGTCTCCTTTTTCATGTAGTATGCCATTGCTCATTTGTACAAAATTGTAAGAATTGTAATCCGCGACCTAGTCAAATAAAATTAGTCATAACATCAGTGCGCGGCGATGTGGCTCATCGTGCTAAGCGTTAGGAATACGCTCGCCACCGCATCTCTGATTACCTTGCTTGGGTTCGCAGGTTCGAACCCCATGCGGGGCAGTTATGTGCGAGAGGATTGCTGGACTCCTCACCGTCGTAGGGTGGTTCACGTAACCGCTGGTCGGTTGTGGCTTCCTCCACCATCAAGTCCATGCTTCTGAAAACAAATAACTAAAACTAATCCCATATCGACATGGACTGGTAACCGCACGAGAGGCCGTTGTTCGCCATAGGGGTGGGCCGTCTTATCGGCTTTCCTTTCCCCCGGGATAAATATGTAAATCCTATCCTATAAGAATATTCTGTCCTTTCCCTATCTTTTCTTTCCTCCGTGATAAGTAGGGAAATTACAAGAGAGCTATGCTCAAATATATGGGCACGTGAACGATTGTTATTTTCACTAACGTGTCCAATAAATACTATAATCGCACACAGCAAGCAATTCATGCCATTCGCAAGATAGGATAGGATAGGATTTACATATTTATCCCGGGGGAGAGGAAAGCCGATAAGACGGCTTATCCATATGGCGAACCACGGCCTCTCGTCCGGTTACCATTCCAAGTCGGGTATGGGATTAGTTTTTACTGTATTGTTTGTTTTCGGAAGCATTTCTCAATTCCTCCGTCATCGTTACGAGAGCCTATTTCGCCATTGTGTGTAAAAGTTTGAGGAACTATAGTGCCATCATTGGTTTGACCTAGGATATTTACGTAATGTACAGTTACGGTACCGTACGTACCGGTACCAGTACTGTAATTGACGGCAAGTTTCATTTACAGTTACTTTGACCGGTTGCGTATTTGTTCAAAAATAATCTTTGTCAGTCAGTAGTTTCTTTTTTCACATGCCGAAAGTACCAGTACCTGGTACTGTGGTACAGAAATAAGAAAAACATTCCATATCAGAATCTTTGAATGACAGAATGAGCTGTATTTGAGTGGAAGTGGTGACTCCTCTTCGGCCCATGGGCCGGGGCCACGGCCCATCAAATTGGGCTTCGGTCCATCAAATTGGGCCTCGGCCCATCAGGCTATGGGCCGCGGCCCATCAAGTTGTGTAAAGAAACTATTCACTTGACTAACACAAACAGTCCCCAAACTCATAATAGAACTATAATGTAAAAAATCTGAACAAATTTTTGCCCTAACCCTAACCTGGTACACATACTACAGGAGTTTATTTTTTGGTTCGAATATTGACAATTTTGTAAAAATTGAAAATTTTGGTAAGATAATTGAATTTTTCCTGACGGGGCCGTGGCCCATCAAGCTATGTGGCCCAATTAAATGGGCCGTGGCCCCGGCCCATGGGTCGTAGAGGAGTCACCACCCCTGTAGGGTATATAACTAGTGAAAGCAAACATTTTTTTGTCTAATTGCGAGTGAGACTACAGTGAATGGAATGTGCCTCATGGTTTCAGTGAGACACAATTCTCTGATTCCAAGAATAGCCCCCACATTAAAAGAGACCGTTATAGCAGTGAGTGCAAATCCATCTATTATGAGACAGTCCGGTTGGCTCAAACCGGCATTGTGCAAAAAAAATAAAACTGTAAAAGAAAACGTCATCATTTGATTACTCAAAAAAAAGAATCTGGTTTACTAAAAGAAAAAAATTTCCTCGATGGATTTTAGCGAAAAAAAGGCACTTTTGTTGAAGTGTAGGTCAATGCACATTGTGATTGATTCAAATTATTATGGAGACAAGTATGGTGCGATCTGCTGTTGTGCCAGATGCCCTCGTTTCAGAGTCAAATAGAGTGTTTATTTTATTAAACCAAATGTAGGGACATCTTGGAATCCGAAAACTGTAACGGTACCCTAGGGCAGGGCTACTCAACTATTTTTATTGAAGGTCCGCAAACAAAACTTCAAAATTATTTGGGTCCGGTCTTTCCAGAAATGATATTTCGGCATCCTTAAACGAGCACTTCCTCGGCCGACTAATGATTAGTAAATTAAAATTGTTTATTATGGTGTTATAGTTCTTTTCGTATATATTCAAAACTATGAAAGTCATTTTATAATAGGAAATTCAAAAAGTGGGGCTAATGATCCAAAATATATAATTAGGTGCGGTCCAAATTCAATACTCGAAAGGTCCGGTTTCGGACCGCGGTCCGCCAGTTGAGTAGCCCTGCCCTAGGGCAGGAGTCGGGAACCCTTTTTGGTGAAGAAAGCCATAAAAGGTACATATTTTCAATTGCATTTCCATGCGAGCCATATAGAATTTCTTCAATTAATCAGGCCTGAAATATTTACTCAAAAGTCAATACATACAATGTCAATATGTGTTTGATATGACTTCGGATGCTGCATGTTGTCGCTACAGGACTTGAACGGCTGCTCATATACAGCACAAGTTGAAATCTACGATACCCATGTCATCACCCTTCTTTTTGTTTAGGCATTTCCGTAGTTGTAGTATTTGAAAACTAGCTTTGCTAGTCCGATCTAAATATGACAAATACGACTTTACCGATTTGTGATGTCACAATATATGTTACATAATCCCCTAGTTTTGGCACAATGCCTGTCTGGTTATTCTCTTACATGCGCTGGGCTCGTGTGCTCAAAACGTATTGGCAAATTTTCCGCCATATTTGGCTATGAAAGAGTTTGAAATCTCGTCATAATAGTAAGCTTAGCCTGAGAATATTAGATTTTTTTGGGAGCCATATGCCATCACCAAAAGAGCCATATATGGCTCGCGAGCCATGGGTTCCCGACCCCTGCCCTAGGGGCTTTCCCAACACTAGTTAACTGTCACTTGTCACACATTACTTGTTGGTGTATAAATAGCAATTGACTTCGAAATGGGGAAGTGCTTTTTTTCATCTCCATGGTGAAATCTTTATTGGTTTCTGACTTCTAAATAACTGTTGAAGTATGAACATCCTTATCCATTGTTTTCCAGCAACCATTAGTTTTTTCCTAATTCACCTGGGGTTTTACCTTCAACATTTCATAGCTGTTAATATTGCAACAATCACAAGTAATAGACAATTTTTTAGGTTTTATTTATGGCTCATGTCATCATGGGAAAATCAAATGATCAAAATCTATTTTGTTTGTTGCTACAAGGCTAGTTATCCCAAGTTAAGTTGAGATAAGTTGCATTAGGATATTGTTCTACTTTCTGTATTTATCTCGAGCTAACTTTTGTTTACAACGGTATCATAAAAAAAAATCACGAGGAAGTTTATGGACCATTAAAAGGTATCGAATTAGCTACAGGCTGACAGGCCAACTCGTGATAATAAAATCAAATGCATTGGTCATTTGGAATTGCAATTGTTTTTCAAATTGTGAAAATTTTTCTGCACAGTTTGTAGTATATTCTATTGAATTGACTGGGTTATAGTATTACCTAGTTTTTTTTTTTTCAATATTTTCAACGGAAGTAAATCTATAAAACTATAGTCGTAATTTCAGCAGACACAAGTGAGCAGGATGAAGCACTTTGGTGGGCCAATCCAGCCCGCGTGCTGTAAATGGCCTAAGATTAACAGAATCAAAGAACAGACCATAAAATTAGTGGCCTGCCAATGACTGGGTAGTGATTCATAAAAAATAAAGGGTTAGCCCCAGGTAAAATTTGTTGGTTTATAATGTCATATGTAATTATCTATTTATAAACATGATGTGTCTCTAGTATATATACAAGTGTCATATTGGTCATTAATCATTTTGATTGTTGAGTCTACTTACTGAGAATATAATTGAAATTGCCTTGCCAGGTAATTAGACTTAGAGCGTTAGACGAGGTTTATATCCACTAATTTACACAGAGTGAATGAATTTCTGAAATAGTTAATTCTTTATTTTAAGAATAATTTGGGTCTGATGGTTCAAGACTTGAGCCCAAATTCCACGCGCTCCACCTTACACAATGTTCAATATACATTAAGTATCTTACCAACTAGCTAAAGGAGAAATAAATTTGCTTTTGTTCAGAGCAGGGATCTTCAGCTTTTAACACAGGAAGGACAGATAGAAATAAATGAGTGTTAGGGCATTGTGAAGTCATAGGCATAATTAAGATGATAAATTGGACAAAGGTATAGGCTTCGGAACACAAAGGGGTTTGAATTACTCGCATGTACCAAATTAAATTAAAAACTCGTTTCGTGGGCCGCACTTCATTCATAATTGGCACTTCTCAGCAGGCTGCAAAAGTCTTCCTTGAAGGCCGCAGGTTGCACACCCCTGAATTAGAGCCTGGACCGGAGCGAATGTGTGCAAAAAATTAATTTAGATCCATTTTCTCTATATTTCAGACTTTTAACTAAAACTTTTATCCGGTATCGTATTATCTGACAATTGTTGTCAGTCGCTTGCTTGGTGTCATGGCTTCATATCAAGATGAATCATATCGGATTTACGAAGTTGTTAAAGCTGTAAAAAGAAGCGAATGGCCGCAATTTGCAAAAATAAAACTGGAGTTGACAGAAGTTGAGATTGAAGAATGCGAATACAATTATCAAATGCAAGGAATGATTGAACAGAGATATCAGATGGTCCTGACATGGCAAAGAAAAAAGGGAAGAACTGCTACCGTTGAACTTCTTGAACAACTTATGGAAAATTGCCATGAAAGACCTCAACAAAGGGCTCCTCTGCCACAGGAAGTCCGACTAGCGCAAAGGCAAGATTCTTCATTAGCAAGCCCCTCAGGGGATGCCCCATCATATCCCAATATAGGAGGAAATTCAATAAGTGAACAAAGTGCTAATGTATCATTCAGGAGTGCCACAGAATTTCAAAATTCTGCGTCGAATGTTACGTCTGGTGACACTAAACAGATGCCACAGAAGGGAAACGTAAATAATGGAGATTATAAATATAAAGAAACTGTGCCAAAGAAAGCATTTACAGGGGACAGTGCAGCAGTGCCCTTGCCAACTAAAATATCACTTCAGATTGAAGACCCAAACGGAGTCCAAGATTCTGAAATCAGAAGAATGTCATCAGGATCTAATGATTCAAGTCTTCATGGAAGAGCAAGCCCTGTTGCTGGAGATGGAAAAAAATCTGGAAGTTTCAGGAAAAAAGCAAAAAATGCATTCAAAGGATTCTTTTGGTCGCCTGGCTCGAAAAAGAAGATTACTGAAGCACCCCGTGTGGAAGCCCCTTCATTGGAAGACATTGAAGACTTGTGTGGACTTGTGAAAAATATTGAAGTGATTCCTTGTGATAGAAATGATTATAAGAAAAGTCTCACAGATGAGGGGATCTACAGCATCACTAAACCAAAGGGCTTAGCTTTGATTTTAAACAACACTTTCAAAGGCACCAAAAATGAGCGTAAAGGGGCTGAAATAGATGTGAAAAATATGACAACTCTCTGGAAGAAATTTGGATGCGAATTATATGGAAATAAAACTTTTCCCAAACCCTGGGAAAGTGACAAAACTGGAAAACAAATGAAGGATTTGCTTGGTGAAGTGAGTGAAATCAAGACAAAGTATAGCTTCATTGTGATAGTGATCATGACTCACGGGGGAATGTACAATGGAAAACTCGTGTTTAGAGGCAGTGATCAAGAAATGGTGGAAGTTAAAGATATTGAGAAGATGTTCTTCAACACCAAAAATGGTAACTTGCACAACATTCCTAAGTTCTTCGTTTTTCAATTTTGCCGGGGAACGATAAAAGACCGAGGCACTGTTGCAGCTGATAATGAAATGATAGAAACTGGGATGAGAAATTTTGCAAAACCCAGCGTTCAAACAGATGGTGCTGAAAGAATACCAACGTCATCTGATATTGTTGTTGCATATGCTACACATGAAGAACAGACGGCTCTTCGAGATATCTATGAGGGTTCCTGGTTTATTAATGCAATAACGAATGTCTTCATGCGCCAAGCAGCGGAGAACCATGTCGCTGACATGCTGACGAACGTAAATCGAGCAATGAAAGGAAAAACAGCACTGTACAGTGAAACGGATAGTAACGGCGATGTCACTGCTTCGTATGAAATAAAAGCGATGAGTGAGCAAAAAACCAGCTTATCACAGCGTTTCTATCTCTTCCCAGGATTTCCAAAGTAACTCAATATTATTCATTGACCAGTGGTTCTTGAACTTTCATGGCCCTTTCAAAGATACTCAATGCTCTTCAACAGAAAAGCATGGTTTTATTTTTATTGGATTGGTCATGGCAAATGGTACCTAGGTGACCTTTGCTTGTGGCCCCCTTCTGAAGATTCTCAACACTCTGTGGCCCCCGTTCTTCAATAACAAAACACAGTTTTGTTTTTGATGTGTTCCCGATCGGCAAATATAATCTTGTCGAATTGTTCATGATGAGACCTTCATTCTCCACCTTCAAGTAGACTGCTTCGTCGTCCCCTTAGTGTAGAAGAAGGCTCAGTTTCAGAAACGCTGATCTAGATGTTCCACGACTCGTAATATGCGAGGTGGCTTGAATTATTTGTGTTTAAACTGTTTTCCTGACCACATGACTTCAACGGCTTCGAGTCTTACCTAAACTGGTATCTACTGCCACCTAGTCACCTCTCCACGTTCATACATCTGGTTCAAATGAATGGCTAACTACTCCCATACCAGACATGGACTGGTAACCGAGAACAGACTTGACGTACGATTGAGCCGTCTCATGGACTTTCCTTTCGACCTGGATAAATATGAAAATCTGGTATTTTTTGGCATCTCAGTGGTGTCGCAGCTTCATTCAAAATGGGTTTCTAGTATTTCTGAATGAAAATACATGATTCTCGTTACATTTTGCATCAACTATCGGAATAATCTTCCATTTTATGTTTCTATGTTTTACAAAAACTTAAAAATGTGTATAAATTTTTCAACCAAATAAATTATTTACTCCTAATTCTTTGTTTTTCTAAGAAATGCCATTCTTTGCGTTGCGTTCTTCCATATAACCGCATGTTAAACCCTGGTGCCCTTTCTTTGTTTACTTATAGTGCCAAATATTTGTAACCGTATCTTAACTAAAACCTTTTCTCATTTTGCTCCTTCCATTTAGCAGCCCATTGTGACCAGTTGTTTGTTTTTTTGTTCTTAGATGCTACTTCTCATGATTTATTAGCATTGCATATAATTGCTGAAGCATTTTAAATAGTTTAAAAAAGTATGTAGATTTTATAAATTCGTGTGATTGTGTTTTAATTTTGAATTATTTTTTGCTTTTTTATTTTTCCGTGTCGATTTAGTGTATTATTCTGTGATCAATTTTTTTTCTCGCATCATTATTTTAATACTCTTTTATCATAATTTCCACTTTGTTAAATTATTCAAAATTTATGAACGGGTATTCATGAGAAAAAAAGTTAAAAATCTGGGTGGTCCGAACCTTGGCATGCGGTCCACATAAATAATAAAAACGCCACTGATGTAACATAGCAATAAGCTGATTAGAACGGTAACTTCTCACTTTTTAATACATTTAAAGTAATGAAACTTGCAGTATTCTGATCACTTTGAAAAAAATGCCATGGTTTTATATACAAACAGGCACCACCTCAATTTGGTTTCTGAGAGACTAACTACCTTCTATGCTTTTGTGTCGGCGGATCCATATGCATATAATGCAAGGATGCTATAGCAAGAGAACATGACCCTTGAATCACTCTATTAACTGTATGTCACAAAAAAAGATGAGTCCTTTTGGTTACAAAGTGCCCCTTTTTCTTTTTACTCCTTCCGTTTAGCAGCCTATTGACTGAGTTTATTTAGCTTTTTTGTTCTTAGATGCTATTTCTCATGGTTTATCAGCATTGTCTATAATTTCCAAAGTTTGTAAATTTTAATAATTCGCGTAATAGTATGGAATTATTTTTTGCTTTTTTATATTTCTGTATCGATTTAATTCAATATTCTGTGATCAAGATTTTACCCGCATCTTGATTCTAATATTCTTTTCCTACGATTTCCACTTTGTTAAATTTACCTCCGTCCTGCTGTTTCATTCAAATTTTCAGCGACGTTCACGAGAACAAAATTTGAAATCCTTATTATGAAGTTTTCACTTACAACAAAGCCATGAACAAGCAGGCACGACATAGCATTGTCTTTATCCATTCATCAGTTTGTTTTATCAACATCTGAACTTTAGTCATTGAGTTTATATCTGAGTTGTCCAAACTCTGGCACGTAGGCCGCCCCGCCCTTATGCCAAATAAAGCCACCGATACAACATAACAATAGGCTGATCAGAATGGTAACTTCTCACTTTTTATTACATATAAAGTAATGAAACTTGCAGTATTCTGATCACTTTTGAGTTTCTCCGACTGCAGCCCGCAAGGCTGTCTCAAATTTTTTTTCTCTGGTCCAATCTCTCATTCTTGGACCACCCTGATTTATATCATATATTATTACAACTGTATTGTACTACTTTATTCCATAAAAATAAAAATTACTGAATACCTTTTGAGAGTAGTGTACATTTATTTAGTGGAGTAGTAGAATACAATTAGGGCTTCCCAAACTGAGGGTCGCGACCCTGCAGAGGAGACGCGCAACAAACTGTGAATATTAGTTAGGGGACTGTCTGTGTTAGCCAATTAAATATCCCCCGTGCCCAAAGGTTTAAGTTCCTTTACACAACTTGATGTAAAGTAGGCAAACAAAATTTCTGGTACATCTGTAGAACTCTGATTAGACCTTTGATTCGAAACACAAGTATTAAAAACATAAATCTTCCATTTTCTATAGAAATACAAGGATCAAAGAAGCGGTTCACTTGTATAGGAATGTGACTTTGATTGTGAGATTCGAGAAGCGGCGCGCTTGTTTAGCATTTCAATGTGAACAGGGGTCATGGAAAATTTTAACATATTGGAAGGGGTTGTGAGCCCAAAAACTTGGGAAGCTCTGATCTATAGTATATATTATAGATTAACAATTATATAGTAAGTGTTTATAAATAATCATTACAATTTCAGAAGCCAGTTTTCATTATATAAATAAATGGTGTGCTGTGTCCCTGCCTAAAAACAATTAAAAATTTTGCCCGATTTCATAGTAATAACAATTGTAATGATAATGAGAACTATAAGACAAAGAAATTTTAGAAATTTTTAAACAACAATTTTTAGATCATATATAAATCCTTTTTGCAATTAAAAAAATGTAAGGCTTTATGAACATTCCATGTATGCATGCTATATCATTTTTTGACTCGAACTTTCCTGATAATGGGTATAATATAGAGCAGGGGTGGGAACGATTTTTGGATCAGGGGCCAAAAAATGTGCCCGCCCACATGTAAGTATGACGTAAAGAGTTACAGAAGCAACAGTGGAAAACAATAAACCTCGTGCCAAAACGAAATTTAACCGTAATCTCAACAAATTCCTTGATCTATTTCAACTTAAGCATCAAAAATATTTACATTCATGTGTGTATGTGTGTTTATTTGCCTCAAAAATGTAGGAGTATCTGCATATTAATTAAACAGTAAAACAGGGATGGGATACATGTTTCAAGACCTTGCTAGATTAATAGTGAAAATATGGGCTATTCCAAGTGACACTACAGGACAATTCCAGAAATTTTGCATGTTATTGGATGCAATATATTTTCAGCTACATGTTTTGTTTCATTGTCCAATCAGTTGCTTTATTGAATATGTAAAACGTTGCACAAAAGTTACACCCAAGACCTAATAGATAAAAAAAAATGTAGCGTGGCACTACAGGACGGCAAATCCACCATGCACTAACAGTACGTTGTGTTATGCTGTAAATTTTTGCGATGGTACAGTGGGAGCCCATAATATTTTCTGGTGCAGTAGCTGAACTACCCCTCTATGTGTTGCTCAAGTCACTTAATGTAACACTGTAAATCCATGCCAATAATGTGCATATTGTATGTGACACCACAGAACATTTTTCCATTTCGGAATAGCGGCCTCTATCATCTCTTAAAATTCTGGTAATAAATCGTTAAATGGGTGAAGAAATGTCCTACAGCACTGCAAACATTTAAACTTTATTAACTTAAATCCAGTGCGTCAATTCCATATGAAATAACTGTACCACACAATCAAACACTTTGTGTCAGGAATCATCACAAAAAATCAATAGTATATTTGAGGAAAATTGAACTTGAAGACAATATAGAATATAGATGATTGTCAAATTGACTGCGCCTGTGTATAGCTGATTATACGATTCATTTAACCTTTCGCGACCCCTCGTCAACTGCAACAAGCCCACATTCGTTTTTGTTATTTGTGACATGTATTTTATTTATTATTTCATATCCGCATTTTATTTTTATTTTTTGCATGGCGAAAATGAATATCTGTATCTCGTTCTTATACATGACAGGCGATGAATATCTTGATTTAAGTTTAAAGTTATGATCTCGTAAACATAGTTAACTGAAAGTAAACTATGATTTACACTTCCTTGTGAGCGCCAACTTGCGAATACACCACCAAATACATTGCAACGGTAAAATGTCATTGAGGCGTTACACCTCAGTGTAAAATGTAGGATAATCTTCCTGGGGTCAAAGGTCGAAAACTTCCATCCTACTAATAATACCCAAAACCATTAACTTGCCATAACATTTTTATATCAGTCATCCAAACAACGTTTTTCCTTCGATAAAATTAAACTTTGCAGGTTTGACATGGTGATGATGACAATAATGTGCAAAGCCTAGTTGTGAGAGGTCGTTTTTTTTGGACCGCATATTTCTCGCCCATTTCCCATTTTAGCAAGGTCTGTTTTTGTGAGTAAATATATAATTAATAATTAGTTACAAAAAGTTTTTAATTTTGGAAGACTCGTTTATCGTAAATCACCTTCCAAAATTGGTGATTATGACGTCATAGGTTAAAGGTTGTAGGGGAAGTACCGAACGAGCTTAACCGGAGGGGGGGACTAGGCCGGTGGCTTTGCGCTTCAGCTGGTCAATCAATCAATCTTACATAATCATCCATAGGGAGAGAAAGTCGATAAAATGGTTAATCGTATGTCACACCACAGCCTCTCGTCTGGTTACCAAATACCAGTCCATGCCGGGTACCGTTATGAGATAGTTACGGTAGCCAGTTATTTTTTCCGGAAGCATGGACTTGATGGTGTGGTGCTAAGCGTCGTTAGGAATACGACACATTCGACATGGACTGGTAGTCGGACAACGGCTGTACCGTTATAATAGTTTGCCTTATGATTAAGCCGTATTTTCGGCAGTTTTCTCCTCCCGTAAGCCGTATTATCGGATTTCCTCTCCTCCGGGATAAATATGTACCATCTGCTACGGAGAGAAGAAAGATTAAACAATTTGACATATAGCACAGTTCATAGATTTCAAGAATATCCCACACGATAAGACATCAATTATAACAAACTTTGCACCTTTTTTTTTTATATCTGTCCACTACTTTGACTAACTATCAACACTCACTCATTCATGATTGGTATCTTGAGACTCCGTAAATAGGTTTGTTTGTATTGACAATGCGTTTGCTGAGACAAGTTCAAATTCTGTTTTTCCATATTGTTGCGGACCCCCGGTACAGTTATCACGGACCCCCTGGGGTCCGCCGAGCCCAGTTTGGAAAACCGTGATATAGATGACTCGAGTTATTTTAAGAAGATTCAACAAAACTGCCATGCTAGGGAATGCCGAGCCAAAAAGATCGATCACAATCTTTTCATATTGTTGCGAACCCCCATGACAGTTATCAATCTTATGACTCGAGGTTCGGGGATTTAGGAGGTGTGGCTCATTGTGCTAAGCGTTAGGAATATGCTGCCACCACACCTCTGATTACTCTGCGTGGGTTCGCTGGCTCGAATCCCATGCAGGGATGGTTATCTGCGAGAGGATTGCTGGACTTCTCGCAGCCGTTCGGTGGTTCACGTATGCGCTTTACGTTACGTCTTCCTTCACCATCAAGTCCATGCTTCCGAAAACAAATAATTAACTAATCCCATACCCCAAACCTAACAGGGGTGTTTAAATATATTGTGGCTGCTTTTTGAAATGAAAGCATGAAGTTGTAGAAAATGGTAATTCAGCCTGCAGCTGCCAATTTCAGTCCAAACTCAAATATTTCCCCTGATTTTCATGTCATAGGACAGGTATTTCTTAATTATTCCAGAGTCAGGAAAGTCTATAAGGCAGCGTAATCATGTGTGAATCATTCCATTTCAGTTATCAGCCCACATACGGTATGGGAATAGATAACTAGATATAAGCTATAATCACAAAGTCGGGGTCTCCTGAAATACACGCTGCAAGTACTTCTAATTGGCCTGACTCGACAATTTTTGCATATGTCATTCCTAACCCCCACTTGAATATGTCATCCGAAGTCGCATTGATGTAATAACGCCCTCTGAAGGATGGTCGCCCGAACAATCATTCCAAATCGTCCTTTAAGTCCTGTAAGCACACACAGGGTAATCAGTGCTTTCTAGCACAATACACGCCGACCACAGAACCTTTATCATTAGGTGGTTCACGTAACTGCTGGTAAATTACGGATTCTTCTACCATCAAGTCCATGAATCTGAAAACAAATGCCCGGCTAACTAATCCCATACCTGGCATGTACTGATAACCAGATGGGAAGCGTGGTTCGATGAAGCCATCTTACTGACTCTCCCCTCAGGATAAATATGTTTATGATTTATTATGATTTCCTGCCCTTCACGCCCGATTTCTGTTCCAAACACTCCAAATTCCATACAAAGTTTCTATTCTACATTGCATACAAAATAATATGAATAGTTTTGTGTATAGAGAATTTGATTTCCTATAATTTGAAAAGTGTAATACAGTTCATGATTCTAACAAAATACAGTATATCATAGTTTCTTCTGGTGGAAAATTAAAATTTTGCAATATGATAAACCTGATAGTCCATATACCAGCAATAAAAATATAATAGGAAAAAGAAAGCAATATACAAAGTGTACTGCACTTGAACTTTTATGAGTTGCTAACTACTTGGTAATTCCAGCCAGAACAAGTATTTGTAGATATTTAAAATTAGGTAAAAACAATATGTTGGGTGAATCATTTTATTAATCACATTTGTCATTCAGACCATAATATGCTTCATACAACTCCTAAAAACTAAAACCAATGAAATTTACATATATATATATATAACTTGAGAGACCTCATCCATTCCAAAGTTTTTTGCTATAATGCTGCTTTTTCAAAGCCTCCCTCCGAGAAAAGTGAGGAGGATATACGAAATAAAAATTACACCCAGGATAAGTTGAACTGAATTTGCTTTACTGATATAATAAATCAAACAGATCTTTGGTAACAATTTGTGGCGCTACAAAAGTATGCGTACCAATGTGGAGGTAACTAATTTTGTTCGCCTAACCTACACATACTACAGGAGTACCCAATTCGTAATACACCTTAGGTGGAGAACGTATGGCATTGACGATTAATGAGAAGTTTGGTTGACGATTAATGAGATGTATAACAAATACAGTGGAATAAAATTTCATAACTCCCAGGAGTCCAGAGTTTCCAGAAGAAAAACTTGAAATTTACATTTTAGGTAAAAACAACAGTGAATTTATTTCAACATAAATATTCATTAAAACTTAAAAAAGGCAAGACTCTAAATGAAAACTCTGTAAAAAGGCTTTTACTTTTTGTTGTCTAGAACAGGGTTTACCAAACTTTTTCGGGCCGGGGACAGATAATGTTGCATTTACAACACAAACGGCATTAATGTGCACAATTTTTTTTGCTTTTCAAAGCAATTTGTGACGACCATCTGAATGGAACAGCAGGATGAAGACAAATTCGACAGAACGTAAAATTTAGGAAAAGACTATTTGCATAATGACGTGGGATTCAACAAAATTATAAAAATTACATAGATTCCACATAAAAAGCAACCAAATTTACAAACCATTTAAAAACCCTTTGGCAGTTACGCGAATAAAACAGATGAAATTTGAACAAACGCGAAATTTCTAAATATTATTACTATAAAATCAAGCGAAATTTTTGGACACCCTGTATATAAATTCCCTTTTGCAAATAAAAAAAATGTAAGGCTTTATGAACAAACACCTTATATATGTGTGCTATATCATTTTTTGATTAACTTTCCTGATAATGAATGTAATATAAAATATTTCAATTTTGATGTTTGCACTTGGTAATCAGATGACAGCAGGTTTATAAATGGAGGTTACCATCACATGCTAGTTTTTTACTGCTTTCTACATTTGATTATTCCCATGTTATTTTTATTGTATTTTTCGGCGCTTATGAAGTATGTGTACCAAGATGACGCACAACCTGGCCTTAATCTGTTGTTACACATACTATGTTCAGGTTGTGCGACATATTAATGCACATACTTCTGGAGGTCCTATTTATCCATAATTCAAGCATCTATTTATTTACAATGTCTAAAAACTTTTTCGCCTGGAATCGTATTTGTTTATTTGCTATGTCTAATATGGAATCGAAATAAACTTATATCAATTAAGACATGATGTTACTTCCAAGGGAGGTGTCCATCATAATCAATTTATGCGTCCTTCCTTGGAAATTCAGTGAGCAGTCAAAACAATTTCCCTACTTTTCATCGTATTTATAATGATTGATCACTCAATCTATACCTAATAAACAATTGTTGGTCACTGGTATTCAAAATATACTAAGGAAGAAATAGTTTTTTGGTGGGAAAACAGAGACCATTTTCAGATTGAAAAAGAATATATTTAGAACTTACAATTTATGGTTAGAACAGTCTACAGACATTTTCCTGATTCAAGCTTACCGGTATACTTATTATACTTATACTAAACTTATACCAATTAAGACATGGTGTTATTTTCAAAAGGGGTGTCCACCCTAATCTATTTGTGTGTTTAAAAATGGTTCACAAGGAGACTTTTATTATATCATTAGAAATTAAGTTCTCTGTAAATTCAGTGAATATTGAAAACATTATTTATCGTATTTATAATGGGTTGATCAATAAATCTATGCCTAATAACCAATTGTTGGTCACTGGATTTCAAAATATACTGAAGGAAAAAATAGCTTTAGTGTGGAAGAACAGAAACCATTTTTAGATTGAAAAAGAATATATTTTAGAACTCACAATTTATGAGTATTTAGAACAGACGTTTTGGGTCACGCCGTTGCTCTATTATTAACTCACACACGCATTGATTGAGAAATAAGGGTACCTAATAGGGGGGAAGATTTTGGATAATGTGGGATTAAATTTCTGCTTATGGGACATTTAGCCAACCTTCTATGCCATGGTTTTTTAAACTGGGAACCCTGGAAATCCGTGATGATTTCACAGGGGGTCCACAATCATTTGAAAAGAGTCTGATCAATCTTCAATGATTGGTTATAAGCAACAATCCAGTTTGGGAAACCCTGCTCTACGCAATTTATTTTTACTTTTCCATAAGTAACAGGGGTGTCCAAATATATTGTGGCTGCTTGTTTGCAACGAAGTTCTCTATAAATAGAGATAATAATCAGCCACCAATTTCAGTCCAAACCCTTAAAAAATTTCACCTGATTTTAGGTATTTATTCCAGGGAGAGGAAAGTCTATGAGGCAGCGTAAAGCGTTTGACAAACAACGAAGAAAACAATGTCAACGTAGGTTTTTACATCATTCTGAAAAAGAAAAGGTGCTGGTGTTTGTGTAATTGTTGGTTAGGAGAATCTCACATCATGAGTTAAGTCATCTTTAAAGTTATAACTTTAACTAAAGTTATCATTCTGAAAAAGAAGAACTTTAACTAAAGTTATAACTTTAAAGATGACTTAACTCATGATGTGAGATTCTCCTAACCAACAATTACACAAACACCAGCACCTTTTCTTTTTCAGAATGATGTAAAAACCTACGTTGACATTGTTTTCTTCGTTGTTTGTCAAACGCTTCCATTTCATACATATTTTCAAATGCTTTTTCCGCAATTTCTTGACTACAACTAAACAAGGACAATAGGCTGCTAAATGGAAGGAGTAAAAAGAAAAAAGGGCACTTTGTAACCAAAAGGACTTATCTTTTTTTGTGACATCACTTAATAGAGTGATTCAAGGGTCTACTAATATTCATTACATTATATTCATTTGATACTAAAACATAAATACCTAAAATTTCCTAATTATGTTCAGTATTATTAAAGAAATCAACAAAAAGCACCGATAACACGTAATGTTCGGAGTAAACCCAGAAAAAATATTTATTACAGCATATAACCAGGGTGTCAGTTGAATTGGCACCTTCATCTGATGCTCGATAAAGCCCTAAGTTATTCATTGGTTCGACACTAAACGGCGTAAATAAAAAGTAAAACGAAACTCATTGTATATCAATGTCATTAGCGACTTATTTCCTCAAGCTCATAAGCAATTTCATAAATTGTATTGAATAGAATGCATTGAAAATATAACAGGAAATGTGAGTAAATCCCTTCCCACATAATGGCGCTGCTGTACAGAAAAAATATCTTACTCTTGCATAGCAAGTTTTGATAAATAACCATCGAAATAATCATCAAAATTATCAACTATGACTACAAAGAATACCAATATAATGTTAATGATGAATAACTATACGAAACGCAGAGATAAATTGCCAGATTAGCCATCAGTTTATGATTCAGAACCCAGTCATTCAATGGCATATTACCGGGTATTAAAAATGTTACATCATAATGCATAAAGGTGATGTCAATAAACGCATGTTGGTCATAGGTTATCGCCAACCAATTGGACATTCTTCGCTATGATATTAAAGAATTGCAATGAAACATAAAATTAAAAGCTACCCCAATATGAAAAGCACTAAAATATATTCCTAATTGAAGAATAAAACAGGTGGAACAATTCAATCCAAAAATAGTGAATAGAGTTAAAACAACAGCAATTTCAATAGCATAGATAGTAGTAAAATAAATTGAAAGTGGAGACATAGGTATTGCATATTTTACATGTTTTCTATAAGTAATCAGATTTCATTTGAAATGGAAAACGATTTCAATTCGTTAAAAAAATGATACAAGTAAGTAAAATAACGTAGAATGAAGTTTCCTAACCGAGGAGAAAATAAAATGGAAAAGTGGGTTAGTTTTAGTAATATTATTTAGCATTATTGTGATACATATTGATGCACACACTATAAAACTAGCACAACAGTAATTTTAAATCACAGAAACGGTTTTGGTAATTCAAAATTATATTTTGGTGTTATAAAATAAGCTTTTTCAGTGGAAATATATAAAAAGGAGTAAACAGTTTTGCTGTAGAATAATTTTTGGTTTATCATTATCACAATTTCATTGTGACAAGTCAACACATAAAAGTAATTGTCAAACGTAACATTGCGTTTAAAAGTGAAAATATAAAAGATAAATATGAGTTGTGTATTTTAGTATAGATGAATATAAGCAAAACTCACTACCTGTAGGGAAATTAGGTCTCATAATTATTTCACTTTCTTATTATAGAAAATTTGTTGAAAGTATATTCAAGCAACAAACTGGTAACCCAGCTGGCGAAAGCATGTAAGAATAAGGCATCAAAATTAAATGCATTTCATGCTGAGGATGTATCAAAAAATTATCCACCAGAGGGCACCCAAACAACCAATGAACTTTTCATACCTCGTGCCTACGGCTCTAGTGAAAGTAGGCTTATAAGAACAAGGCACAAATTTAAGTGCATTTTATGCTGAAACAATGGATGAACTTTTCATTCCTAATTCGACTATGGCTCTAGTGAAAGATATTAAAAATGAATAACACAATTCCTAAATGTAAATATAGGATTTCATGAATAATTTGTAAGTTTGATTTAAAAATAGGACATCGTGAGGATTTAACAGCTGATGGTTTATGAAATACCCAATTAGGCTATTCAATTTTGGCCATCACTTGACATTAGTATAACTGTGACATCATTAATAGCTCCGAAGGTTATTTGGATGTAATGTTCTTCAATAAGTTAAAGTTATTCTTTGTAAAAATAAATTGCCGTTCAGCAAATTTTCTGTTTTTCTAGCGACCACCCTGTATATAACTCCACTACTATATCATTTGACTATTTCAATTTACAATAATTTATAGAAATTTCTCAGCGAAAATCTGCTTTTGATATTCACCAGTTTCAGTCCTTACTTAGTCCAAGACCGTTCTTTTATACCTTCAGGCCCGAATATGTCGCTGAACTTATTCTAAAGTGCCATATCTTACAACTTTGCTTGGTGTCTGAGTAATGAGGGTTCGGGTATCGCTGTTCCAGGGTACTTAACAAGAAAAAGGTTGAGAACCCCTGTTTTAAAGTGCCATAGTCCTGTTTGAAGGTGACTGGCTGCTGGGAAATAAGAAAAGTTTTTTTGACAAGGTTGAAGTAAATCCACTCATTTGTTTTTCTCCGTCTGTTTTTTTTCCTTTCCCTGTTTTTTTTTTCATTGCATTATTAATTATTGCTGACATTTCAGCTACATCACGATCATGAGCATGTATCCTAAAAACATTGATAAATGCATTGCTATGATAGTTCCCATTAATAGCATTCTGGTGTCCAACAAAGCCAGGTTGAGAGCCATAAAGAATAATTGTGTCAGATATTGTTGGAATTTTCTCTGGTCTTTTACTAGCTCCTTGCGTTGAAGTTGATTCATTATCCTTTCCAAAAACGCAATCTTTGATTGAACGATCTAATTTTTCGACGCCCCAATCAATGTTTTTTCCTCTGCAAAATGTAAAAACAAAAACTTTTGGAACGCCTTGTAGCATTTTTGCGTTCAGATTGTTAAATACAGTTAGAACTTCACTGACTTTTATACTTTTGCAATCACCAGAAAAAAATATATCCTCCCCATCCTTTTCATTTCCATGTGAAAGAACTACAATAACAAGACAAGACAGTGGGTCCGACATTCGTGTAATATTTTTCAAAGTTTTCAAAAGTTCATCTGACGTTTTTTCTTTGAGTACAAGGACTTTGAAACCAATCTTTTCAAAATAAATTTTGTGATTTTCAGCATCCCGCTCAGCCCCATGTCTTTCTTCATCAGTTTCAGAAAATGTGCAAGAAATAATTACAGCAAGACGCCCTTTTTCTTTAGTGATTTGGTAAATTTCATTTGCCTGTTGATCATAGTCTTTTTTTGATGACAATGTGACTTCAAAATTTTCATTTACTCTTGAGCAATACTCAAGTGGTTCCTCTAGCAAAGGAGATTTCTCTTTTCCTATCTCAGTTATGGGTTGCTTCAAGTTGAAGTTATTTCTAACACTCGTTGCATTTTTGCCTTCTACTTCAATAGTAACATCGCCGAACAAAGATGGAGGAATAGAGTTCGGATCTACTCCAGAATAGAAATTGTTCTCAATACCTGTTGCATTTTTCCCTTTTAAATTAATTTTAAGTGAGGAAAATAATGGTGCCACTGCCTTATGTGAAAATCTTCCTTTTGGCCCTATTTTATCACTGTTAGAACTTCCATCATATACGTCTCCATTCAATGGCATCCGGTCAGTGTCACCAGACGTAACATTCGAGGCAGAATTTCTAGGTACCGGGGCACTTCCTAATGGCACATTCACACTTTGTTCATTTCTTGAACTTCCTTGTGCATCAGAACTCAGGGGAGGGGCATCTCCTGAATTTCTTGAACTTCCATGTGCATCAGAACTCAGAGGAGGGGGATCCCAGGAGGGAACTCCTACTACTGAAGAACCTTGTTGTGCTAGTCGGACTTCCTGTGGCTGATGAGCCCTTTGTGGAGGTCTTTCATCCCGATATTCCATAAGTTGCTCGAGAAGGTCGACTGTAGCGATTCTCCCTTTTTTTCTTTGCCATGTCAGGACCATCTGATATCTCTGTTCAATCATCCCTTGCATTTGATAATTACATTCGCATTCTTCGATCTCAACTTCCTTCAACCCCAGTTTTATTTTTGCAATTTGAGGCCATTCGCTTCTTTTTACAGCTCTGACAACTTCGTAAATTCGAGATGCTTCATTTTGATTTGATGCCATGGCTCCAAACGACTGATGACAATTATCAGATAAGACGATATCGCATAGAAAATTTTACGTAAGGAAATTTTTCCCTTTACCCTAATTTTAAGTGAAGCCAATAATGGTGCCACTTCCCTTTGTGATGAGTCTTTATCACGTCCTTCAGTCATATATTTCCACAAATGAACATGTATTTATCTCCACTGGCAATGAAGCCCCAAGACTAGTAACTCTATCAGCATTAACTAGGTACTATTATAGCTAAGCTAGACGTAAAAACAGAAATAGTCAGTGATCATAAAATATCGAAAAATGATTAAACATTATCAATAAAAATGCCTCTGAGTTGCAAACCTCATAAAAGTTGGGGGAGCTAATACGAAAAAGATATTTCATTTTAATATTATAAATTGTTAATCATACAGTTCTATTCTGGAATTTATAGTTATTTCGTTTGAACATGACATCGCTATGACAAAAAAGAATTTCAATGAAACGTAAAATTTAAATCATTTCAATCATATAACCACTAAAATATATTGGTAATTGAAGAATAAAACAGTAAAAATGGAACAATTCAATCCAACAAAGCAAAATTAATAGAAATGAAATAAGAGCCATTAAAGTAAGCATGGTGATAATACAATAAGATACATTTCAATACATGAGAGTGTAGGCTTTAGTTTTTGCTATACAGAGCCTGCCTAAAAGTCACACAAGATATGGGTAAGCAAGAAAAGTAATCAATGTAAATCAGTGGTCCTTAAACTTTTTAAGCCTTTTTAGAATTTGTCAAGTCTCGCGCCCCACCTCAAAAAAAATAGATAACAATACAAATAAAAGATGTTTTATCCAAAACGAGTGTTCATGTATGTTTTATTCTAATGTTAAGTTGATGGAACGTAAACAAATAAGGCAGGCAAGATCAAATCCAACAAATATTTTTATTTTTAATTAAGTAGCTTTACACCCAACAAAAAATTACACTGATGTAGATTCATGATAATGGATATTGATGACATAATAATAATGCCCGTGAAGACCACATGAGTCTGGAAATAATTCGTTCCTCCCAAAATTCACTGTATGGATTTTTCAGAAAAAATGCAGTAATACCACTTAACCAAATTCTTAAAGATCAGCTTGGAATAGCAATAATCATGAATATAGTTTTATTCACATTCGTTGGACATCTCTATACACAGGAACTGCTAATAATTATATGAATTCAGCTTCGATATCTTTGGGGAAGCCGGGAAAGAAGAAAAGTTTCTTTTTTAGGGTAGATGTAAAATCACTCATTTCTTTGCCTTCATGCACTGATCGATCCTCAGTGTTGATTGCAGTTTTACTGGAAACTGCGTTATTTACGATTGTCATTAGCTCCACCAAGTGTTGATCATGAGAATGGCGCATAAACACGTTAATAATAGCATTTATGTACCAGCTTCCATCTCGTTGGTGACGAAACGCTTTAAATCCAGCTTGCGTTGCAAATGAGACCATCGTGTCTGACATCGTGGGTTGTTTCGAATTTTGAATACCGTGGCTATCTGATGCATCACCAGATGGAGGCACACCGCTACTTTGACGTACTGTAGCTTCGAGCGAGTTAAATAGATTTTCAGCTGGTATATCTACACGCTCCATATGCTCAGATCCCATATCTACATTACCTCCTCTGCAGAACTGAAAAAAGAATAGCTTCGGTATTCCCTGTAACCTTGCAGCGTTCTTGTTATTGAAAATCTCCAACACATCTTTCACCTTCACCGGGGCTCTATCAAATCCATAAAAGACATCGTCACCATTAAGTTGATCGCCATGCGACATGATTACCACAGCCACAAAATCGCTCGAGCAAGCTGCCGGCGATTTAACAAAATTCCGAAAAGTTTGGATACTTTCCGCAGCTGTTATATCTGTTCTTGAAAACACCTTGCAGCCCAGTTTGTCCCAAAGAAGTTCCATATTTCGCCTATCCAAATCAGAGCCATGTCTTTCGTCTGGTTGTCCTTGAAAAGAATTGTTTAAGATCAACACAGTGCCTTTTGGCCTGTGACTTATCTTGTAGATGATATTCTGCTGCTCCAAATGTTGATCATAGTCTTCGTCATCTGCGGGTTTTATATCGATCTCCCCAACTGCAGCACAGTATTCTGCTGTTTCTGGTAGTACCGGCTTCTTCGGGCGTTTAGTTTCAACTTTCTTCCCACCAAAATAATAATTAGTTTGGATTCCGACTGCATTTTTACCGACAACATTGATTTGAACATTATTCATGAACCCTCCAAGTCCTTGAAGTTGTTTTGTCAAGTTTGGGATAGGTGATGCTTTATTTTCAATAGTTTCATATTCTGTGGTGCGAATGCGATTTGTTGTGCTGGTCCCGAGTTCTTTAGGATTTGTCAAGTCAGGATTGCCCCTATTGCTAGATGGGCTGTTGTTTAGTGCACTACTTTCCATTTCAAATGAAGAAGTTGTTCTCCCAGGTGTACTAGGGGTGTTTACCTGCATGCTTGCTCTAAAATTCGGTGTGCCTTGGTTCAGGTGCACACAATTCTGATTTCCGCTTTGATTTGCCGGTGGTTGCCCAGGCTCAGTAAACGTTTGCTGATTGCTGTCTTGTAAGGATGAAAATGCATGAGGCATGCTTGCCTCACCATGGATAGGTATACTTCTCAAAGATTCCTGATCAATGTCCATTGGTTCGATATTATTTGCGCCAGATTGAGATGGGTGCTCTTTCATAGAGTCACAGACAGAGTTACCGCTATGGGTAGGGTTTCTGTGTCCAACGTCGTGCGTCGCAGGCTCAGGCTCTCTCGAATTTGTATTTTGCTCTGGCGGCTGAGATAAATACCTTCGAAAGCTATCCACCAATTTGTGAAGATTTTCAGGAGTGGCTTTACGCCCATTTCTTCTTTGCCATAGCGATAGCATTTGATATTTCTGTTCTTTCACATCGTGAATATAGTCCGCTCTGATGTCATCGATTTGATATTCAGTTAAATTCAACCCCCTCGTTCTGCTGCGAGCAAACTCCTTCCATTCACTGTTATTGCTAAACGATTTCATGACTTTATAAAACTCATCTTCAATCCGTTGATGGCTGGCAGAGCCTTTATTTTGTGCCATCTTTGCTTTGATAACTTATAATCTTGTTGTATCCTAATTTGTTTTAATATTCATTTATTGTAAATGATTTCTGTAATGACTGAATGAGGAAAAGGATACTTAATTTATGAAAAGGATTTACATATTTATCCACATCCTACGAAGTTGAGGAGCCCAGCAATTCGGCACTCGCACATAACTATCCCCACATGGGATTCAAAATTGCGAACTCACAGACAGACAGAGGGTAATCAGACGTGCAGTGACGAGCAAATTCCTAACGCTTAGCGAGACAAGGGTCTGGTATAGTTTAGTTGGCCTGGCTCAACAATTTTTGCATATGTCAATCCTAAGCCCCACCTTCAGACCTTACTACGTCACAAAAAAATTATGTCATTTCGACGTCACAGTGGCGTAATACGGCCCACCAAAGTATGCTGATGATCGTCCAAAACGCGCAGACGATCACTCGAAATCGTTTTGTTTCTCTCGTTTTCTCGTCACAAAGATCACGATAGGAGAGAGCGATCGCCGGATTTGCGAGTTCGTTATCAGCGGCGCAGATGCCATTTCGGGCAATCGTGATTATACTTTGGTAAGCCCTGTGACGTGATGGTGACGTAATTTTTGGATGACATAGTCAGGTGGGGGTTAAGAATACAAATGCAAAATTCGTCATGCTATGCCCACTGGAAGTAATTGTGGTAGCCTACTAAACTATACTAGACCCGAAATCTGTTTTTGAGTGTTCATTTTGTCAATACATACGGTAGCCTTTTTTGTGACTTCTCATGATAACCTGCAGACCTTCTGACAACTGGACAATGAAAGTTATAACCAACTCGCAGACCTTATTTTTCTCTATACAGACACAGTGAGCACATGTGGCCAAATTGTGATAATGAGGAGGCCTATTCCAGTTTATAATTTGTTTCATTTGCAGGATCAATTCCGTATACTATCTTCCTGAAACCCAACTTGTGACAATTTCGCCTTTTTTTTTGCCAAATAAATTCCAATGCCAAACGGAATTTTTGTATTATTATTTTGGAATCGAATCATTTTATTTTAAACACGGTACATAGCTTTCTGTTTCCCTGTTTTTTTTTCTTTTTCTCAATTGAAATAACATTCCCCCAATATATATCAATGGTAGAGTAAAAATCCAAATAAACACAAAATTTCGCCTTTCTATCCCATGGTATTACTATCGTGTATTTTGTTTTTTAAGTTTGGCCCAAGCCTCATTTAATTGGGCTTGTGTTTTTGTGTGCGTGCTGGTGGGCAGGCACATGAGATACTTCATGTTTTAAACTTTTTTGTAGGTTTTGCTTGCCCTCCAGAATTCTCCATTTTAAATCTAGGTTTGTTATGGAGTTTTCGAAATAAACTACCTATCTATCTATCTACCTACCGGTAGCAGTTCCCTTTATTTACATATAGTCCACTAGAGGCTAATTTCCATGACGTCATAAATGAATTCTAATCATCGTATATAATCAGTCCAGTATTATAATAATCCTGCTATATGTAAAAAAAAATTACTAAACATATAAAAATGCTTGAAAACACATTGCAAGATTTAAAAAAAAAAAATTTAACCCTTTCCATGCGATTTTTATTTTTTATTAAATAATCGTATTTGCTACGCCGACTTTATGCATTTGTACCCCCACAACTAATCGATCGACTAACGAAAAAGTAATGATCCTCTGCTGCCCACTGACGGCTCGTTGGAAAGCTTATTTAAAGAGCTTGCAATTGGCGATTGAAAATTTTTTTTTTTTTTTAAAAGGGGTGGTCTGAGTCACAAACCGGATAGAAAAAAGGCATTTTTTTTCTTGGGTGTTGAAACTTCAAACCGTGATAAAAAATAGAAATATTCGCTAAATCCTTTACTGTTACCGCTTCTTGGTTGGCAAACAATAGCATAATATTGCTGTAGCAATTTCGTTATCTAACTCAAAATACTTTGGTAGATGGAAGGGATAATATGTCTTCTATTACCACCCAAAAAACACCGAAATTTGCATAAATTTCAAAACACTCCCTCGTTCCGCCGCAAATAAAATTCCCATGGTAAACGAAAGCGAGATTTACCGTCGCTTATGTTAATCTCGAAGAAGACTTCTTATCAATAAACTAAAACCCGGAAAAACTAGACCAACAGTTTGCGACCGATTGCTAAATAAAACAGTGGAGTACATCAACGTACCCGCCGCAAACTAGCGAGTTTTGTCGTGGGTACGTATACGTGCCCACCGCACGGAAAGGGTTAAATTGGTCGTTTTCACGCGGCCGTTCAGAACCCTATTTCAGTATTTGAGTTTTGAATCATAAATAAATAACATTAAATTTTTTGGTTTATGGTGCTCCCCATCCTCCATGGATTTTACGTGGGGTATTTTTCAGGTTTCACTGTATTATTTAAGTACGACTATAGATACGATACGATTTAAGTAAGTAAGTTAGAATCACCATGCATATAATGTGGTTTATCGTAAATTTATATACAAGTATGTACTACTCAATGATGCATGAAAGAATATTAGTAGTTCTATTTTGACAACAGCAAAGGCAACAAAGAAAAAAGATGGGTCAAAAAGCACTAGATATTAACAACAGATGAGTGTTGATGACACCACCACACCGCAGACGACGATTGAAAGGGAACTTCCCTTCATTAGTAGCAGTAATTATGACGTTACTGGTCAGTACTTGCCCGTCATGTGAATATACAGGGGAAAACCCCGGTCTGCTAATCGGTTCTCGCTTGTGAGCTGCTATTATCCGCTTTTCGTTTTTTCGCTTAGATTTATTTATTGTCTACGGTATTTCTGTATTGTATGATTCAATTTTTATCGAGATTGCGCCATCAAGTCCATGCTTGGGTACCGTACCGGTAACCGGACGAGAGGCCGTGGTTCGTCATACGGACATACCAGTACCGGTACTGATTGTTGAGGCTGTCTTATTCCCTTTCCTCTCCCCCAAGATAAATACGTGAAACTCATCTTATTATTAACAGGTAAAACTAATTGTGATACCTGTACCGGTATTGTTTTTCTGTTTATAATTAGCTCCTTGGCAGATCGCATGTTCCGTTCAAATTACCCTACCTGGTACCGGTACCGTTAAAGCAGCTAACTTCGGATGATTTCACTATATTTTAATCTATAACTCTGCCGTTTGTTGTCCAATTTGCGTCAAACTTGAAATATATTACATTGATGTAATTCTCTGCATCTACATATAATTTTCTCGGTGATCGGATCATTTTTTCTGTCTTAATTGTCTCATTTTCTGTGATCTGTAACGACGCAAATAAATATCTAACTTCGGATGGGTGTATCCCCTCCCTGCGTCACCGAAAAGTGCGTGCGTGAGGACAAAACACGCTTTACGTCGTTGCGTAAATGCCAAATGTTCAATCCACGTTGCGAGTGACGATGATAATGTCGACCGTGGGATTTCCGGCGCGGCACTTAGATAGATAGATAGATAGTTTATTTCGAAAACTCCATAACAAACCTAAATTAAAAATGGAGAATTCTGGAGGGCAAGCAAAACCTACAAAAAAGTTTAAAACATGAAGTATCTCATGTGCCTGCCCACCAGCACGCACACAAAAACACAAGCCCAATTAAATGAGGCTTGGGCCAAACTTAACAAACAAAATACACGATAGTAATAAACTTTCGGGCTGTTGTACTCTCTTTCAACAATTACGTTGATAATGACCAATACCTACAACCTCATGCAAAGATAATGTGGGGAGTGGAATGTAATAAATTTGCGACGATAGTCATACTCATGAAGCCATGAAAGCTTTAAGAAAAACCAAGCCATGAAAAACTACACTGGTTGCTAGATTGGGCATTGCGGAAAAGGTGATAAGTGGTTTAATATACAAACAAACGCAAAACCATGGCGGCAAATTCGGTGTGCGGACACTCATAAAAGCAATTATTAGGAAAAACACTAATCACACGTGAGCAGGTCTGTAGCCTAATTGATACATTGACGTGGCCAACATTGTTAAAACAGTACCGGTATACACACAGAGAGAACAAATCAAAAATATGCCACTAAATGAATGTTTAAAAATGTTACACTGTAAGTTACCCTGCAAACTATTTACACATATATAGTTGAATACTCAGTATTCAGTACTTTCAAGTTGTTTTTATACTAAAATGTCTCGTTTTATTTTCTCTTATCGTAACTTTAGATCCGAATATTCACCGATCATAGTCGATTTAGTTATAGCCGATGATGTTTTGATAGCGTTTTTTTACACTCCACAGTCACACCATGTATAGTCGCACAATATATATTATTGAGCATGCACATGGCAGCACTCTTTATTAAATTGACCTATTTAAATGTCGGTCGTGCATAAATCACGACAAAACACCGATTTGGCAATTGGCAACTTTATTAAAATTACTTTCGTTAAATTTACGAAACGGAACTCACTTGCAACAATGATTGTTGTTATTTATCGCTGGTTATATATTTTTATATTTACGCAATATTTCTCGACTGCTCACAATTTTTCTAATTTGAACCATGTTGCCGTACCAAATGGAGAAATTTGAAATCGTCAAATCGAATGAATATGCTTTCATTAATTGCCATTTTTAATAAATTTAATTGAATTACATTTCCAGCATTTGACGCCATCAATTTACGATCCACAGAAAATGGTTGATGCGTATATTTTGCCGATATTGATCAATCGAACAAAATATCGTTGTTATTTTCTATTCAACTCGTCGGCGCCCTAATGTCTGGCGTCAAACCTGTAACAACGACGCAACATGACGTCGTCCTCGAAGTGAGCGACGTTAGGGTGACGTCAAGTTCAACGTTTGCGTCAGATGCTATTATTGTGATAAAAAAAAATTATTTATTTAATTTTAATTTTTTATCGGGTCTCATACGACATCTCGCGATCAGTCTAATTTTCTATATACATTGATAACGCCCTCTATCGAATGACACTATTTTGACGAAGTTAGCATCAGTAGAAGTCACGATTTGAGCCGTTCGAAAACGAAGTGACAATTTTTTGCTAAAACGTGATTTTTTTAATCATAAAATAACTTTTACTGCGCGATTGAATATGATAACAGATTTAGATATATAAGTCCTCACTATAGAAACTGTCATAAGCACAATATGACGCAATTTAGTCGAGATAAAAACAATTAAAAATTTCATCCGAAGTTACAAACCATCCGAAGTTACCTGCTTTTACGGTACCTGCCAATCCCACCATAAATATGTAAATCCTATCCTAACCACAGATTAGACAGCTTTATGTCGTACGTAGATCTAGACTTTAGATTATAGGTATGAATTAGTTCAGTAGTTAGCCAGGTATTTTTTTCAGATGCATGGATTTAATGGTGGAGGAAGCTGTAGCCGACCAGCAAGTATGTGGACCACCCTACAGTGTCAAGCAGTCTAGCAATCCATTCTCACATAATTAACCCTGTATGGAAATTGGACCTGCGAAACCAAAATTCTGTTCCTTTTTTATAACCACAGTAGCTCCTTACAATGCAATGTCTGCCTGTGCAGAGCCTTTTTCATGGTGAAATACATATAAATTGTCGCCAAAAAAATCTCATGAATCTTGTTCTTTATTTATTTTTTCAGATCATTTTTATTTCAAGTATTTTAACCGACAGTCTGTGATGTCATCAAAAATTCCTGCGAAACAGATTTATAAATTCATTGATAAATTTGATACTCAACCAGAATTTCTCGAATTCGCTCGAAGTGAACTCGAAATTAGTAATCGTGAAATAAATGACGTTACCGCAGATCACTCTAGTAGCAGAGAACAAAAATATCAAATACTATGTCTATGGGTTAAAAAAAATGGCCGTGCAGCGACTCTCGAAAAGTTAGAGCAACGGAAACGTAATTTTGACACTGGTAATGAGGAAAATGATGATCAAGCACAACAACAGCCCACTTCGAGTTACTCGGAACCAGGAAGAGCTCGGGTTCCACCACCAGGTGGTGTACAACAACCCAATAATACATCAGTTAAAAGAGTCGCTGTAGAAAGTTCCTCTGAATCAAAAACAACTGCGCATGAAGTCCAAAAAGCATTTAACGAAAAATACAGTCACGTTGAGCTACAACCAAACTCTCGACGTGAAGAAGTATCGGTAGGCAGCATTGCTGATCAATCTTGCGAATTACAAACTGCTAATGAATCCCATCTATGCGGGGAAGTCGCTTCAATCAAAGTGCAGAGTTGCTCACATGAGGATATACACTCAATTATGAGGCATGATAATATTTATCAAATATCTCCAAGTCCCAAAGGATATATGCTTATTATAAACAATAATTTTCGAGAGCAAGAGGGAGAGAGAATCGGTGCGAAAAAGGATGTTGAAAACATGAATCGTTTATGGAATGATTTGGGTTGTAAAGTTGCTGTAAAAGAGGATTTAAACGCAGATGAAATTCGTGATACATTAGAAAAAGTAGCACGATCTCCAAATATATCAGCATATAGCTTTGTTGTTGTCTTTATCATGTCTCATGGCGAAATACAGAACGGCACTGAGGTTGTGCTTGGCGAAGACAGCTCTCCTGTTACAATCAATCAAATTTTAGCGCCATTCAGTAATAACAGATGTCGAGCATTAGCAGGAAAACCGAAGTTATTTTTCTTGCAGTTTTGCAGAGGATGTATTATTGACACTGGAGGAGAATACCGTTGTCAAGATGATAGGATAGAAGATTTATTCAAATCTTTAATGAACCATTTTCCTTCTGAAGGAGTTTGCATGAGTGATTTGAGCAGCCAACGAAGTTTACCAGTAAGGTCTGATATGCTCATATCATACGCAACACAATCAGGTTATATGGCATTTCGCAATGGAAGAGGAAGTTGGTTTATTAATGCAATAGCAAATATATTCATGAAGTACGCTCATATTGAGCATGTCGCTGATTTAATGATTCGTGTGAGAAGTGCAGTCTGTGCAAAAACTGGGTTAACTCCGTTGAATGACACTATAAATGTACCATGCAAAGAGATGAGTGAAAGTAGTGACTTTCTGACTAAAAAACTTTATCTACTCCCTGGATATCCAAGGGATGATATATTGGATTAGGAACAGAAAATAACCAACAAAATCTGAGTTGACATGGATCCTTTATGGCTTCATTTCATTCGCCTATTACCTCTTTGAAGTCTAAGACCAGTCATCTATGAATACAGAAATTTCGGTTCTACTATAGCACGAGTGCTACCGTCGTAAATGGCCAATCCAGATTTGTGGACTAGTTATGCTCGAGGGCTATAATATGTATGCTATAGCACAGGGATGGGCATTTACTTTTCTGAGTGGGCCAGTTACACAAAATAACTTTATGACTTGGGCGGTGGCTCAAAACTCACTATGAATAAAAAACAGGAGACCTCCTGAAGTATGCGCACCAAGATGGCGCACAACCTGAACTCAGGTTGTGTATCAGGTTAAGGTTCAGGTTGTGCGACATCTTTGTGCGCATACTTCAGGAGCACCAAAACAGGTTATTTACAACAGCTAGGCTAACGTCTATAGCAAAAAGACATTATTTTCTTCGATATTTTCAACAGAAATTTACATCCATAAAAATTATAGTCATAATTTCATCAGACACAAAAGGGCCGGATGAAAAACTTCGTTGTGCCGTAATTTGCCCAACCATACTATAGCACCAGCTAAATGTAGATCTCATGCTGTAGTAACATCAAAATTTTATAATTAGCACATTGTATATATGTGGTAAAAAAAAAACGATAATTGTAGATTTATTATTGTTTGAACTAGAACCCAACCCAAAAGTCTGATTGAAGTCTTTAATTTTTTGCTTGATGCGGCTTTCGTCTGAGATAAAATCCAGGATTATGATACTAAATTGCTCACATATGTTTAATTGAATTTTGAAGAATGTAATTTTCTATGATACTAAATTGCTCACTTATATTTGATTTGATTAGTTTTCATTTTTTTTGTAATTTTACAGATTAATATTTTTAGGCAACCACTGATGTACTAAGAATTAAGTGTGTATTTTATACTATCTTGTTTTCAACTTTTTATTGAATTTGTATTGCTCTTATAACTGTCAATTTACCACTTTTCTAATTTTGAAACTATGAAATGATTTTTAACTCATTAAATAACTAAATAATGTTTACCATTTCTTTTATACACTTTTATCTGAAAAGGAAAGATTTTCATGAAATTGCCAACAAAACGAAATTTTTTTGTTTGTTCATATTACTATTGCGTAGAAAATTTCAGTGATGATTATGAATAATATTTCATCTTGTAAATGATACGTTTTTCGTCGGCTGGACAACTTTGTATAAAAAAGAAAAACAAATACTGTGGAGCCAACTGATCTGGCTACTTTACTTGATACAGTATTCAGTACTCCCAAAGTATGTGTTGTGCCATAATTTCAGGTATAAATACTACGAGAGTCATTGCTAGTCCCCGAACTCATAATAGAACTAAATTAAGAAAAGTTGGAATAAAATTATGGCCTAACCCTAACCTGGTACACATACTACATTCCGGTGTTCGCTATCTTGGTTCACAAACCTCAGCAGCGCCCAGTGTTCATATAGTAGACGTCAATTTGAATTATCATATTTTACGGACCATAAGAGCGATACCCTGTATTATAAGGCGCACTGTCAATAAATTGCTTAGATTGAGTTTTTATTCCTACATAAGATACATTGGTACTCCCGAACTATATGAACCAGGATGGCGGACACCGGAACGTAGTATGTGTACCAGGATAGGCCCCAATTTTCCTTAGTTTAGTTCTATTACGAGTTTGGGGAATAGCCAAGTGTCTCCCATAGTATTTATTTGTACCTGAAATTATGGCCTAACCCTATCCTGATGTCTAACATCTTGGTACACATACTTCAGGTGTACCGATACATCGGCCTATAAGGCACAATGGTTTGTAAGACAATATCTGTACTAGTTCATACTATTCAATCGTAAATTGCCTCATTTTCATTCTGGCCTCATGTATTTAGGCGAGAGGTTAGTATTCATACAAATATTTGCATGAACCCTTACTTAAAATTCAGTCACATCTCCAGATTTACCTGTTGCCATACTTTTTAACAACTATAAGAAATGCCTAATTTTACAAGGTCTGGTTGAGTTTTTTACAGATGTATATGAATGAACTGCACAAACTTCAAATGTTTCTTAGACAGACTAAGAAAAAGTGTTTTGCATTGTGTGATGTTTGGGAAAATGGAAAATTATATTTAATACACTGTAGCAGTATTAAATGGCACGTGGTACAGTCATTGGCTTTTAATAATTTCACAAACTTCTCAAAATACCTGCAAATTTTAATCTTTCTGTAATACAAAACGTTCATGGAGATCATTGCATAAGCTTTGTTTCTGTACAATTTTTTCCCAGTTCTACTTCCAACTGTCTTCCATGCATTTTCTCTGGAAACTTTTACTGTCAATGTTTGATATTTATTCAAGTATTTGGTGATTTAGAGTTACTCATAATATATTTTGATAAAGATTCAAATTCAAAATCAAACATGATTCCTGTTTTGTAAATTATTGACAATCAAGCAAGTGCACTTGTAGATTGTTGGGTTAAATTAGTGCTGGGGCAAAATAAATTTTTATCTTCGCAACTAACAAACCAATATAGTTGAAGCCACTGGAGGGCTAATATTTGACTCAAAATTTTTGTTTAAATTTGAATCAGGAGAGAACAGTCTATTCCTTCCCACTTGGCCACCTCACTCACGCCTGGCTGATAATCTTTTGAGCAAACTCAGTGCTCAAACGATGTCCTATTTTACCGCTATTTCTGCACGACTTCCATAAATTTTAAATTTTGCTCTAATTTCTTTTATGATAAATTAGGGTGCTCTTGAAGTATGCGAACCAAGATGGCGGACATCGGAACGTAACATGGGTAACAGGTTAGGGTTAGGCGAGAATTTTTTTTTTCAAATTTTCCTTATTTCAGTCCTATTATCAGTTCGAAGACTAGCCAAGAGCCTCCCGTAGTATTTATACCTAAAATTATGGCCTAACCCTAACCTAGTACACATATTACATTCCGATGTCCGCCATCTTGGTTCGCATACTTCGGGAGCCCCTAAATTAATTATATGTTAATGTATGTACAAGCAATCCATGAAATCGTGTTTACACTAACAAATGTTGAATTCTAATTAATCCTGATTGTATTTCGACTGTTTTTTTAACTCGACCGTACAAGATTCGCATTTTATTCATTCCATCATAATTAACAGAAATTTTGCAATTGTTATTGTTTACGAGTTATATAATGTGTTACAATTTTTGTACATATGTTAAATTATCTGATAGTGATTCTACTAATTTTATTTTTTTTAGCTTATTATGAATTTGGCAATTGCTTGTACTATATTTTTCCCCAAATAAGGTCATCTCGACAATCACAAAAAAACTTCCATTTTCTTAATTTTACTCACTTAAGATTGTACTGAAATGAAATAGGTGCTTCATGTAAAGGAGGAAATGTACTAACTGGTACAATGGTTCTTCTCAACTGTGCTTTATTTATACTTCATAGTGTATTTTAGCTTTGTTTCAAACTGTATTGAGCACTTTTGTTAGGGAAAGAGAAAAACTAACCAATGCTATGTCTCTTATATCATGCATTTGGTGTTGTGTGCTCATAATAGTTCAACACAAATTTCTGTAAAAAGCATAAACACCACTTCACTGGAATCTACCCCTTTTTGATTGTTATTAGTGCACACATTGTTTTCAAATTTAGACTTCAGATGTTGATTTTTGCCTTCCATCTTTAATTGCTTTTATCCCTGTATTGGTTGATAATACATTAAAATGAAGCGAAAATTGTCAGCAAAATGTGAACTTGTTTAATATTAAAAGGCTTTAGGCAGGGATTGGGGGCGTGAATCTAGCTGCGAAATTTACCCATAATTTATTAGAGGAGCAGATTATTGGACATGGTGTGGGCCTATGGATCATCAAAATGTGCGCACCTTGTGGCGGTTCAGCGAACTCGTGCTTAGCGAAAGTGGGAGGTTTTAACGGGATCGGTGGACTGTGGAACTTGATCTGGTAATACAGTGAAATTACTTGGATCAATTGGTATTTTAATTGACGTTGCAAGAGGAATCGTAATGGTGTGGGGGTGGGGTTAATATCTCCGGCTCCTAGTTGACAAATATCCTGAATCCCTGAACCTCCAGTCAAGAGATGACTTGGTAATAAGTTGAGTCATCTATAAAGGGGTTTCCGCAACTGGGGTCCGCGGACCCCTGGCGTTTCGTGATGACTGTACCGTGGACCCGCAGAAATATGAAAAGAGTGTGATCAATCTTAAATGATCAAAACCCGGAGAAACAGATTTTGGACTTGTCTGATCAAACGCATTACCGATATAAACAAAATTATTTGAAGTCCATTACGCAGAATCAAGATATCAATCAGAAAAAAAATGTTGATAGTTGGTCAAAGGGTACTCCCGTAGTATGTATACTAGGTTAGGGTTACTTGGCTAATCCCCGAACTTGTAATAGAACTAAAATATGGAAAATCTTGGTTTACATACTACAGGAGTACGGTACCGGTCAAAGTGGTGGAGATTTAATATAGAAAAAAAGGATGCAAAGTATAATTGATGTCTTATTGTGAGGGACATTGTAATTGGGGAACTGTGCTATATGTTGTAATTGTTCAATCTTCTTTCAGTCTTCATGCTACAGAAAGAGATAGGATCAGATTTACATATTTATCCTGGGAGAGAGGAAAGTATATGGCAAACTACAGCCGTTGTCCGGTTACCTGTCCAGGTTGAACCGATTTGGAAGCATGGACTTGATGGTGGAGGAAGGAGTGACCGACCAAACGGCGGTGATGAGTCCAGCAATACTGTCTCACATTATTTACCCAATAGGAAATCGAGCCTGCGAACCCACGCAGGGTAATCAGGGGTGGGGTGGCCAGAGTACCGTAAAACTGGGTAACAAAACACGCTTTACGTCGTTGCCTAAATGTTCAATTCACGTCACGAGTGGCGATGATAATGAAGACCATAGGATTTCTGGTGCGGCACTTTCAAGTTGTTTTTATACTAAAATGTCTCGTTTTATTTTCTCTCATCATAACTTTAGATCCGAATATTCACTGATTATAGCCGATTTTGCTATATCCGATAATGTTTTGATAGCGTTTGTATATTATATATCGTATATAGTCTCACGATGAATATTATTGAGCATGCATATGACCGAATTCTTTATTAAATGGACCTATTGTCGGTCGTGCATAAATCATGACAAAACACCAATTTGGCAACTTTGATTTAAATTACTTAATACTTCATTTAAATTCAATAAACGGAACTCACTTGCAACAATGATTCTTGTTATTTATCGCTGATTATATATTCTTATATTTACGCAGCATTTCTTTACTGCTTACAATTTTTCTATTTTAAATCATGCTGCCGTTCCAAATGGAGAAATTTGAATTGTCAGATCGAACGAAAATATTTTTCGGTAATTGCCATTTAATAAATTACATTTCCAACATTTGATGCCGTGACCACGGAAAACTGTTGATGTGTATATTTCAGCCGATATTGATCCAATCGTACAAAATATCGCTGTTATTTTCAAATCTACGCCAACTCGTCGGCGCCCGAATGTCTAGCGTCAAATCTGTAACAACGACGCATCATGACGTCTTCTTCGAAGTCAGCGACGTCGAGGTAACGTCAGTTCAGCGTGTGCGTCAGATGCTATTATTTTGATATAAAAAACTATTTTAATTGTTTCTCGAGTCTCCTGTGACATCTCGCGATCAGTCTAATTGTGTATATACGATGATAATGCCCTCTATCGAATGACGGTATTTTGACAAAGTTAGCATCGGTAGAAGTCACGATTTGAGCCGCTCGAAAATGCTCCAGTGTCAATTTTATGCTAAAACGTTGGATTGCGCGATTGAATACGGTAACAGATTGAGATATATAAGGACTCACTATAGAAACTGCTTGAAGCACAATATGACGCTTTTTAGTCGAGATACAAACGATTGATTGAAAATTTCATCCGAAGTTACAAGGCATCCGAAGCTACCCGGTTTTGCGGTACTGGTATTCCTAACGCTCAGCACCATAAGGTACCGTAAAAAGCGCCTAACTTCGGACAAAATTACTATATATTCGTGAATAACTCAGCCATTTATTGTCCAAACGGTGCCAAAATTGCTCGGTAAAACATTTGTGCGGTAATTTACATTCCCTGCAAATTTCGGTTCAATTGGACTATTTTTACTATTGAAATAATCGATATTTCTTGCCATCTGACCGTTATCCTTCACTGCCCTAACTTCGGACAGTCATTTTCTTCACTGCGTAACCGCGACGCACAGAGAGAAAGAGGCTTCCGATGCGGATGACGTAATCACGTCGTTGCGTGAAGATAAGACGCTCGATCGTCGTCGTAACGTAACATTGACGTCACGACGAAAATGCATTATTTGAAACTTCCGTCGTCCTATGTTTACATCTTTCGTTCATTATTTTCGATACTTCAGATGAGTGTAATAACACGTTAGTCATTTTAATCAGGAAATGCATACGTAAATATATCTGATGCAAACCGTTTCAATCCACAATGAAGTATTTTAAAGGGCTTCTATCGAAGTCTTTGAAGTATTAATATTCTCGACGGATAGCTTTTTTTTATTCTGCGCGGTTATCTTTATAAATGATAATTTATATCAAACACGGTAAATCCGATTGTAAAGTTTAATTTAAAATTCAACTTAATCTTGTAAACATGTAGGTCCCGTTTATTTGTTGGAGATTAAATTTATTTTTAATTTCGAGTGAATAAAATTCACCCAGGCCGTATTCAATATCTGTCATTTCGACTACTAATCGTTAAATAATGGTTAAGTCAGTGCACTGTGCCATATGGACGTTGGAATTATCATAGTTTTATATATTCGATTTTTAACGTCATTGATTAAGTGTGACATGTATTTTCATTAATGTAATTTTGGCATATATTCATACATGACCGAACAAAATACAAAAATATTTCATTGGAACGCCGTCTTTATCTGAACGGAAATTGTCATATTGGCTCCGTTGTGTCTGGCGTCAAAATTCATTTCCGCGACGCAGTGTGACGTCGTGTCGG